CCTCATAATTCTGACAGTACTATATTCCCATGTGTATATTATATACTTTAATACACCGGATCAATATCAACTTATTAAGAATGTCCTTGCAAACAACTAAACAATCTACTACTGTTAACGATTCTGTAAAGAATACACAACCCTCTGATTCTCTACAGATACATTCACCTTGTACGAAAGACGAGCAATAGTGACGTAAACTTTATCCTGAATTTCCAGGTTAAAGTCACAACAATATGTTTAATCTTCGATCTCACAATATTGTAATTACTGATCATCTATTCTAATAGTTCCTTGCAATTTTAACCTTAGTTATAGTATTACCCGGACCTCTATATTATCACAATTATTAACAACGCCGTTTTTCTGAAAAAAACAATTAAAAATGGTCCCTTGGCCCAGTTGGTTAAGGCGTGGTGCTAATAACGCCAAGATCAGCGGTTCGATCCCGCTAGGGACCATTCTTTTTTGCCACATCCGATCAATAACAGATGTGGCTTTTACTTTTATTACTGAAAGCCAAATACTCTTGATATATTACAACTCTACTTTGATCTTTGCAGAAAACCTCTATTTATCAATATTTATCTATTAATATTAATTTCGAACTATCCTAGATACTAAAATGATACACTCGTTTTAATCAATGATCCTATCTATTAGAAAATAATATAGTGTGTCTATAAATTGTTAGAAATAGTACATTCATTAATTAAATAACTTATATGCTCGGTTTAAATTTATGCCTTTAATTTTATTTTTTGAATTTAAAAGAATTATATGACTTATAATTGTCCGACCTCTGTCTTTTATTGTTTCCAGGTACTTTGTCATATCTTGAATTCATCATATTTTGTGATATTTTTGCATTATCCTTTCTATTACTATTATAGTTATTGTTGTTACGAGGGAAGTCTAATGGATGGCTAGTATCATTGTATGATTTTTGTCTTTTTTTATTATTATCGTCCTGATGATGTGAATAGTGTTTACTATTCTTTGATTTATTTTTCTTGCTCTTATTATTTTGATAAGGTGGAGGGTTAAAATTTGAAAATTTCCTCTTTTTAGAATTTGATTTCCTTTTATTATTATTTCGTCCTTGATCGTATTCCTCTTCGTTATATTCATAATCATCATAGTAGCTTTCTTCATTTTCCTCATAGTAATCACAAGTGGAGACTGATCTTTCATCTCTTCTTACATTATCTATATTTTGGAAATATTCCTTTTTCAAAGAATTAGTTAAATTGTCACCTGAAAATGCACTTCCATCTTCATTAGGTACTCTTGAAGAACGTCTTAAGTCACAATCATCACCGAAATGTCCTTTCAAACCACAATTATAGCAGTATATGCTATGCATCGGTAAAATCAACTTCTTCCTCTTTTTAGGCCTGTCATCTTTTAGAAGATAAACCCTCCAAACACTAGGACATCTATCTCTTGAGTGTCTTTTACTATTACATCTAGTGCAAAAGATTCTTTTCCATTTCTGAGGACATTGCGATCTATAGTGCCCACTTTCATTACAGTTTGCACATTTAATGGCTTTCGAACAGTGCTGAGAATAATGATCATCCATAGCACCACAGTACGTACATATAACATGAGGACAGTCCCTCTTTAAATGACCTCGTTGCGAACAATTATTACATTTTGGTGCAGCTTCCTTAATACCACCTTCTTCTTCAGCTAAACCAAAATAACGACCTTGGCCTCTAAGAGCCCTCAACTCATCCGGATTCTCATTCGTATCTTCGATCGAAGGCGCAATAGAAGCACTAGAATTAACCCTACTAGGTGTACTCTCCTTACGGAATGGTAGACTATCCATACTCTCAACCTCACTCAACAATGAAGACATCTTTAACTCTTTTCAATCTGTTTCGAACTAAATTTTCGATATTTCCTAATCTTCCACTAAACCAAATCAACTCAAAGTATAGCCAAATTAACCACACTCTTCAACTAAACTATATAAAACACAAAACAATCAAACTAATTAAACCTTAAACATAAATAAAACCAACTAGTAATCCTCATCTCATCTCATCTCATCTCTTCTTAATGCCATTTTTTCCAACTTTTCATGCTTTTTTTTCCACTGCTTAATTAATTTTCCACCATAATGAAATATTTCGTCATACTGAAAAAATAACAATGAAAAATTATTTAACAAAGTTTTATAAAGGATGTTGTGATAATGTGATGTTAAGTTTGATATTTAAGTGATATTACAAGGGTAATAGGAGCATTCAGATATTATATCAGTGTATATATATCTATATCTATCTGTGCATTTATTTGTGCCTTTTTTATTGGTATTCTGAGGGTTTGGTTTGGATTCCTGTTTGGATTTTAAGCTTTGCGATAGATATTAATTTTGTGTGTGGGGGGCCAGAAGAACGCAAAGGGTTCCTCAAAGGTTAATAGAATATACTTCGGATTCAAGAGTTAATTGATTTATTTGGTCTAATATATTGGATTAGGTTTAGATTTGGGTTTATTTGGTATATCCGCGGTTTCGTTTGTTTTTTTGGTGTCAGATATTTCTTTTAGAAGGGTTTTTTCCAGTGCTGACCAATACACACATACACGTTCTCACATTCTCACAAATACACGCATTTAGTTCATTAGTAATAAGGATATTATTATTGTGGTTTGATTTAAAGTTGATGTTTGATTTATAGTGGTGTGATACAATTTTATAGTTTAATTCCAATATGAGTAATTCTTTTGCTTCAAGGATAAAATCGAAGTTCTTTCAAAATTCAGGCTCGGCTCAAAATTCAAGGCAAAATAACAAGTCTTCGAGAAAATATTTCGATATTTCAAGGGAGTCTGAAACTAATAATGATTTAAGAGCCAACAACAACACTCAAGTACCCGCATCCAATTATAACCAAGAATATGTCACTAGTGGCAACGACGGTTTCGATGACATTACAAGTCAGTATTCTGGGAATGATAATTATGACAACGCCAATGGCCGAATGCGATCAAATGAAGATGCCAATACGTTTGGGGATCAACTAGAATCTCAGCCTTCGTTGAGTAGCAATGACATTTTGAAAAGTACCGATGAACCTTATAGAATACCGTCCGCTGTAACAACTACAGGAACAGGAAATTTTTCTGCTGCTGCGACTTCATCCACTTTAGAGATTTCAACGCCAACTGGGATTCCAATAAATAGAAATACAAAAAAACCTGGTAAGTTTCAAAAATTGAAGAAAAAAATTAGTATCCCAGAGTTAAGTTTAAGATCAACCAGTAACGGCTCTACTTCTACAGAATATTATCACAGTCACAGACCAAACAATAACCATCTAAATATTTATAAATCCATTAGTAGTGACAATGAACTTTCTTACAAGGGGACTAGGAGTACTCGTTCTCATAGCAGAAACAGTTCTATTCCGTTTGGCACACCAAAAGGAACTGTAGAGAACCTTAACGAGTTTTACAGCAATAGCGAAATCAGTAACAATATTACCAATAACAACAGCTATAGTACCTACAACAATAATGATAGTGATATTAACACTAATATTTCTGAATTTAATTCCACGGTGGATGGTTTTATAAGAAAAGTTCATTCGGAAACTGTAAGTGATTATCATGAATACGTCATTCCGCTTTCTAATACCAACTCAAACTCCACTGGAAGTTCACATTACTCAAATGATCATACCCATGGTTCTCCGCATAAATCAGGGTTACAAAGAGGTAGAAGTAGAACTGACGATGCTTCTGATTATGAAGGTACCAAATCTGATAGAAATCCATTGCACTTCCATCGTAAGAAGGAATTCTTCTACCTCTTCTTTAACGGCAAGAAATAGCAAAATTCATATTCAGGAACTATGAATAAATTTTCACTTTCAAGATCAAGAAGTAATTCACAGGCTAGAAATGGTGTAACAATGATGTCAGCCAATACTTCTTCGACATCAAGTTTAACTTCCAAATATGAATTCTCAAGGTCAACCTCTCCAAGAGGTTCTAATAGCTCGTCTCAAAGACCAAATTTATTCGCATCATCTTCTAATACATCATCATCAACAAGAAAAAGAAGTAGTTCAATCGCTAATGCAATTAGTAATTTTGTAAATTTAAAGGGTCATAGTTCATCATCAATTAGATTTCCACCAAATGATGCCTTAGGAAAGATTGTTTCATTATCAGACTTACCACCTCCACCTGAACCTGAATTAGATGAATCGTATAAAGATTATTTAACTAAAATATCACTATATGGAAAACTAATTGGTGTAATTTTGACAGAAAAGGAAAATCCATACAAATCAAAGGCTTTAAACTATTTTTTAACAAATTGTTTTGATTTCAAAGAACTTCCTATAGATATCGCCTTGCGTGAACTCTTAATGTTTGTTGAACTGCCCAAAGAAACACAGCAAATCGATAGATTATTGCAAGAGTTTAGTAATGTCTATTATGAAGAGCATAAAAAAGATCCTTCTTCATGCGGTTGTAAAGACAGTAACCAAGTTTATTTTGTCGTTTTTTCATTATTAATGTTGCATACCGATTTCTATAATCCTAATAATAAACAAAAAATGTCCAAACAAGAATTCATAAGCTTGGTCCATGAAGATATCGATTCAGGTGGTAATGAAATAGCAAAAGATATTCTTTCATATTTCTATGATAATATAACTACAAAAGAATCTCCCAAATTTGATTTCTCAAAGCTTGGTTTCGGTTTCCCAGATGCCTCAGATGATAAGGAAAAAGAGAAAGAAAAGGAAAAGCTCACTAGGCAACCTACATCTTTAGAGTTGTTTTTGGATGCCAATGAACCAACTTTAAGTTTGTATTCTCCGAAGAGCATTATTGCAGGTAGACTTTTGTCTCCGACAGATCATTTACCTGTTCCACAATTATCAAGTGGTCGCTCGACATCTGCATCTTTATCCACGTACTTAGGATATTCTGGAAGTTCTTCATCAACGGGTAATAATAATATGCCTGCTAGAGATGACATTGATTTGTACAGCCACATCTGTTATAATACATTATCTGACGTTAGCATGGAATCTGAGGTAGAAGAAGTTTGGGATCCTAATTATCTGAATAAACCATTCTCGAGAGCGATAGACAACAAGTGTTACAAGTTTTACTGCATTTTAAATGAATTGAAAGGTGCATATTTACGAATTCACAGAGATTGCTTTGGTAAGATTGCTAACTTGAACTACGAAGTGCTTAATGAATGTGAAGAAACATATTTATATCTTAAGATTATCCAAATGAGTGAAATAAGTGAATTAAGTATAAGTAAGAAGTTTTCAATTGTAGGAAATAATAATAAGATGTATTGGAAGCCACTCTGTGCGATTCTTACATCATATGGTCTTTTATTATTCGAAAACTTCGATTGGATTGTTCCCAACTTAGTTCTGGATGAGCGGACTAATACAACGAATTATATAATTAATTTTAAAGAAGGTGTATCAAGTCTAGCAGACTCCATAATTGAATTCAGTGATATGCTGGCAGTGACATCGAGAAATGAGCTTGGGAAAACCTCATTCAGCTCAATTTTTTCTTCTGAACTTGGTGAAGATAATGATGATTCTAATATTGCAATCCAAGGGAATACAATAAACGATATTTTAAATAAAGAAGATGAAGATTTACTTTTATACATTCAAAGTCCAACAAAGAAATATATTTGGAAATGTATTGTTGCAAATGAAAGAGATAATTGGGTCGATTCAATTAATTTAATGGCTTCATTCAGTGGATGTTTCATCGATCTCAACACTATATATAATACAGTAATTTTATTAATGAGGATAAAAACATGTGACAAAATTGAAAAGTTGAAAGCTACTAAACAAGAAAAGCTAGAAAAGCTGAAGGATAAAGAGAAGAATCTAGCATTTTACCGTCAAGCAATTCCTATGAGTATTAGAACAAAACGAGAATTAATCATCTGCATCAAACAGCTGGCTGTTCAAATGGATGAATTAATTTTTAAGATAAAAAAAAGTGCTGCATATATCGATATTATAACACAAATGATTTCTCAAAGACAAGATCATGTATCATATTCACATAGCAGGCAAAACTCTATTAGCATAAACTTGCCATCATTAAATCTAGGAGAGAAATTTGATTCTTCGAATTTTGACGATAAGATGTTACATTCAGAGAAGTAGGAAAATTGCATCAGATTAGTGCAAACATCTAAGTGCTATTTTATAGGATAAATATACTTACTTGAAGATAAATAGTTAATGATATAATGACTTTTAAATCTATAATATTACATTTTAACCTATATATATATTTATATAAATACTAATACGTAAAATAAGGTATTGAAGATAATGTGATTAATGGCAGAGAAACAGAAGGCTTCGTTCAATGTATCACAAATTAGAAAAGGATGCATAAGACTCAGAATATGTATCACACGGTAAAAGGAATATCACTTCATTTAGATCCCCCAATCATTCTCTTTTCATAATGTCTATCAACTCTATTGCTACCGATATTAGTGATTCTTGGACAGCCATCTCTATGGTTCTCCAGTTCACAACACTCCCAACAGTAGTAAGCTTCAGTCACTCCAGGTGATCCACATATTATACAAGAAGTACCAGTCTTCCCAAATGAACATTGATCACATATCCTAACCTTGCTTCTTGGTTTAACATATGAATCACAGATTGGACATTTACCATCACATTTCTCACATAATAGCCCTAATTTAGTACCTGGCTGTTTCATACACATAACCAAATCAAACTGGTGGCGAGACATTCCAGCTATATGCTTTTTTGACTCCTCTTAAACTATCCTTTACTCACCTTCTTAACCCTTGTTCATCAGCTCATCTCATCGTTATCTTAAAGCTTTCATATTAAAATATCTTTCATTTAAAATATAGAAAATGAGATGACCCTATTAATAGAAGTTGAAAGTATTTGGTAAAGATAGAAAGAGACTAAAGGGTCAGTTACATGTGGGAAAGGGTTATATATCTAGAATAAATGAGTGATCTTGAGTGTGCTATTTGTTTTGAAGAGTTTAAGGAGGATAGATGTGCCTTAAATCCCTGTCATCATACTTTCCATTTGGAATGTATTAGGATATGGCATTCTTATGCTGATGATTTAAAATGTCCAACCTGTCGAACAGAATCAGAGACTATAACACTTGGTTTTGAAGGTGTTTCTGATGGTTATGGGGTTATTATCAATTTACGTGATGGATTTTATGTGAGGAAGCTACAAGAATTTAGCGAGATGACTAGTGTAGGTCAAACTCCCCAGATTATTACTGATTTTAATATTAATCAAGAAGTGGAAGAAGAAGAAGATAATGACGACAACGAAGATTCTGGTGATGATCATCGACTTAAGGATGAGGGATCAGGGGTCGATGTTCTTGTGAATGAAATGGGAGAGCTGTCTATTACTGAAAATACTGTACGAGTGCCATCAACGACAAGAATCTTACAATGCAATATTTGTGGAGAGATTGATGAATCAATAAACGAGTGTTGCGATGATTGTAATACGTTATATCATGATCACTGTCTCCGATCATTGGCAATTGAAATATTCCAACCACAGAGTTGGGAATTATGTGTTCAATGTAATAAAAAATTAGGGAAATTTAATATGCCAGGAGAAGATGTAAGAACTTTCAATCCAGATAGTTCAAAAATAGTTAATGGAAGACTAAGAGATAAGAATAGTTTGGCTACAGAAAGGATATACCACAATATGCATCTAGATGAATTCGAAACTTTAAGAACAGTGAAGTATAAGATACAGGAACATGTTCGAAATGTGTTGAATGACTTTAAAAAAAGGGCTAAGAATAAAGGCATTTCAATAAGCACAGCAGATTTTATATTTGTTAACAAGTTTGTCTCACGGAATCTATATCAAATATCAGAATATAAATATAAAGCAAATGAAATAGATTATGATGGAGAAGCAAAGAAACAGGTATTGCATCAACTTATTTTATTGGGTTATACCAACATTTGAAACATAGACCTACCAATTAAAGCATATGAATTTTGTCAAATCATAGATGTGACATTAAAAAGATATCGTTAAAATAACTATATAAAAAATTATATATACACTTATATCACTAATGTAATTCATCTTTTATTATAGAATGCCATTAAGCCCTTTTCCTTCTCATAGGGCCCTTAGGTTTACTGAATCTTTGAGCAGAAGAACCACTATCAACTTTTGCATCAGCTTCTTCTTCATTTTTACTTGAAATCAATGAAATTTCTAATTCTTCTGGATCACCAATTTCTAAAACATTTGCAAAATTTATACTTTCAGAATCTTTCAAATGATTGATGAATCCTGTTTTGTTAGAGGCGTACAACATACGTTCCTTAACTTTACTACCTGAAGGACAACTGTAAATGAAGTATAACATATCACCATTCTTAAAGATTGTATAACTTGGGTGTTCTTGAATTATTTTCAAGTCTTCTGGACGACTGATAGTCTCTTTATTTATAATCTGGACATTTTCATTTTGTCCATCGATTGTAAATTGAATGACATTATTTGTGTTTAATGAATCTGAAATCGAAGAGCCACCAGTGACAACATCGAATGCCAAAGAAGCAGGAACACCATCAGTTTGTGAAACTAATTTATGATTTTTGGCGAATTGGGATAAACGCATACTACGATGTTGTTCTTCAACTTCTATATTGCTTCTTTCAGATTCAGAAAGTAAAGTAGATTTGATTTCTTCACTGTCATTCAAGTTATCATCGAATTCTTCAGGAACAGTAAACAAAACTTGCTTGTTAATATCATTGGTACCTATCTGTCTGACCAATGTATTCTTAGTTGAAGCATACAACATCTTGTATCTAACATGAGAATCATCTGGAACAAATGAAATGAAGTTATATTGATCTGGTGCAGAACTCGAAGAATCTTTGATAAAAACATATAAAGGTTCTTTACCCAAATTTGATTTCAATTCTTCAATGCTATTATATTTGGCTTTATACAACACACTGGTGAAATCATCAGATATCTCACCTGTAATTATAACTATCCCTTTTGATCCTACCTCAGCATTCCTTAAATTATCAACCAATTGTTGTTCAGCAACTATACCTGATTGATTTGACATTTTTTAAATTAATTGGAATCTTAACCTATTGGAACCCTTTCTATTGCCAATGCTTGATAATCTCCCCTATTTGATATATGGTATGATTCGAATACTTTTAAAATATTTAATTGGAAGTACACCATTTTCAAATCAATTGAGGGAAGCATTTCCGTCAAAAGTTACCCGGAGCTAGAACCGTGTAATATGACAAATATCACTGGTAGAACTTTCATAAGCATAATGATAATCATGTCCAATAATACAAGTACCAGGTATATCTAATATTTTAGATCCCTACCTGGCCTCTACCCCAAATAGATATATATCATATTAACAAAAATAAAACGACATGCAATAAATGCTAAGAATGCCTTGAGGCAACCCTTCCCAAAATACACTTTACCAAATCAATAATATGAATCTCAAATATTTACCCTTACACTTGCTTCAAAAGGACAAAACTTAAGAAATTATTGGAATCCTCATACTCTGATTTACCTTCTCACTCGGTTGCCAGTGGTCATATTCCCAACTTTTATCACGGATAACACATTTTTATTTCAGCGGCTAAATTTAAATATACAGAAAATCATATAAGATCCTGGATCAATCATGATTTCAAATCGTACAAACATCTAAGCAGACTTATGGTTGTCCTCATTCGTATTTCCCCATATATGTATTAACGACTGCTACAAGTTGGCTATATTTATCTACATGTTGTCGACTCGATTGTTGTAATGATAATGTTATGTTATGTTTGATTTATAACGAAAATGATGAGCAAATCTCGTATTGTTTGAGATTAAGGGACATTTTAACCCAAAATAAATACACATGTTCGTGGATAATTACATGCAATCAAGACATCACGTGATAACAATTGTTCCACGTGATGTATAAATTCAAAACCCGGGTAATGTATGACGTTTCCAATATCCCAAAGGGTTCATTTTTAATATTTGATTCCAAAAATGAAACATTCTTGTAACTTAAAGCGAATGGTATCAAAGATATATGATGGTTTATTGATCATTCTTTAACTTTAAGATGCTTTTGAAGTGGCTACTAGGTCTGTATCAGATTACCAGTTCATACTTGGCAGGAGTTTTGCTTTTATTTGAACTGTGTCTCCCAGGAATCTAGTAAAACAAAGGAAAAAGAAATACACATTTCCCTTTGTAATTGTAGCCAGATCTATTTTGAAATAGACTGAAACTGATATTTGTTAGGTTTTAGATTTTGTATAAAACGGTGACAGTTTGGTCGGAATTCAAATGATTAGTTTTAAACTGTTTTTAGCCATATATTTGTTTGGTGGGTTAACTTTTATCCCATTGATATTATATTTGGTTATAAAATTACATTTTTTATTGAATACAGTTGATGATGAAAGTACTGAAAATGTTAAAAATCAATTACTTAATGATATGGTAGACCCGAACTTTAAAGCTGGGAAATTCCAAGAAGATATAGGCGTAAAAGTGTTTAGAAAAGGTTGGATTACAGTAACTAGAGAATATTACCATCATTTTTCCGAATTGTCAAAATTAGGTTCTGATTCAGACACTGATTCTGTTCTAGATAGATCTCAATTGAAAAAGAAACAGCGGTTCTATGCAGTTTTGAAACATGGAAATTTATTCTTATACAAAAGAGATGACCCTAATAGTGATTTAGTAAATGCAATCTCGTTGAACCAAGCTTTTGTGAGTATTTGGCCAAGAGATCCCTCAAATGAGGTTTTGGATGGTTCTTTGTTCACTAAAAGAACTTGTATTTGCATATTGAAAAAAGGCGCTGTCTCTTACGATGATCAAAACAGAAAAATTGTATTCGATGGAATGAATACCCAAGATCAAGACTCGCCATTATCTCCAACGACCCCTTCTACAGGTTCAGCAACTGCTATCTCACCATCAAACAAATATTTCTTGTACTTTGACAATAACATGGATAAAGAAGACTGGTATTTCGATCTAATTAATGCATCAAAAAACGAAAAGACTCTGGATGATATCAATCCTTTGAATCCAATGAGCTCAGCAAAAACTGCTCATTTGAATACACATGATTCTTTACTTTTGATCCAAAATATCAATGCTACAGAAGGTCAATTATCGACAAAATGGTTGAATGTGTTAATAGGTCGTTTGTTTTTATCACTACAACAAACAGAGGCTTTGAATAATTATTTTAATAGAACTGTCTATAAGAAATTATCAAAAATTCATAAACCAGGATTTTTAGATGATTTGGCAGTTCAAAAAATAGATGTTGGCCATTCAGCACCTTTAATAACAAACCCTGTATTGAGAGAATTATCCCCAGAAGGTGCTACAAAAATTGCCTTTGATATACAATATAGAGGTGATATGAATATAATTATTGCAACAAAGGTAAACATAAGTTTGGGTTCAAGGTTTAAACAAAGAGAGTTTTCAGTACAATTATCTATTAAGGTCAAAGAAATTTCTGGCCCAATGATCTTGATCATTAAACCTCCTCCTTCGAATAGAATTTGGTATGCATTTGAATCAGAGCCGATATTAAACTTTGAAATTGAGCCAATCGTAAGTTCAAGTAAGCTTTCTTACAATGTGATCACAAATGCGATAAAAAGTAAATTAATTGAAGGTATTAAGGAATCATTAGTTGCACCTTTTATGGATGATTTAGTATTTTACCCAACGGAGTCAGAGATATTTAGGGGTGGTATTTGGGAAAAAAATGAATCTGAACCACCAGAGGTTCCATCGAACCCTGATACCTCGTCAATTCCCTCTACAGAAAAATTTTTGTCAAATGACGATATGGATAATTTATTAACTGAAAAGGTAACAATACCCAATTTTGAAGTCGATAGTTTGGATGAAACACATTCAGCTGCCAGCTCTGCAGATTACAAAGGTAGCCAAATGTCAAATGTTAAAAAACGTACATTACAAAAAGTTGAAAGTTTAAAAAATTCTATTCAATATAGAAAATCATCTTCTAATGGATTGTCTGATAAAGATGAGTTTACTTCTCCTGCATCTAGTGACACAAGATCGATAGGTTCTACTGAAACAACTGAAGAAAACAGTTCATCTAAGAAATATATCAAATATTCAATTAAGAAGATTGGTAAATGGTACAAGGATAATGTTGCATCTAGTGATGACAACAATAACAATTATCAAGTCACAGACAAGGACAAAGATCTTTATAATGACAATCAATCGCAACAATATGAAGTAAAGCCGGTTGAGTTGCATTCATTGCAGGATGCAGGCTCTCAAAATGATCTTGTTACAAATGCAAATGTCGAACCAAAAGGAGAGTTACCTCAGCCAACATTGAAACCTGCACCAGTTATTTTGGAGAATGATAGCCCGAAGATGATTTCAAATAGAAGGAGACCAGTTCCTAAGGTTCCAAATGTCCCTCTAGCATTAGCTGTATCAACTTCCATGACAACCAGTGGATCTTCTTCATCTTTAAAAAGCCCAACTTCTCCTACTCCACCTTCAACTGGCATGTTTATTAACCACGAAAGGACGAGATCTATTTCATCTTCATCGTCAACAGATGTACATAACTACATCAATCCTGACTTCAAAGAAGCTCAACTAAAAGGGTTTATTAAACATAATGATTTTACCACCGATACATTTAATGATACAGTTAATGAAGGTAAATTACACTTAGCTATGCAACAAAGAGAAGGAGTTATCAAAAATGATTACAATTCCTCAAATTTGACTCTACAAGAAAAATTGGATGCACCTACTGATGAGAAAGAATTAACTAATTAATTGTTTTTATTAATGCATGATAATTAAATATTTTATTTAGCAGGATATTAGATAAAATATACAGTTAATAGTAATATATTTGGTACCTTAAAACACCAAACCATACTTGCTTCATTTTTAAACCAAGGAGAAAAAAACAGACCTAGAGACCTCTGTTATTTCCTGACTAAATCAATTAGCTGGTTTCATGTGTTGGTAGAAGAGAAAAATATGAATGGTAATTCGTGGGTAATCGAACTTTGAATCACACCTTAATAATGGTCTCTATATTATTTTCTTCTAACTAAAAGAAAGAAACAATAGAAGTGAAATAATCATAAAATATGAGTCTCCGGGATATCTGAAAGTGATTAATAACTGTAGCATTGATCAATTAGACAAATTTTTCGTTTACCTCTTCCATAATCATTTGAATTATATTTACTTTACAAGTTTATCATTGTTGTTGTTGTGCTTGTTGTTGTGCTTGTTGTGCCTGTTGCTGTGCTGCCGCAGCAGCAGCAGCAGCTCTCAATTCAGCTTCATAATTCAATAGTCTTTTAAACAATAAAATATGTGGTTCTGGTGCATGACACTCATAATGTTCCCAACCCAAAGATTGTGTAATACCTAAACCTCTCCATTCATCCTCAGTCAGTATACGTAAAGTACCTGTTTCTGAATTGAAATAATCAGAAGGAATTACTTTTAGCATTGCCTTGGGTAGCATAACATGTCTATATTCGTGAGTATCATCTGAATAACGTGGAGAATAATGTATAGACTCTTGAAATTCTAAAGCACGAGCTCTTTCTTGATCTGATAATTTTCTCCCTTGGAAAGTATGATGCTGATTATGATACATAATAAACCAATTTGATACACTGCTCTACCCTTCAATCAAATCTTAATTACACTTAGAACTAAACCTTCTTAAAAGCAAATAAACACGTTAATAGTTATTCTTTTCTGTATTAAATCTGAATCTTAAATTTTCAATATTTTTTTTTTTCAGGCTTCATCTAAAAATGTTGATATTTGGCGTGTCGTTGTGTACAAGGGATAAACAAACAGGCAGAGACAGACACGTCAAGACATGATAAATGTGAGAATTTATCTTTTATTTATGTTGTATTACTATGTATCTGAGTGTGAGCTTCTATATATTATTGATTGATTGATTTATTCAATTGGGAATTTGGCGAGTCACTCAATGGATAATGTTAGTTTGTCTTATTGTCTACCATGGATTAGCTTCGAATTCATGTTTTTTCCAGCTGTTATCTTTATGATTCGTTGATGATGGCGCATCAAAAACGTTATCATTCTTAGTTGGTTCGCTCCAGTTAAATTCTTCTTTTCCCTCATTATCCAAAGGTGAACCACTTTTCTCTTTTGAAATTGCATGTTGTAAAGAGTTCTCGTCGCTGTTTTCCTTCTTGCTACTTTCTTCATTATTCTCTTCGTCATTCTCATCTTCCGAGTTTGATTCTTCTGGCTCACTGTAGATGGCATCTCTACGAGCTTTGTAATTCTTATCATGAATTTCAAATGCGGCATCTTCGATATCGACAGGTAAAAATGGTTGATATGATTTTGATTTATCCTTTACACGTGAATATGTGTCAGTCAATTCAGGAACAGTAGGTAATGCTAATGAAGGAACCACTCTCTCTTGTAAATATGCATCATTCTTATGGATTTCCATCTTGCAAATTGTTGACAGTTTCTTCCTTAAAGCTGACTTAAATTTATGTTCATCTAATTCATAGCTGTAATGCTCAATTGATTTTAACAACTGTACTGGAGTCAATCTTTGTAACAAAGATATAGTAGAGTCCAGCGACTCTTCTGAATTAAGTGTTGTCGCAACTTGTAACCATTGTAACAGTTGGTACACTGGTTCTAAATGTATTTGAGCAATGCGATGAAAGGACTGATAATAAAATGCAGTATTATTGATATTGTAGATGAAATCATTATTGGTGTTCGATTCCTGTTTGGGATCAACAATTTTTGGAGTATACATAATAATATTTCTCAGTGTTGGTACATTCAAATTAATTTCATTAACATCTTTCAATAACGTGTAAGGGAACAATTGCCACATAAAATCATCAATCATTAAAGGTTTTTCCACGGTCAAGTCGTTGTTTTTGATCCAGGTATCTAGTGTGTCTAGATTCAATCTTATTTGGATAGCATGGGCTCTTGATAATGATTTTTTGACCCTATCTTTTATTATTTTGTTGAACAATGAAGTTGAAAACCATTGGACAGCCATCGACAGACATTGCTGTTGATATAAAGGATGAACCTCATGCAAATCTAAGACGTATACTAAAGCTCCGAAAATCTGTACAATTTTCATAGGAGAAGGTTTCATTTGTTCTTCCAAACTGGGAGGGTATAAATGTTTTAGCATTTCGTCATCCAAATAGGGAGAATTTGATTTTTCTTTCATCCTTTCTGCAGCTTGATGAGCAGCCTTCATTTGTCTTCTCTTTTTGAAGAAGTTCCAATCCTGTTTGTATAAAGTTTGTTTAACATCTTGAATCGTTGTGTACTGCAGAATTGTTGGATCGATCAATGGCTCTAATCTTGAATGGATAGAAGATATTAATTGAATCATCAATGAATTTAAAGTATTTATTAGCTCTTGTAATAATGTAGGGTATCTCCTGAAGAATGATTCATCTTTACAAAAATAATAATATAAGAATGAGAATGTACTAAACCAATAGGTAATTACTACTATATCACCAGATCTTCTTGGAGGTTCGCTATTATTATTGGTGGCGTTACTGTTGTTGTTATTATCCGCACTTGAGTTCAGATCTGTGTTTGGTAGTGGTTGATGATTTGAGGAAATTGAAGATAAAATTGAAGTCATAGATAAATTGAATAAGGAATCTACTAGAGAAGGAGACTCCTTTTTATGATCTGCGTATCTAATACATTGGAATAGAAGGGCAGCAGGGTAAGTAGAGATATGGGGGTATGATTTCGGTAAGGACAGTATCAAGTCTATAATCTGAGGAATATCATAATCTGAGAATTCAATATATTGATATTTTAATAGTTTATCGAAATCGAAATGCTGTATGCTTGGATTAATTTCTTCATCATTATTACCTAACAATACATCGGGAGAAGATTTAGTATTAAACACATCATCATTGTCGCCTTCTGTACCAGTACTTAATGAAAGACCAGCAATTTTCAAGTCGATGTTTCCAAAGGGATTATCTATATCTGTGTTGAACGCACTATTGTCACCCCATACACCTGACATAATTAATGGATTATTATCGTATATATATTATTGGATTAAATTTTGTTCAGTTTAATACTTTTAATTCACACTATTTCTAGTAATTGACAAATTTATTTAAATCCTGAATGGAGGCAGAGGTAAAAATATGCAAAAATAAAGACCAAATTTCTAAAAAACAAAATATACCTTGAATAGATCAAATCGAGTAGAGCCACAGTTGAATAATACAGGAGTAGTGGTCAGAATGAATGAAAATGTGGTATATAATTAAGTTTCTTTTAAACTTCAGTTAAATATAGACTTAACGAATCACTTGTAGTAATGTAATAATTGTTAAGCGATAAAATGTCGTAAATTTAAATTTGATACCCTGCGCAAACACACAAATTCACAATCACACTCACACTCAAACACAATATGTCAATGTCGGTATATCCATTCAAAGGTGAATAATATAATGGATTGATCAATATATAATATTGAATATAACATATTGTATTAAATTGATGGGATTGATAATTGATTATATTATACGTGGTTTACGTATAGTGTGATATATGTTGTATCACGTGCCGAAAATCCCCCAAAAGAAAAAAGAAAAAACGAGAAAGAATCGATACCTCGGCGGTTAGCTACGTGAAAGTGTGAAAAAAGTACAAACAAACACACATACAAAAACAGGAACTCATTCTATAGAATGAGGTATTGGGAGTTGTTGTTGGGGTGGGAGGTATGTATGTATACAAATAAATGTGAATGAATTTGGTGGAGGTATGTGTGTCTAGTTTGCATTTAACTCCAAAACATCATATCTTATAAGTGACAAACAAACAACTCTGTCCAGTCTCTTCCAGTCCAACAATAAGCGATTACAGAACTTGATGATAGAACATGATCTCTCGTTTCTCCCTTTGACTGCTTTATATATCCAAAAGTTTGTGGTGGGATCAGCAAAGGACACAAAAACACAAAAATTAAAGAAACAGTGGCGTATATAAAGAACTGACCTTTCAATGAACTGTCCAATATATTTCCTCATCTCTTTCAATAACTCATAGTAATAGAAATTCAAAAGAAACAGAAAACAGAGATGGTTGTTGTATTACAACCACAACAATAGACGTTGTATATGTGTGTCACATATACATATACATATACATATACATATACATATACTTTTAAAATTGTGCGACGTGTTTGAACGTTACCCTCACTTCACATATAATCTGTTTTTGTTCTGCCCGATGCTGAACGTTTGAACTTTTTTTTTTTTTTTTTTGATTTTTTGGTTTTGCCTAATTATCATTTCGAAAATTTACTGCCGTCTAAATTGCACAATTAACTAATTAATCGTTGCATCACAATTTATCACTAAACCGTTTAAACACATACATTCATTCCTCTGTCTCTCTCTCTATAGATACATATATTTAGATATATATTGATTGCATTACTTGAATACAGTTTTGTATTGTATGTATCTATACTCTATACGTACATAGATTGGCGTTGGTCTCAAATAGAGTAGCAAAACAACTAGAACAATGGTTTTAGCTGACTTGGGGAAACGTATTAACAGTGCAGTTAATTCTGCTTTGTCAAATACTCAAGATGATTATGCCACTGCTGTCGATATCCTGTTGAAAAATATCGTCACTGCATTGCTAGAAGCTGATGTCAACATCCAATTGGTTTCAAAATTGAGAGCAAACATTAAGGCAAAGTTATTGGATCAAAACTCTAATAATAACAATCAAACTTCAAAATCTGGTCAAACTAAAAAATTAATACAAAAAACTGTCTTCGATGAATTATGTAATTTGGTCGATGGTAACACGGACCAACAACAACAATTCATACCAAAGAAACGTAAAACTAATATCATCATGTTCGTAGGTTTACAAGGTTCCGGTAAAACTACCTCATGTACTAAATTGGCCGTTTATTATCAAAAGAGAGGTTTTAAAGTAGGTTTAGTCTGTGCTGATACGTTCCGTGCAGGTGCTTTTGATCAATTGAAACAAAACGCTATAAAAGCCCATATCCCCTTTTATGGTTCTTACACTGAAGCGGATCCTGTAAGAGTAGCCTCTGAAGGTATCGCAAAATTTAAAAAGGAAAAATTCGATATTATCATCGTCGATACTTCTGGTAGACATCGTCAAGAAGAACAGTTATTCCAAGAAATGATAGAAATATCTAATGAAATTAAACCAAACCAAACTATCATGGTTTTGGATGCCTCTATCGGTCAAGCCGCTGAACAACAATCAAAAGCTTTCAAAGAATCTTCTGATTTCGGTGCTATTATATTAACTAAAATGGACGGTCACGCTAAAGGTGGTGGTGCAATCTCTGCAGTCGCCGCTACTAATACCCCAATCATCTTCATCGGTACTGGTGAACATATTCATGATTTGGAGAAATTCTCTCCAAAATCTTTTGTTTCAAAATTATTAGGCATCGGTGATATTGAAAGTTTATTCGAACAATTGCAAACTGTATCAAATAAGGAAGATACAAAGGCCACTATGGAGAATATCCAACAAGGTAAGTTCACCCTTTTAGATTTTAAAAAGCAAATGCAAACAATAATGAAAATGGGTCCTTTATCAAACATTACTCAAATGATCCCAGGTATGAATAATCTAATGAATCAAGTTGGTGAAGAAGAAACTTCTCAGAAAATGAAAAAAATGATTTACGTACTAGATTCAATGACAAAAGAAGAATTAGAATCTGATGGTAGAATTTTTATAGATCAACCAACAAGAATGGTAAGAGTGGCAAAAGGTTCCGGTACTTCTGTCTTCGAAGTTGAAATGATTCTAATGCAACAACAAATGATGGCAAGAATGGCTCAATCTACTAAAGCTGCAAGTCAACAAGGTGGTATGCCAGGTATGCCAGGTATGCCAGGTATGCCGGGTATGCCGGGTATGGCAGGAATGCCGGGAATGCCAAATATTCCAGGTATGCCAAAGGTAACTCCTCAAATGATGCAACAAGCTCAACAAAGATTAAAACAAAATCCAAATCTAATGCAAAATATGATGAACATGTTTGGCGGCGGTGCTGGTGGTGCTGGTGGCCTCCCAGGCATGGGTGCTGGCGGTATGCCAGATATGAATGAAATGATGAAAATGATGCAAGATCCACAAATGCAACAAATGGCTAAACAATTTCGGTTTAGGAATGTTATTACAATTTTAGATCATAATTATAAACAATCTTATCATCTTATGTATACTATATTAATAATAAATGAAATTACTTAAAAATACTAGCATCTCATTCGTATTTGTTTTCTCTCTTATTGAATTAATCTATACATTTCTATTTATCCTATATTTTATTTATATGAGGACAGGTCGTATACATATTTAATAAAATTGAAATATTTTAGGAGCTATTTTATAATAAAAGTGTATTTTTTGGGTGGACTTTAGTCTTGATATTCTTGAACTTATTTAAGTTAAAAGAAAAATTGGTACTTTATTCTTAACTAATAATCTAAAAAAAAAAAAAAATATAAAATGATGTTATAATTTATTATGAATGATTATGAATGAATGATTTCATTAATTTGCTTTTGTTTACATTAAAATTTGATTGTTTTTTATCATTGTAAAAATCGTTATTTAATCCTTAGATTTTTCTTTCTTGACGTTTCTATCCTTTTCCGCCTTTGGTAAGTCTTCTAAGGTAACAATACCATTTGCAATTAATTGAGGATCAATTAATTTGGCTCTGTGTTCATATAGTATTTTGTAACCAGATTTGATGGTACCTTCGGTAACTTGCAAAATTTGGCCCACTCTTGCCGCAGATATTGGAATTTTGAAAAGTAAAATGTTCATGTAGATTGATACCACAGCAATGGTGATAGGAGATTTACCCGCAATTTCTTCAATTTCTTTACATTTAGCAGCAGTATATTCTGCTGAAGTAGTAACTTGCATAGGTAAACCCAAATGTGAACAAAATCTTGGGATATAAGTTAAATTTTGGGCACCACTCATGTTATCAGTATCAATCTTGATGAAACCATCGGCACTCTTTTCTCTCAATATACCTTTCATTATGGCTAAGGTTTTACCAAATTCTTTTGTCTTTACATGAATAATAGATTGGATTTCCTTAAAAGTTCTTGCCACAGAAGCACGACGACAACCAATCAAAATGGAAGCCGCCATTATACTTTCTGAAGACTTACCTCTCAATGATTTCTCATCGTGGCACAGTTTATATGCTTCCTTAGCACAATCCTTGACGATTTTAGGCAATTCTGCAGCATCACATAGCATTGTAATTTTAGCAAATGCTGCTTGGACTTCGTTATCCTTTTTATCCACTACATTTTTACCTTGAGCTCTGTTCAACTCCTTTGTGAAACGGACATCTGTGCTTTCACCTTGCCCGATTCTAGTAGATAGATTATTACCGTCTAGTAATGGATTAGAGGCTTCACCAACACGAGAAGGATCATCACCATTCTGGTCATCGTTTGAGAAAGTACGCCATTCAGAACGGGTGTCAACCAACTTATCTGAGAGAACTAACCCACAAAGTGCACATACCACATCACCTTCACTAAACCGTTCAACCACTTTTGGTGGATAAACTTTACATTCAGGACATGTTAAAACAATATTTAAATTAGGACCTCTCCTTTCAGTCTTTTGTCTTGCTAATACAGAAACTGGGGCGGACATCTTGTTACTCCTAAAACTATTCTCCAGTAAAGTGCACAACTGTTGGTCGACTCTACAGACAGATAGATATCGTAAATAAACTTATCTATGCCCTTTTTATACCTTTTCAATCCCTTATTAAACTGATGATTAATAGCTTAAAGCTTTCTTTAACTCATTCAATTTTAAATATTCGTGAAGAATTTCCAGAAACGCCTTGTGATTGTCGTCGTTGGTGATGTGAGTGTGTGTGGGTTTTGGAAGTGAGATGGTAGACACGTGATCGATCACTCTCCCACTCTTCTACTTTCCCACTCTCACACACTGGTTTATCACGATTTCAAAAGCAGTTTGCTAATGGGGTGGAGGGGATACCCATTGTACAGATTTGGGGACAAAACTAGAAACATCAAGTATTCTTGTCTAGAGCTACTCTTTTAATTGGCATTTAGAGACGTCCGACACCCTGCTACAACTGGCCAGTAGGGCTTCCTCCTCAGAATACCAGTTCCAAAGTAGGGATAATTTGTAACTCCTTTAACACACTGGCGTGGATAGTCCTAACTCTGCTGCAAGCGTTGATGTGTGCCATTTCTGACTTTATTAATAGAGAATTGTAACTATATCCCGATAACTATTTATGGCGCTATCAGGTTTTAGTCACCTGACGCGTACAAACGACACCAATTCCCAATCAAATCAAATCCAACCAACCAACCACATCCTAGCTATCAAGGACTAATATATCAGAAATGGTAAAGAGATATGGTATTTCAATTTCGTACTGATGAGTACCAGTATCTTCCTCTAACTCCAGGTTACCAAAAAATATAGACATTCAGGTGAACAGGCAAGTCGAGAGGTATTGGCATGTAAGATTACTTAACCTTTCTTGATTGAGAGTAACCATAGGTTTTGGAGGGGGAGGGTGCAGTTCTCCTCTTTCCACGCCCCCTTTTCCCATGTAAACCCTCTTTCACTTTAAAATATACGTTGTAGTTGGTCTTGCAACAAATCAAAAATTCACATTCGAGTAAGATACACAAATCGGTATTTTGCAACCAAAATGTCTTTCGACAACTCAATTTCAACATAAATCAGTAAATTGATAATCATATACCATTTATCGGAATTTTGCCTAATTCAATACAGTACAATTTAAAAATAAATCAAAACTATCACAACGATATTGCACACCCACCCCATTCAAACAATCATCACCAATTGTATATGAAAACCTGGAAAAAATCAAAAGAAGACTAATACATCAAGAGGTAAAAGCTTTGAGCATTCCAAAACAGCATAATCAAATAGAAACCGCATTCCAATTCCCCACAAGTACCCTCTATTCTTCTTTTCATTTATCCATGGATGTCTCATAAACGAGTATTTGGCAGGACCCTGAACATGTTCTCCCAAATTGATCCCTCAAATGATAATAGATACAATTCAAACATTAACAAGTCAAGTTTAATCAAACACCCATCACGAAATGTAGCACCTAGTCCTGTGTTTATTTATCAGTTAAGTATTCTTTTAATATCGATCCCTTCTCCAGCTTCTCCATTGTTAAGAGTTTAAAATACGGTGAAGATTTTAATATATCATCTCCATTTATGACAAGTACTTAAAGATAAGATAAGAAACTGATCCATAAAGGGAGTATACGATCTGGTGGGAGTTTATGAGCCTTTGTCTTGGTATAGTAGGTTATTTATTTGATTATTTGTTTTGTAATTGAGTTTTTGTTCAAAATTCTCAATTATTGGTAATTTATCAAGGTACACACATTTAAATATTAAAATATTGTTGTTTTTATAGTGGTGGTGCAAATACTGAAACCTACCGATGCAAGAGGTCAAACAAGTTGATGAAGTGACCATTGCTAAGGCAGCTGCTGCAAATGACGAACAAAAAGTATTATGTGCTTCTTATTTGAAGAAGAAATCAACTTTAGGGTCAAAACCTTTGAGCAAAAATAGTGCTAGTTCAATTAAAAAGACAACCTCTAATGGTGATAACAATGAGAACAGTAATTATCAGCACCATCATTCATGGTGGCCCAAACATAGCGACACCAACTATTGGTGTGTTTTGAGGAAGAATCAATTTAGTTATTACAAGACAAGAGATGAGAGAGAAGCAGTTAATGTGATACCAAAGTCTCAAATACTTGGTTTTAGATTACTCAAGGATTCTAGAAAGATGTTGATATACACCAAGGATAAAATACTAAGATTTAAGATGTCTGGTCCTGAACTTATAAAACATTGGGAAACTGCATTCAATCAATTCCTAGAAGTGGAAAGAAACAAGACAATTGAGGATACTGATTCATCAAACATTAACAATATCACAGAGACCCATGTAGATGATGAGGACGAAGAAGATGATGATTTTGACATATTAGATGGTCCTAAGCATTCAAGTGTGCAAGATAATGATGTCATCAAGGAAAACAATAAAAATATCAGAAATATTGAACCTTCTAATGCTAATCCAGATAAACAATTTTATGAAACTTATGATCCAAGAAATCCAGAACATATAATTCTCAAAGGGGTTATATATGCATATGTAAAGACAAGATTCAATAGAACTAAATGGAAAAAAGTGGATGGTGTGCTATCTAATCGTTCCTTTGATATATATTCTGTCAAGTCATCAAGGCTTAAAAGTCACATAGGTTTGGATACAGTGATTGATTGTGTAGAGATGGAAAATCCAACTTTAGATACAATGTTTGCTCTAGTCACTGAGCAAAGAAGATTGAAATTTAGAGCATTTAATGATCAAGAAATGGTAGACTGGATAATTCATTTCAAAAGTTGTGTGTTAGTGCGACAAAAGATAAAGTCTCATGTTAAAACATGATTCAGTAACTGCATATTTCTAATTTATTCATTCCTCAAGTTTGGTATTTAATCAATAAGTTTTTTCTCTCACCCTTATATATAATCTCGTTTTTATCGTTGCCATTGTAATTTTTTTTCAATTCTGTCATTATAGTATATTAATGTATTTATTTATATCTAATAGTAAGAAGTTTGTAATATTAATCTTCGACATTAAATGCTCCAAGATGGATATCTCTAGATCAGTTTTGGAGAAAATCTTTCACCGAAATCAATGAATGGTCGACACCATTAAATCCATCAGTTGTGTCGTTATGACGTATTGGTAATATAAATAAAGTGAAAAAAAAAATTCCCGATGAGCTCTTAAGACTGAGTTATAGATATAGAACAAGAATGATTATTTGAAAGGGATTCAAGGTGAAATCAATGTCTAATGGCTACTAAGGTAACTTTGTCTGAGTATACGCTACGTTTCCATAAGGATGCAGTTACAGATGTTAAAACGGTAGTTGATCTTACTAATTTTAAGGTACCTGTGTTGATTTCAGGTGATGGTAGTGGAAAACTAGTAATTTGGAATGTAATAACTAGAAGGGTACAATTCGTATATGAGATTCCAAAATCACCTCAGATATTAGCAATTGAATATTTAGGTGATTTGTTGGTAGCTGTTCTATCGAAAGATCATAAACTTAGGATTTTACAATTGCAACTTGATGAGTCCAAGACATTGGTGAAGACTAATGAGCAATCTCAAATACAGCAACAGTTGTATAAGTATAATATTGTATTTGAAGTGCCTGTTAATACATTGAACTTTGCTAATTTTTCCCTGGAAAAGATTGCACCAGAAGAGTATAGGTTGGTTTGTTGTAACACTCAAAATGCAGAATCGATTGATATATATGCTTTTAAATTAAACCGGTTGAATTCATTGAAGAGACTTAACAAAGGAATAAATTTTTATAAAACTGTGATAGATTTGCTACGTAATACTGAAATATCGAAGTTTGATAAGCTTGGGATTGTTATGAAATTCCTAAGAGTGAATGATCTGGTATATTGTGGGTTTGAGAGTGGTATCATAATTTGCTTCAGATATAAACTTCGACAAGAAGTAATGACTACAAAATATAATGAAACGTCCTCTAAACAGAGTAAACTACAAGAACTTATTAAGTCTGAGGATACGGATATATCTATCTATGAAAATATGTTAGAAATTGTTTATATCTCTACAGTTCATTACCCAAACCCTATCCTAGATTTGTCAATATCTGCAAAAGATGAGGAAACTGTTTTAAGCAGTTCAACTGATTCAAAAATTGGTATACATAAGGCTCAAATTACGAATGGAAATGTTTCACTTCCAGATAATGAGGGTTATATCATTGATGATTCGAAGCAAGTAATAGTGAGGAAAACTCTCGGTGCAGATACATCGTTTGTTGAAGTTCCAGTGACAGAAATAGGTAGTATCAAGAGCTTAAAATGTGGAATGGTATTGGGAGGGTGGAATGGTAAGGCAATTGTTGTGGATAATAACAATGAAATACTTAAAATAGTTGGTAGAACCAAAAGTAATATTTTGGTTAATGAGTCAGCAATTAGAAGCATACAGAATGATTCAGATTCAATCATTAAAATGAAAAAGAATTATAAAATAAAAGCTGTTGATGGTATAGATGGGGTTGGGACTGATATTTCCCAATTATCTAATATCTCAAGAGGTGACCAAAGACGTCTAGATAAATTTTTATCTTCCTCATGGTGCATTGTTGGGTTTGATGATGGATGTATAACATTAGATAGTATTTAGATACGATTAATTATTAATATGATATTGATATACTTTTTTATAAAGTTTGAATTCTATTATATATGTATATTTTTTTTTTAGAAAAAAAAACATTATGTTTATAGCTTATATAGAATTTATATTTTAAATGCAATTTTTTTTCATACCTTGATGAAATTCATTAAAGAATTTGCTGTAGTTGTGTTATTATTTTTCCCATTATTAGAACCAGATAATAGTTTTTCCTTTTCCACTATATCTCTTATTAATAAACTTATGGACACATCGACATTACAATCGTCCATATTGTCTAGTGCAACAAAACCACATTTCCACTGAGTTGCTAATGCTCTTCCCTTTTCTATTAACAATGGACTCGACAATGGATCTCCTACATGAGTGCATACAATGATGGCAGGAGGAGGAGCATCTGGAGATGATGGTTCAAGATCAATAGAATCTAAAGTTGTATTGAAGCTTCTCAATTGTTGTAATTTTTCATTTCTTTCCTTTTCAGTTTTCCACATATTTTTGAAACTATAAACCAATGAATAAACATCTGATTCCTTCCCTTTATTCCATCTAGTTTGATAATTTCTGAATTCTGTCCATGCGTCTAACATTGAATTTCTTATTATTTCTAATAACGAATAACCACCATCATTTTTCCTTTGAAATGATGACCATGAATATGATGAATTTGAGCTTGTTGTTACAGTAGTCTTGCCAGAAGAATCATCCTTTAAGCTTTCATTAGGTGCAAAGTTTAAGTTAATTTGTGAATCAGATCTCGAATATTGTGGTGGACTTCGTATGTGACTTAATTCAGGAACAGAGCTGTAAACAAATATATAACCATCAATTTTCCCATTCAATTCAGAAGCACCTGACGCTACTAATAAAGACGTTGTCGAGACTGGTCTTCTTGGTTCATTAGCCAGGCCTTTCAAAACATTTTTACCTAAATTGCGAAATAATGAAACCTCTAAGAAAGGTACAACCATTTCTGGTTTGAAACCTGGAGTGTCGATTATATCTATTGGTATTGGAGTATAATTTGGTGGTATATAATTTGGAGGTAATTTTACCGATGATTCAATATCTTTAATTTTTGGATTAATGTCACCAGCAGTTAAATTTCTCTTCCTTTTCTTATGATCAATCTCCTTTGATGAATCTAAATATGAATAGTAAGGTGTGTCACTTGTAATTAAATTCAATTGCTTTAAATGATTATTATTTGAGCTGCTTTTTTTGTGCTGAGTTTTAATTTTAGTAAAATCATTGATATAAGATTGGAAAACTAAAGGAGATAACAAAATATAAGGAGAGATCGAAGGAGAATCGAATATAGGCTGTGGTTTTTGGCTACTTTGAGACCTGAGAAGTAACCGTTCATGGGGACTATTATCCAAGATAGCCTTCGCTAAATTGGAACGTGGAATAAATTCGAATAACCAATTTGTCTGAGTTCTCGTAGGATAATGAACTTCGTGAACCATATCTAAAGTTAACCTTGATACAAGAGAAGTTTTACCCGTTGAATCACCGCCAAGAACAGCAATTCTGATGGGCCGTTGTTCACTCATTCTCTTTATTTAACCAACGGTTTGTCTTCTACAACCCAAAATTTTGTGAAAACAAAACCAATCAAAACCTCTCAACCCCTACAGATTAACAACTAATATACTATCCACTGACAATATATAACCAATTGATCAACTAATGAACAATCTGTGTTAGTTATATTCGAACTTAATTGTCTCATTCTTACAGTCAGTTTACGATTATTTTTCACTTTTTTTTCTTCTTTCCTCTTTTCTTTTAGGCCTGCCTTTGCCCTTTGGCCTGCGGTCCTCCTATAACGAGTATGCGATGAGATGAGATATCAAAGGGAAGAGTTAGCAACAGGATAAGGAACTGTGATTTTGGAAAGATGTGTAGGTCCCTGAATACATTGCAAAATGTATATCAAAGGTTTCAATCAGGGATTCTAGTCCAGCGAGTTCATTTCAATAAGAGACGACAACATCTGGGTGGGTATATTTGACATCCGGCTATTCGATGGGTATAAAACCCTTCAGAAAGTGAGAAAAAGGGGAATAGAACAGATCTGGGATTGGTAAATGCAGTTGTGATTTTAATTTAAATCTCTAAGTGCAAATTAATTTTAACCGTTCTTGTTGTTCAGATTGGAATGTCTCACACTTTTCTGTTCCCTCACCTTGATCTTGATCTTGGTCTTGGTCTTTCCCTCCCCATCAGCCATCTGCCACTTTTGCTGAGAAGTTGCCGTTTCCACCATTTTCTCTGTGTGCAGGCGGGGTAACGATGCAAAGAGGAAAGTTGAAGAGGAGACATTCTTGATATTGTCGGTAATTTTTATCTTTTCTTTTTTCTCGTTTGTTATTTCTTTTTCTTGAAATTGGAGTCACGTGATTGGTTTTGTTGGGGTTTGGTCATGTGATCTTATGTTCTTACCTCTCGTTTGGCACGGCTTTTCCATTCATATTTGATCATATCAAACGACGTTGGTTTAACGTAAAAGCAACCAAAAAAATGCCCCCGAAGAACAAGAAGAGAAAAAGGTATCAGAATAAAGTTATTAAAAGCTAAGATGTATATATATATATTGATAGCAATTGACTCTGCAGATTGGAGTTGTTGTCTTCAGATACTGGGATTGATAAGTTGGTATCGTGTTGTTGTAGATATATAAGTGTCTAGGTTTGGATTGGTTTTGTTTGAAATTGGTTGGGATATTTTCAAAAAGGGTGAGAGAAAAAAAAAATTATTGCATATAACTGATAACAAGTTAAAAAAAAAAGTGCGTTTAGGAACTACTTATACTTGGAACTACAACAATTTTATAAAAATGGTTTTAACTGATAAACAGCTTTACGAGATTAATAAGAAGGCTGTCACCCAAGGTTTCAAAATCAAACCTAGATTGAATTATAATACTGTTAGCGGTGTTAATGGTCCTTTGGTCATTTTAGAAAAAGTCAAATTTCCTCGTTATAATGAAATTGTCAAGTTAACTTTGCCTGATGGATCAGTAAGACAGGGTCAAGTATTGGAAGTCAGAGGTGATAGAGCCATTGTCCAAGTTTTCGAAGGTACTTCAGGTATCGATGTCAAGAAAACTACCGTGGAATTCACTGGTGAAAGTTTGAAAATTCCTGTTTCGGAAGATACTTTAGGTAGAATCTTTAATGGTTCTGGTAACCCAATCGATAATGGTCCAAAGGTCTTTGCTGAAGATTATTTGGATATTAATGGTTCTGCCATCAACCCTTTTGCAAGAATCTATCCAGAAGAAATGATCTCAACTGGTGTCTCTGCAATTGATACCATGAACTCAATTGCTCGTGGTCAAAAAATTCCTATCTTTTCTGCCTCTGGTTTGCCTCATAATGAAATTGCTGCCCAAATTTGTAGACAAGCAGGTTTAGTCAGACCAACCAAAGATGTCCATGATGGTCACGAAGAAAATTTCTCCATTGTCTTCGCAGCTATGGGTGTTAACTTGGAAACTGCTAGATTTTTCAAACAAGATTTCGAAGAAAATGGTTCCTTAGAGAGAACCTCGTTATTCTTAAACTTGGCTAACGACCCTACCATTGAAAGAATTATTACTCCAAGATTGGCCTTGACCACTGCAGAATACCTGGCTTATCAAACCGAAAGACATGTCTTAACAATTTTAACAGATATGTCTTCTTATGCTGATGCTTTGAGAGAAGTCTCTGCAGCAAGAGAAGAAGTCCCAGGTAGAAGAGGTTATCCAGGTTACATGTACACAGATTTGTCTACTATTTATGAAAGAGCAGGTAGAGTTGAAGGTCGTAACGGTTCTATTACTCAAATTCCAATTTTAACTATGCCAAACGATGATATTACACATCCAATTCCTGATTTAACAGGTTATATTACTGAAGGTCAAATTTTCGTTGATCGTCAATTACATAACAAAGGTGTCTATCCTCCAATTAATGTTCTACCATCACTAAGTAGATTAATGAAATCTGCTATTGGTGAAGGTATGACAAGAAAGGATCACGGTGATGTTTCCAATCAATTGTATGCTAAATATGCTATTGGTAAAGATGCAGCAGCTATGAAGGCCGTTGTTGGTGAAGATGCATTGTCGATGGAAGATAAATTATCATTAGAATTTTTAGAAAAATTCGAAAAAACTTTTATTTCACAAGGGTCATATGAAAATAGAACTATTTTTGAGAGTTTAGATCAAGCATGGAGTTTGCTAAGAATATATCCAAAGGAAATGTTGAACAGAATTTCTCCAAAGATTTTAGATGAATTTTATGATAGAGCAAGAGACGAAGAAGATGATGAAGATGACGAAGATGACGAGCATAAGAATGCAGATGTTCGTAAGGACTAATTGTTTTAAACAGTATACCTGCCCCCCTCATTCCACCCCACATCCACTTAAATTTAAATTAAAAAAAAAAATGAAATATTAAAATAAAAAAAGAACGTCAGATAAGGTACTATAGATAGAGTTGGGTTGATTATTTTTCCCCGGCATACGATTGTTAATATATGTAATCTTTGTATTCATTCTTCTTTATTTCATTAAATACATAAAATAAATACATAAAAAATGTTTTGAACATGGAAAATAAGTATATTATTTTAAACAATTGACCTACATTAATATAGAAAAGTATATACATTTCTCTTTCCTCTATATCTCTTAGTCTATTTAAAAGAAGTAAATTGCAAAAATTATAATGACGGAGCTGTGTGAATGTTAAGAATAGATGAATGTAATGTGAGATGAACCCATAATCTTCCTATAGAAAGAAAGAAAATAAAAAGGGGAGCGAGGGGGGGAGAGAGGAATGGAATGGTGATCTAGTTGTAGTTGAGAACTAGTATGAATAGAATTGTAATAAATTTATCCGATCATTGGTAAATTTATAGAGAATCAACAGGAACATAACCTTTTTCTAAAAACATTAAAACTATACCGGAAACAATGAAGAAAGAAGCAATGGCTCTTAAAACGAATACAGAATCGATAAAGGCACCTGCAGCTACTTGCTTAGAAGACATGTTTTTTTTCGTGTATTTATTTAATTATTTATTTATCTATTGTAATGAAAGATTACGTTAAACAATTGGGAACAAGTATTGACCAAAATTACAAAACGAATAAGAGTGAGAATAAGAAGGACTGAGGACAAATAAATCAAGATGATTAGAAGTAAGAATGATTAAAACAATTTAAAATACAAAACATTGAGCTTCTTTATATATGAAATAATTATCTATAAGGATTGGATTGGATTAGGTTGGACTAGATTAGATGAGACTGATAGGTTTCTTAGGTTGTGTTTTGGTGGTGGTGGCAGATATTTTTGTATAAAAAGTTTGAATTGTGTCAAATGAATGCCAAAATGCAGAGCAATTCCGTAGAGGAGACAGGTCAAATAGTTTTTGGTGGATGTGGTGGAATGGGATGGTTTGGGAGCTTATGTATGTCGTTCTGAGTGATTCGGGGTATTCGGTCGAAGTCGAGGATAATTTTGTGAAATTTTTCGGGATTGCAGAGAGAAGTGCGCAGCGACGGGTTAGGTTTTGTTTTGTTGGGAAAAGTGAGGTTTTTTCTAGTTCCGTGGTATGTGGTAGCGATGCATTAGGGGATCAGGGGTAGTCATGCAGAGAAAGCGCATAGAACGGAGGTTAACCGTTGCTGTTGCCGTTGCTCAGGGAGAGCGAGAAGAAGAAGAGGCACAAAAGTATTAGGGAGGGTAACTGGGAGATATGATACTGGTGTATTTTGGCTTTTGCTCTCAAAAGTTCAGACACATATGCAAAAATTATAAGAAATGTCCTGGACATTTAGATTTGTCATTATTGTCCCTATTAATGTTCAGGGTAACCACTCTTTGTTTGTCTCTCTTGTCCTTTTTCTCGCTCTTTTTTCTGTATCTCTTGGTTAAGTATGGACATGTATTTTTACTGGTGTCAGCAAGAGCACGCACTGACACCTGGACTGTAATAGCAAATAAATTTGGATGGCATTAATAGCAAAGTAATACCATTGGTATATAAACAAATACTTCTGTTACACTGCATATTTCTATGTTGTTTTACTTCTTTGAATCAATGCCAAGTGGGTTAGAAAAACATTTAGACTCGAGGATACTGACTTGACAATGTTGGAATCGGATAAAGAATTATTGGAAAGTGTACTCAAGAGAAGATTCTTCTTCGTACCTTCTTTCGATATATACGGCGGTGTTTCTGGTTTCTACGATTATGGCCCACCCGGATGTGCCCTTCAAGCAAACATTATTGACCTATGGAGGAAACATTTTATCTTGGAAGAAAATATGTTGGAAGTGGATTGTAGTATACTAACTCCGCATGAAGTTTTGAAAACTTCTGGTCACGTAGATAAATTTTCGGATTGGATGACAAAAGATTTTAAAACTGGAGAAATGTTTAGGGTTGATCACCTTATCGAGCAAACTCTGAATAACCGTATCGTTGCTGAGGAATCTTCAACAAGCGTTGCGCCAAAGGATAAAAATTTAAAACAATTGAACCATTCTATTCCTTTAGATGGTGATATTATTAGAAAATATAAAGAGGTATTAAATAAACTTGACGGCTACTCGGGTGACGAATTGGCTAAATTGATGGAGGTTTTTGAAATTGTTAATCCTACAACAGGTGGGAAATTACAATCACCGATGGAATTCAATCTGATGTTTGAAACTTCAATAGGCCCTTCTTCACAAATGAAAGGGTTTCTGAGACCTGAAACTGCACAAGGTCAATTTTTGAATTTTAATAAACTTTTGGAATTTAATAATGGAAAAATCCCTTTTGCCTCTGCTTCAATTGGGAAGTCTTTTAGAAATGAGATTTCTCCAAGAGCTGGTCTTTTAAGAGTAAGAGAATTTCTGATGGCGGAAATTGAATACTACGTAGACCCTCAGGATAAATCACATAAAAAATTTAAAGATGTGCAAAATTGTAAATTATCATTATTGTCAAGAGATATTCAGGAAAGGGCTTCAGCAGTACCTGTGAGAATGACACTCGGAGATGCTGTGAATTCAAAAATAATAGATAATCAAACTTTGGCATATTTTATGGCAAGAATTTACCATTTTTTAATATCAATTGGTATTGATAACTCGAAATTAAGGTTTCGTCAGCATATGGCTAACGAAATGGCCCATTATGCTACTGATTGTTGGGATGCAGAAATCTTGACCAGCTATGGATGGATCGAATGTGTCGGATGCGCCGATAGATCAGCCTACGATTTAACTGTTCATGCAAAGAGGACAAAGGAAAAATTAATAGTCAGACAAACTTTGGAAAATCCAGTAAACGTATCTATTTGGGACATCGATTTTAAATCTGGAAATTTTTACAAAAAATTAAGGAAACAGTCAGCATTAGTTAAAGACCATTTAACAAGTCTCAGTCAATCATCGCTTAAAGAATTAAGCCTCAAGCTGGAACTTGAGGGATCAATACAGTTACATGTTGATGATATAGAAAATGATATCGAATTAACCAACGATGACATCAAGATTGTCAATGAAACGAAAACTATACACGTCAGAGAGTATATCCCAAATGTAATTGAACCATCATTTGGGATAGGAAGAATTATATACGCCTTAATTGAACATTGTTTCTGGAGACGTCAGGAGGATGAAGCAAGAGCGGTATTTTCATTTCCTGCTAAAATTGCACCATCCAGAGTTCTCGTAGTCCCATTGTCATCCAACAAAGAACTTGTACCAATGACAAATTTAACCACTTCCCTGTTGAAAAAATGCAAAATCTCATTCAAAGTCGATGATTCTAGCGTCTCAATAGGAAGAAGATACGCAAGAAACGATGAGTTAGGCACCCCATTTGCGATTACAATCGACTTCGAATCAAAAAAGGATGAAACAGTCACATTAAGAGAAAGAGATAGCAAATTGCAGGTTCGAGGATCAATTGAATCGATAGTCAACGCAATAGATTCAATAATCAATGACGAGCTATCATGGAAGGATGCCACTAAAAATTTAACAAAATTTGAAATTCAAAATACAGAAAACTAAATTTCAAATAGGGAATCGATATAAAACTCATATCGAAGCCCATACCCTCATTGAATACCAACTCTAGTATCCCATAAGAGTATTCCCTTCTCTTTTGATCCCATTATTATATAGTTTAGATACTTTCCATAGTTAATATTTTTTGTCGCTACTTTAAATATCGATATTTAAAAATTGATACAATAAAAAAAAAATAAAAGCTATATATGAATGGAAGAACAACTTTACAAGACAGGACAAGCAAGAGGTGGTATTGTTCTGGTTCAACCAAGGTAGCTATAGTTGAACATTTGAGGGTATCTGAACTTGTTTTTTATATTAATTATGTCTAGTCAGCAAGCTTTGAGAGAAGCAGGTAAGCAAATGGTTAAAGCCATAGAGAGGTTTCCAAATGAACGTATAAAACATATTGTATCATTCAAGGATTCACAATTGCAAAGATATAAAAAGGTAGCAGGTATACAAGGTAAAGATGGTGAAGAGGATGCAGCTAAAAGGGCTAGTCTTGCCGAGATCAAAGATATTATTAACAGGACATCAGGTCCTTTGGGGATGAAGAAAGATATGATGGATAGAATTAATGCAGCATTGCCAGAGGAACAATTTACAGAGGAGACTATAATGGAGCAATTAAAGGCTTTAAATACGTTGACTAGTAATAAGTACAAGAACTACTATGCTGTGGGGGACAAGATGTATCATCCTTATGGTAATCCAAATTACTATCAAAGAATTATAGATGAATTGGAAGGTAAAAAGAAGGAAACATTTTTCACTGCTTTTAGAACAGTTGTCTTTGGTAAGTGAAAAGACAGAAATACCTGTTTACAAGCATATATTATTTATTCTAGTGTTAATAGACATGTAAATATTTTAAGAAATTACATAAAAATAGCTTTAATCTTCAGTTAATATAAACTACGAAGTATCGTTCTGTAACGAACATATACTAGTAGCTAATATTGAATTGAATAATTGACAAGATACGCAAGTTAAATTGATTTTTATAATGAATCTTTTTATTAATAAGGATTATGAACTATATATAAACAAAATATGAAAAAATGATTAGTATAAAGTGGAATTCCCTTATTTAGCAGCCTTTTGAGCAGCCTTGGTGACCTTACCAGCCTTGTCAGTCTTGACAACAGACTTGATGACACCAACAGCAACGGTTTGTCTCATATCTCTGACAGCGAATCTACCTAATGGTGGGTAGTCAGTGAAAGCTTCAACACACATTGGCTTAGATGGAACGAATTTGACCAAAGCAGCGTCACCAGATTTCAAGAATTTTGGAGAGTCTTCCAATTTCTTACCGGATCTTCTGTCGTTCTTTTCCAATAATTCGTCGAATCTACAAGCGATGTGAGCAGTGTGACAATCCAAGACTGGAGAGTAACCGGCAGAGATTTGACCTGGATGGTTCAAAACAATGACGGTAGCGTTGAAAGATTCAGAAGCCTTTGGTGGATCGTTCTTGGAGTCACCACAGACGTTACCTCTTCTGATTTCCTTAACGGAGACGTTCTTAACGTTGAAACCAACGTTGTCACCTGGCAAACCTTCAGTCAATTGTTCGTGATGCATTTCAACGGACTTGACTTCGGTAGTGACACCAGCTGGGGCGAAGGTAACAACCATACCTGGCTTGATGACACCGGTTTCGACTCTACCGACTGGCACAGTACCAATACCACCAATCTTGTAGACATCTTGCAATGGCAATCTCAAAGCCTTGTCAGTTGGTCTGGTTGGTTGGACGATAGCGTCAATGGCTTCCAATAAAGTCTTACCCTTGACGACACCGGCCTTGGTTTCCTTTTCCCAACCCTTGTACCATGGAGCGTTAGTGGTGGCTTCAATCATGTTGTCACCATTCCAACCAGAGATTGGAACGAATGGAACAGTCTTTGGGTTGTAACCGACCTTCTTGATGAAGTTGGAGGTTTCCTTACAGATTTCTTGGAATCTGGATTCATCCCAGTTGACGGAGTCCATCTTGTTGACAGCAACGATCAATTGCTTAACACCTAAGGTGTAAGCCAACAAAGCGTGTTCTCTGGTTTGACCATCCTTGGAGATACCGGCTTCGAATTCACCGACACCACCAGCAATAATCAAGATAGCACAATCAGCTTGAGAAGTACCAGTAATCATGTTCTTGATGAAATCTCTGTGACCTGGAGCATCAATAACGGTAACTTGGTATTTTGGAGTTTCGAACTTCCACAAAGCGATATCGATAGTGATACCTCTTTCTCTTTCAGCCTTTAACTTGTCTAAGACCCAAGCGTACTTGAAAGAACCCTTACCTAATTCAGCAGCTTCCTTTTCAAACTTTTCAATGGTTCTCTTGTCGATACCACCACACTTGTAAATCAAGTGACCGGTAGTAGTAGATTTACCAGAATCGACGTGACCAATAACGACGACGTTAACGTGAGACTTTTCTTTACCCATTTTGCTTAGATGATTGTGTTACACTGATCTTGAAACCGAACCAAAAGATAAAATATAGTAAAAATATTAATAATTAATTAAAAGATTTTTTATAAATGTAACAAGAATATAAAATTTCAAGAAAGTAGTTTGTTAAATAATGTAAAATCTATGAGTATTTTATATGATGAGATATCCAAAAGGAATGTACTTTATTCATCCCAGCAAAAGAAATAATTTTTCACTCTCTCTCTCTCTCTCGTTTCTTCTTTTCCTCGCCCTCTCCCTCTTCCTCCCTGTACAAATGCCACTTCCAGAAGGATAAAAAGGAAAGCTGCCCACTAAACTGAATAAGAAAAAATTTTTCTTTCTGCCTAGAGAACTGAAGCTATCCATATCTAACTCTATCTAAACTTCGACTGGTCTTCCATCACCTCCCTACCCTCAACCAACCACTATTGCTGGACAGTTCCAGGCTAATGCTTTAACCCTCTCTACTGACTGCTCTCTCTATTTCGATTCGAAATGAAAAAATTTTCACTGTGTAAGATATAAAAAAAATATTTCTTTTTTTTTTCTTATTCTCATTTCTTTTACCAGGCTACCTAAACCTAAACCTAAAGCTAAACCTAGCTTGCTGTTGCCAGATTCCCAGCTTTATCCACACCATTATCTGGGCTTTTTCTCTCGATCAATTGCCCAACCTTTGAGGTTTTGCATCTGCTCTTGCGATGCCGGTTTCATCTCACTGCTGTTCCTTCCAGTTCCAATACTACCAGCTCATCGGAAAGGTTCTGGGACTAGGTATGGAAATGGACGGGTACCCGACGGTTACTGCAGGTCAAGCCGGTAGTTAAGTGATGTTGATGCTTTTGAGTGGATGAGGTGGAGGAAGAAAAAATTTTCATCGAGCAAGAGTGTGCAAGAGGGTGTCTGTGTGTGTTTGCAACGTGGTGGTGGTACCGCTACTGGTGATTCTGCTGCTGCTGCTGCTGGTTCTGCAACTTTGGATCTTTTTTTGGTGGCTGGTTTCCTTGCTTTTTTGTTTGCTTTTTAGTTTGGTTTTTGGTTTTTGGTGTTTAGTTCATTGTACTTGTCTCTGCTGCTTCCCATACCATTGATATCGGGAAACTGTATCTGTATGTTCATAATAGATGTGTTACGTATATGGGAAACTGATTTCAATTTGAGTAGGGCTAGTCTCGGTGAGGTGTCCGGGTGTATGTGACGACAGTCACTTGTAACACAATACAATTCTATCAGAAATAGTATAATGCTTGCTGTCTTAGAATAGAACTAAGAAGCAAGTATTACCTATCCAAACACATCGAATATTTTGGCTTTCCAAACTACTTGAAAGACACACATACGCATCTACTGCTATTATTACTTTGTGGTGGACCACCACTATGTATCTCTATGCGTGCATGTATGTATGTTTTTATGTATTCACTCTCTCACTCTGTAAACCTACTTGCACTACTATAAAACTATCGGTCTACCGGTTGACTTCTATTTATGTACCCTCTCGTTTGCGCGACACGGTTCCTGGTCTTATATATGGCTCTTATTGTTGTGTCAGCGACAGCAATTCAACGACGACAGTAAACTTGAATACTTGCAATTAGATATTTACAATTTATAAATATCCATACTTTTATACTCTTGTATAGACCAACTCTATGGGATGGGAGGAGTAGTAGTGATGTGGGACTATCTTATCAACACCTACCCCACCCTTTGCCACCTTTGAATTAGTTTCTGGGATATCGGTAGTTTGTATCTGTTTGATTTTGCTATAAACACACACACATATATATAGATAGATAGACAGGTGACTAGCTAACATTGATGAACTATTCTCCTATCCAGATAGCTGTTCCACTAGCTGTTCTCCCCCCTGTGGGTGTAGCCAATATATCCTTTGATAATTCTTCAACTCAATCAAGTGATTTCAGCGATATTTTCTTGTTCGAGAAGGATGATTACGAAAGAGAACTAGATAAGATTATCAATGATACTGAGAAACTTTCGATCTTAATAGAGAACAAAGATGCTGTTGTTAAAGATGAACTGAATCGTCTGCAAGAATTTATAGAAGATTATAACGGTGAGACTGAAAAAGATGCCTCCATGTCTTCTTCTTTGAAAACCTTATTTCAAAAATATGATTGGTCCTTCGATAAATTCAATTTACTCTCCAAGGATAAAAATCAATATAATGAATTGGATCGAATAGAAGAAAATGAAAAATTGGATAACCCAACTGTAGCCAAGGATAGTGTATCAAACTGGTTTAAATGTTGGATTCATAGAGGAAGAAGAAAAATCGCTGTTAGTTGGAAAAACCGCAAACACAACCAGGATCATCCAATGACTAATCTAATATACACAAATAACTCACCATTCACCCCACCAAATTCTACAGTAACAAACACAGTCCAAGTGAAACCATATACTGAAATTTCACCGCTATTTCAAGACAGTTCATATAGATTCAATGATAACAACACCGCAGAAAGTGTCATAAGCGAACCAACCCCACATAATAATAGCATGGTCACATATAAAATTTTGACACCATTGGTACAGATATGTCCAAATAAATCAACTTTAGACCTAGCAGGTAATAGCAGTAACCTCTTGGCAACCCCTGACATCTTCAAAAAAAAGACTAATAGTACCAATCTCTACTCAAAATCAACCCCAACAATTGCAGGATCAATGAAGGAACATATAGGAAGACATATAAATATGGCACATAACTCAATCAAATCATGGACAATGAAATTATTCCAAGAATTAACCAGTGATAAATCAATCTCAAACGAAATAGAAAGAGGAAGGTCAAGGACGAGGAAATGGAATATGGAGAGAAGAAGAAATAAAGAATAACCACCATCTAAAGAAAATTAATATATTCATTTCAATATAACAAGAACATATTGTACCTACATCTATGTATGTATATATCATTTTAGACATTATTCTATAATATACTATTACGAATAATAGATATAACATCATCGTCACTATAACAACGGCATCTGTTTTTTATTTACAATACGCGACTTTTCCAGATATCAAATCAAACCTCATCGATTCATTTAAAAGTAATAACAAACAACATTGACTACTACTTTGATGGATGATATACAAGCGAGGAGAGTAGAGATCTATATTTATATATATACCGATATCTACTGTTGATCAGTTGCTCTTCTTTATAGGGACTGTGTGCATCTGCCTATTGCTTTTTTTGATCATTTCAAGATCTTGGTTCTATTGTTTCCTGATAACATGAATGGTAGTGTTACTCGATTCGAAGAGATAGAATCTGAAAAGGAGAATATACTCCCGTTGAAATATGGTAGATCAGCAGCTCAATTGTCTCATTCTTTACAACAGGATGTCTCTGAACTTAGCTCTGTCAAGATCTCTTTTGAGCGAAGACTAATTGACGATTTAGAGGAAATGGATGATCCGTTAGAATTGTTCTTAAAATATATTGATTGGATTAATAATGCTTATCCACAAGGTGGAAATTCCAAGCAAAGTGGTATGCTGGATATCATGGAGAGATGTTTATTGTATTTTAAAGATGTGGAGACTTATAGAAATGATCCAAGATATTTGAAAATTTGGCTTTGGTATATAGAACTATTTTCGAGTGATTCTATAATTGAAACAAAAGATATCTTGGTTTATATGTATCGTAACAGAATAGCTCAAAAACTAGCCTTGTTCTATGAACAATTCTCGATCATCATGTTTAATATGCATAAGTACAAGGAATCTCATTATATACTGTCCTTGGGGGTTAAAGAGAATGCAAGACCGCATACTAGAATAACAAGAAAACTACAAGATTTAGAAAATAAACTTGTTGAAATGAATATAGATATTAACAATAGGGATTTGGAATATAATTATAACGAAAATGAACCAAATTCAAGGGGGGTGCCTTTATTTTTACAATCTTTTAATCCACCAAGAATGGTTTTAGGAAGAGAGGTATCAAATATACCTCATGTTTCTGTACGACATGACCAAGTGGAGAATGATATACAACAATCCTCCAAGCAGGGCAAACTTCACATATTTAAAGATACAGATAATTCTAAAAATGATGAAATTGATGGATTGAGGAAAGATGGCTGGAACATTTTAGAATCGAAACATATTAGAGATAAAGAAAATAAAGCAACGTCAGACTTACTAGAACCAGGTGTGAATATTGGTAAAATTTATCAAGACAGAAATTCAACATTAATCCGCAAAGATGAAAAAAAAATAACAGAAAAATTACCTATATTCCAAGATAAGTTAGGAAGACCGGAACCAACTTATAAGATAATAGAGATACCAGGAAGGAAGACAGAAAAAATCGATTGTAATTTTAATTTAATATACCCAAATACTCATGAAGAATACTCCTTGGAAGAAATATTAGCATTGTCCAAAAACATTTATCATAAAATACAAAAACCAAAGACTTCTATACCTTCTAATGATGATGAACATATCAGGAAAAAAATGAAAACAAGCATCCCACTATCAAATAAGAAAATTGAATTTCCTCCAACTCAACCGCCGTTAGAGCCAGGCTCAACATCCCCATCAACATTGGATCAAAATATTAATAATGGGCATATTAATAAATCACTAACATTAGAATATAAGAATCATACAAGAACTTCAATACTGCCTTTAAATGATGTACCTATATCCGATGAAACAGAAGTTCCCAACACTGCTGCAAAAGCTCCAAATTCTCCTACAGTAACTTTCTTTTCGAAGGATGCAATGAATGAAGTTTATTCAATGTTCAATCAACATTATCAAGAGCCAAATGAAGGAGCTGAAAATGAGGATACAACAAGTAAATTTGCTTTCTTTGAAAACTTTACTGAAGAATTTACAAGACAGAATATTGATGATTTGACTGAAGTGAAAAATAATCTACCTCAACTAGACAAGACGCCTAACCGTGAAACAAATGTTAGTTCGGAAATAGAAAATATCGATGCTTCTAAACAGCAATTGACTACTACGTATAAGAGTAAACTTAAAGAGTATATGACACCTATCAAAGAAAAAAATGAAAACTCTATTAGAACCATCAATAGCACGCAAAGCTCGCCATTTTTAACTCAACCACAGCCGTTAATTTCGAATATTATTAACAATCCTTTAGATGAAAAATTTAGAACTGAGTTGTTGGGACTAGTTTCTCCACCTTTAGATACTTACTCAACGTTTTATCGCTATAATCAGTCTCTGAAGATGAGTACCTTGCTGAAGAAAATTCACAAAGTTAGTATATCTGAGAATAAAAATCCCATAGTCGATTTTAAAAAGACTGGTGATTTGTATTGCATTAGAGCTGAACTTGGTGAGGGCGGTTATGCTACGGTATACCTGGCAGAATCTAGTACAGGAAAATTGAAGGCCTTGAAAGTTGAGAAACCTGCAAGTGTATGGGAATATTATATTTTGAAACAAGTTGAATTTAGATTACAAAATAGAGATATTTTAAGGTCAATTATTAATGTCAATTCGCTACATTGTTTTCTCGACGAGAGTTACTTGGTATTAAATTATGCGAATCAAGGTACTCTATTGGATTTGATCAATTATTATAAAAATTCGAGAGGTACAGGGATTGATGAGATATTATGCATGTTTATAACTGTAGAATTGATAAAAATCATTACAAGTATTCATTCTGTTGGTATAATTCATGGTGATTTAAAACCTGATAATTGTATGATAAGATTTGAAAAAGGTAAGATCAATTCATATCAAGCCAGTGGTGATAATGGATGGTACCGTAAAGGCATTTATCTAATCGATTTTGGTAGATCATTTGACATGACAATTTTACCAGAAAATACTAAGTTTGTTGCCAATTGGGAAACTGACAATCAGGATTGTCCTCAAATGAGAAAAGGTGAATGTTGGAGTTACGAAGCTGATTACTATGGTTTAGCAAGTATAATATTCTGTATGTTGTTTGGAAAAACAATTGAAATTAGTAGAGATGGGGCATTAAGGTGTAGTATGAAAAGGTACTGGAGAGGGGAAGAAATATGGAATCCACTATTTTCACTGTTAATACAAGGAAACAAAGTTGACAATGTCAATAACATTGAGCAACAGTTACAAGATATAAGGAAACGAATCGAAGATGTCTTAACAGAAGAACATAGTGATAGACTAAAAAGTTTGATATACGATTTAGAGAATGAGTTATGTACAAGGAACATGAAGATATGATGAGTAGTAAAGATTAGGGAACATGTATAAATGCAAAGTTTTAATACAGTGCACATCTATAATATTAATTTGATGTTGTAGTCATAATTTACAATGATTCTATTTCTGAAGTTTCTATTTGTTTTCATATTTTCTGAAATTCACTATAAAATCAGCCAATGCAGATACTGCCAAAGAATTACTTGATGGATTTTTCCCATTTTCTATTAATTCATCCAAAGTTGGGAGCGGTTGAGATAGATAACTGTTTGTTTCTTCTTCGTTAAAGTAATCAGTTTGGGGCAGGCGTGGAAATGCAAACATTAAAGATTTAGGATCTTCTTTAGATACTATGAACCTTTCAGGTCTACCATATAATTGAGTCGCATCTATCATTGGTATGATAGAACGAATCAAAGTTTCCAATTGGGAAATGCCGCTATGAGCAACAGGTTTGATTAATAAACCACTTTGGTTCATGGCAACATTATTGGACTTGATTAAAGGTTGTTTCCTTGATTTTGTAGTTGTTGAAGTTGATGTAGAAGATATAGATGAATTTGTATTTGAATTATTGGTTGCAGCACTTGTATTTGAGAAATTTGACATTGAAGTCATAGCACTTGCAATTGAAGTAGAACGCATATGAACTTGAGGAGAATTGATTGGGGAAGTTGGGCTCGATTCTATCGCAGTATTGTGAAGTACATTCCCCACTATTGAAATTGAATTAACTGAATCGACAAATTGACGATGAGTAGATCCCGCATTATCAGGGACTGCAAAAATATCAGAAACTGTATTTGATTCTATATAACAGAGAATATTTTTGGAGGATAAATTTTTATTATCTTTATAGAACTTAATAGTAGCGTTTTTTTTCTTAGATTTATCGATATGAACCCAACATTTTTGCCATTCTGATTTTACATTTGAATCCATAGATTTGATATAGCACCAATCTTTAAAATTATACTTGTCATTATTTAGGATTATATGTATATCGTTCATTTTCAAACCTACATTTGAGATTAAAATTCCAGTCATCGATTTGTGCAACGATATTAGTTCAAAACAACTCAATAATGATAATCTATAAATTTTTAATATTTCATCATTATTTTCATTAGTACTCTTTAGAATCAAACCATCATTGAATTTTAATAATAAGTCCTCATTCTCCCCTAATAGCATAAAGTTTGAATATATTAAGGGAACCACTAATTTACTGCCATTGTTACTAGCAACAGTTAAGTTATTACCCACTATTGATATTTCAGCAACAGAGACATTATTAATGCTATTTACAATTGAGACGTCGCTTGGAGAAACATAGTGAGCCTTCTTGGTGAAATGATGCAATAGATGGTGACAAGGTTTCAATGAATTATAGGTCACCTCATCGATTGGATTGAAAACTTTCCCGGAGGAATCGACTGTAGCTTCAGAGGTAATTTCAGAAGTACCCTCTGGTAATTTCGATAAAGTAATAGGCTTCTTTAACACGTTTAGGATACCCATTTTCTCCCTACCACATTAAAAAAAAGACAAGATGTCAAGAGTTGCAAGAGATTTGTATGATGTGGAGTGGTATACACATCATTATCACAGATCCTCTTCCCTTTTATACCTACAAGAAATGGAAAAATTAGTAAAAGAACATATATATTTATATAGAATATGAACATAGTCCACAGACTATGAAGAGATCTCTGATGGACTGAGTTGAAATTCGACCAACCTCGTAGAGAGACCAACTCTCCTGAGTATCCATCCCAGTCCCACAGAAGTCCTGAGACCCTACAAACCTTCTACTATTGCTCTCTCCTCCCTTTCCCAACATGCAAGCAGTGGGAAACGGATATTGCCTAAATATAAAAACCTGTTAAATGAGATAAATGTATCTATCAATTATAAAATTCTACCAAGAGCTTATCGACCTTCTTCTTGGCTTAATCTACGTAATTGTGATCCAAAGCAGAGGTTCTATCTAGTTCGAATTCGAATTCGAACTAGAAAAAGGCTCAAACTAAAGAGGAAAATATATTCGAAAGCAGTATCTCACTTGAATCTCTTGAAGAAGGTACTAACCATATCTACGACTATAGAGTTAGTTATCTTGCTGCAATTGCTGTTGCCCAGATAAAAAACAGTGAGAGTGATTGAAATAGAACTGATTGATCTAGAGAGGAGCCAAGTTATACAGAGAGAGAGACATTTGGATCTATCTTAAGGTGAGCACTACCAGTGGGAAGGGCAAGGAAAAAAAGATTGTGAACCTCTTTGGTAAGAACTAATGGTGTCTTGCAGCTAATTTACTGATTGGGGTTTCTTTCTGCAAATTTAAGATAGATAGATGAGCTAGTTGTATGTATAAAATGCTTAGTTTCCTTGAGGTCTTTGCCTTCCTTTGCTGAGGTTCATATGATGGTTTGGGTTGTACCTAAAGTTATTACTGTGAAATATTTTTGAGTTGTGTGTCCGCATCGCTACCATGATTACGTTGCCAGCCTTGGTATCAGTGGTTGCGAAGAGAGAGTAGAGTGGCCTAGGGAATAGCAGGGATTTCTTTCCAGTTGGATGTGGATGCTATTTTTAAGCAGTGAGTGCTTGCATCTGTGATTAATTGGTTGATTGTTTACGTTTATTACCCATCATTGATCGAGCGTCAGTATGTGGATTTGGTAAAACGATAACGCTATGCTCTCTATTTCGATTCAAGTTTGCATTCCCTTCTTTGTGTGTGTGAGGGAAGACAATTGAGATGCTTGGTGTTTAACTGATGCATATTTGCCAAGTGAAGTTGGCAATGACCAAATCTATGAACGTGATATTGGATAGAAAGTGGCAGTGCCATCTCCAAACAATATATGTTTTATCATGTACAAGTGTTTTAAACAATTGAAAATACGACTATTCGGACATCCCATCTGCACACACACTTCCTCTCTCTCTCGCTGTCGTTCCCTCTCATGTAATAGAATCCAACTTCATCTTCCTATTTCTTCACACCTCTGTAATATTTAAATCACTAATTCTTAGCTATGCTCATCCTCTTGTTACAACTTCAAACAAAAAAAAAGTCTGGAATTAATGAATATTTTAACATTAATATCCTTAGAGATGTGAAACCAGTTTGCTATTGATCCTAACTGACCTTCTTTTCCAACAATGGCTGGTTTCTTATGTATGTCCTGGGCATTACTGACAGTTTGGTGATAGGAAGACACATGTGTTACCCGGCCTTAATCAAAGGATCAAATATTCGAAATATCATCAACAAGAACAATACTTCAAACTAATTCGAACCAGGCTATAAGAATATGGTTTCGAGATTGTTTAGTTGTCTATTTGTTGTAATTGATGTCTAAATTGCTAACTGATCGGTGGAAATTGTCAGATACCAATGGATATATTTGTTCCGTTGCGATATGGGCTGTCTGATTTGGACGAAATCAAAGAATCTCATGCAAAGAGAAAATTTATTCTCTTCGATGAATTGATTAATTTATTTGTATTAATCAATGATGACCCAAGCGGTTCTGAATCACTGATTAGAATAGATAAATTTGTAGTTTATATTAATGATAATAAATTGACTTCGGTAGAATTTGATAATTGTTTTACCTCCATTGATCAATCCAAGGGCTTATATAAATTAAATGAAAATTTTGTGGAAAATGTATTGTTTAGATCATCTGTTGTCATGAATAATGGTCATAACAATATAATATCGTTTAAATTTTATTGTTCTGGTGATCCTGCCATCAATGCATCGGGTTCCATTTCCAAGCATGAGGATAATGAAATTTATTTAGAATCGTTTAATGAAGTAATATCTTGGAATTCTAGTAATCATCGAAATAGTACAAGAGATGTTACCTCTTCAAATTCAACTGGTTTGGCTAATAAAAATAAAAACAATGAGAATAAGTCAGGGAAGAGATTTATATTTAAATATCCGATATATACTTCTTTGAATATGAGAATAAGAAATACAAATATTAAAGACACTGACAATATTGTTCTAATTTCATTAGACTTTCAAAATTCAAAACAATTGACTCAACTGGTTGATACTTTTTACAAAAACCTTTCAGTATCTGGGGATTCCACAGAAGATAATTTCCATTTAGAATTTAATGAAATTTCATTATTTATGATTAACAATCATAACTCAGACGATTATACCTTTTCAAAAACTGATTTCCACACCACACAAGGCAGTTACAGCAAATTTAAAGATATATTAAACACAGAGATTTCGCCGGTAGAATCATTGCAATTCCCATTAATAATTCATGATAAGGACAGTTACAGCATTATTTATAAACTTCCATTTTTCCCAGAGGATATTAAAAATGATAAAATAAGATGTAAAGTTAAAGTAAATTTACAATATTCACTTTGTTTGAAAGATGAGGAAAACTCAAAATTTAGCATAAACACATCATGGCAAACAGATTTAACCATGAAAAAACAACCCTTATCAAATTCAAATTTGATAGTCAATAATACAAGCAACTCATCGTTGATTAATGTTTCAACTCCAAGATTGAACGGTGGGAGATTCTTTATGAACACAACACCGATGTTAGTGAACAACAAGATGAATAACATAAAATTTAAATTCTTAAAGAATAACATTGTCGTTGAAAAGGGACAGCGGTTTGATACTAGTTTGCAGATAATTAATAGTTCTCAGTATCCCTTAGATCTGGTGGTCTACTACAACAATAATTCAAACGTCACCAACACTAAACAAGATCTATTCAAAACAACTTCGGCTTCGATAATTTCAAAGGCAAGGTTAAACCGTAATACAGAAGGTATCATCCTGTTATCTAACGATTACAAGATACCATTGATTCTTCCTAACGAGACGTATTTGGTTACTTTAGAATTTATGCCTATATTATCAGGTTTTTATAACAATTTACAAGGACTTAAGATACTAGACTTGGAATCGAATGAACTAATAGACGTTGGAAATTCCATTTCAATCCTGGTACAATAGATTATTTTAATTTTGTTGAGCAAATTAAAACAATATAACAAATACAACGGAATTCAATACACAATTCAGTCACATCATTATAGATAGTACGTCATTTTATATAGTCAAGTTCTATAACATTCAAGCATCCATTTAGAAACTAATCTTGATTTCTCTTCATATATATTTTACCTTTGAACTGGACTAGATCCAGTATTACAATATATTGTAATTAAATTGTGTTTGTTATTGAATCCTCCAATGACGGTTTAATTGAGGGTCTGTTCAATTTAAAGATTAGCTCTTATAACTCACAATTAAAAATAAACAGAATTATAATTTATTTTAAAAAAATGTTAAATAGATATTAATTCTGGGCATATTAAATACTGCGAATAGCCAAAGACTACAATTGAATAATTCTATAGTTGATCAGTTCAAGTGTCTGTGGATTATTTTTAATTCTGTCGTCGACGACAGAACCGTAAGAGTACTAGTTTCAATTGCAGTAACGATATAAAAATAGGGGAAAAAGTCATTAGTCTTATTTCTACAGATTTGATAGACATTGGTAATAAGAAAAGTATGATATATACTTGGCTATTCAGTATCATTACTGTTTTATAACGTCTTTTTACCTGGATATACTTATAATTACATGATTAATCTGACACTATTAGTCATTATAAACGAAGTCATAACTCCTAAAATTTCAACAGGGGACGTATCAATTCATTAAAATCGATTGATATTTAAACTTACAGATTAGAAGTAATAAGATACTTAAGTTAAGATGGATCAATTTGTCTGAAAAAAGTATTGAATTGTCTCATTGCAATCAAGGAAAGGAAGTTTAGCAGTCGTTTATATTTTACGTTTGTTGTAAGAGGAAATTATATCTTAGAAAGTATGTCTGAAGAATCATTACCGGTTGAACAAATTCAAGAAGGAACAGTTGAGAACGATACTGTTGAAGATTTTGAAAAACAATTTCCTGATGTTGATAATGTTGGTGTAGCTGCCAATTCTCAATCTGAATTGGCTGAAGATGATTTTGCTGCTCCACAAAGTGCGGTAGCAGAGGGTTCAGTTGATGAAGAAGCACCAAAATACAATACACAACCATCTGAAGCTATTAACCAATGGAGAGAACGTCATGATCTAGAGATTTCTGATAGAGATAGAAAGGATGAACAAGAGAAGGTCGAATTACAAGAAGACGCGATCAAGCATATCGACAATTTTTATGATGAATATAACAGAAAGAAACAACAAAATTTAGACTCAGTTAAAGAAGAAGCTGAAAAATATTTGAAGGAAAGAAATGAATTCTTTGAACAAGATAACACTGTCTGGGATCGTGTTTTCCAATTGATTAATGTAGATGATGCTAATGTTATAAGTGGTAGGGATAGATCTAAGTTTAAGGAAATTTTACAGAAATTAAAGGGTAATACATCTGTACCAGGTGCTTAAACTTAAATATATGATAAAAGTTTAAAGAATTGGTAATAATATATAAACATTTCCCATAATGAGAAAATTATTGAGTGTGTATAGTTAGTTATACATTGTATTTTTGATATGTAGTTTTAACGTAAGCTAATATATTAAATTAATTTTAGTGTTTAATTTTAGATTTTTAACTGGTTCGAGAGAGGAAAATGATATTAGAAATAAAATAATACATAAAAGTTTATACTTTATTACTATTACTACTACTACTGCTGCTACTATCACTGTTATTGTAATTGTAGAAAGCAAGCTGAGATGATAATAAAAATACAAAATTATGGAAGTTATCAAATTCCAATTCGATTTTATTTAATTTATTTGTTAGGATGCTTCTAATGAAAAAACGTAAAACTCCAGGTCTTACATTTAAATTTGCATTGCCATCAACAATTAGGAATCCAAAAACTAATATGATCGATTTCATTAAATTAGTACAACCGGCGAATGCATTTTTTTTATTAAGCTTATTATTTTTAACAAATAAATATAATACCAATTGTCTCCAAACTGCCCATTTCATTGATGGTAAAATGTTTTTAATAATATAAGAATTCATAAATTTTTCAAATAAAGAAAAGTTGTTACTGTTGGTCAATTCCTGAATTTCATTTAACTTATCGAATAATGGTTTCAAATTCGAAGATATCAAAGGTTTTTCATCATTATGAATATTTTTGTTATTTTTTGAATTAACATCAGGGACAGTATTTGAGTCTTTAGATTTAATAAAAAACGATTTTATCATATTGAAAAGTGAAAGGAAATCCCAAATGGCCAAAAAAATCAAGAAATCTTTGATTAAAGTTCTCTTTCCAAACAAAAACTGAGAACCTCTATTATCCTTTGAAACTTTTGAGTCTAATATTGGGATTAAGAAACAGAAAAACACTTGTCTCATCGAGTTCAACAGCTTCTCATCACAATTTTCAATAAAAGAATGCACTCTTGGTAAATTATAAATGGAATCTGAGATCGATTCAATTGCCACATAACTTGTAATCCAATTTGGTACTTTTGTAACGACTAATAGAAAGCTACATACTGCAGCATTCCAAGATACAAACCTCTTAAACTTATCGTCACCAACTGAAACGCCATTGATCTCGAATGAAAGTATCTTATTTACAATCGGAGATACACTCGATAGCAACCCAATGGATCCAGCATTTCTCAACCATACTTTCAATACATGGCTTCGATAATTGTATGGAGTCTTTCGTAATTTAATCAATAGTATAACGACAGACACCAAAGAAACTGATCTTAGCCGTTTCAAAACCTTGGCAATACAACCAAAAACTGAATCCCTACCACCATTACCACCAGCACCACCACTATCAAACATTACATATCTAATCAACCTAGATATGTGCTTATTCTGAACCATTGTCTTCCTCTTCTATTATCCAATATCTCATTCAACTTTGAAGACCTATCGACCGGCTAAAAAGTAGATACCAAACTAAAGTACTAAATCAACCAGCAATCCAGATATAAATAACAACAGCAACAACAACAACAACAACTTGCCTGTCACTAACCCTCTTGTGCCATCCCTCTTCAATGCTTTAAACTAATGTGGTCAATCGTATTAACTCTTTTGTATTGGTGGTTGTACCTGAACCAATTTCGATATTTCTGGATCTACAATTACCAAATCCAGATCAAAAGGATGGTTTGTTGGATAAGAACAGCCAGATGGTTAGCTGATGGTTGTTGCAGTTGAAGGAGGATGAATTGGGAGTGATCGTTGAGATGTCGATGATGGTGGTATGCTTTTGATTTTTATTTGGTTTTTACAAACTTTATATATTGAATAGATTCGACTGAGGTCGAAAAGCTTAAGAGATGATGAAATTGAAAAGTTTAAGAGAAGATGCGGTTTTTGGTCTTTATTGAGTCAGTTATGGTAAGATAATTGGTCGATGCACTGAATGATGAGCCAAGAGGACGTTCCGTTTGAGGTTGTTGCGGTTCAGGCCTATGAGCCTCAATTTACTGCAGATTTGAAGATTTCGAAAGGTGATAAGATCACCGTCTTGTATGTGGAGGATGATCGTTGGTATTATGGCAGATATGTTGATAAAGATGGGTTCACTAATAGTGGTATCTTTCCCAGTAGCCATGTTAAGGTAATTGAAGGCAAAGATGGTAAAAGTGCTTCTGACGCGGCTGATCACGTGGTCGTGGGTTGCTGTGGTGAAGTAGATCCAGTGTTGGATATCTTTGTAGAGGTTCCCAAGGAACACTATGACTTGACAGAAGGTGTTGACGCGACCACTGTGGTTAATGAGAATGGTCCGATAATCACTATACACAAGTTCTCTCAAACCCCAGATTCCGACAAGGAAAAGAGTATAGAGTTGGAGATTAGGTCGAGCGTCAAGCAGAAATATTATGAATTTCATGAGCAATTCCCAAGAACTATCTCAAAAATCAATAGGAATTTGAAACAGATCGGTTCTGAAAGTGGGATTTCAGTGGAATTGGAGAATGGTGAACATTCAAATCCCTTCCAAGTGTCTGAATCTACCTTTATGAAGGATCCAACTAATGATAATGACTTTGATGATAATGACTACAAGAAAAATGAGCTCGAACCAACAGTTGCCACTACGACAGATGATCCAGCGAGTAAGAGTGTAAAGAGAGATATAGCTGGGCTTGCGGGCAATTGGGATCTCATTCCACCGCCAAATAAAAATCGTGCAGAAGTTACTAAAAGTGAAAATAGCATGATTCAAAAGTTCGATGCACTTGAACTGGATGAAGATCAGATTAGAGAAATTGACGCGAGGCCTCCCTCAGATAGACCTGATGAAGTTCAAGCACCAAGACCAGTAAGAATCCCACCACTTCTATTTGACGGCGATGTGACCTTCAGTGAAGATGAGGAATATGAAGAATATGAAGAGGACGAGGATGAAGATTTTGACCAAGTATATGAACTAGAAGAGAAAACTACCGAAGAACACGAGATTTTTTATGAAACCACTGAATCTTTTCTAGAGTCACCATTGGAAAATGATAGTCTAGCTTTAGAACAAGCTATTAAAATCCCCGTTATTTACTCTTCTTCATGGACAAAATTTCAACATCAGTCTGAAAGTGTCAAGTACAAGATAAATACCGAAACACTTGATCAGATTAAACACTCTGGCGATAAAAACTATAATTTCCATAATGACACTGTTCAAACCGATACAAGTGGGTATTCATTTCGAGAAACTGATCAATTCATATCGCCTACTACCATTTCTTCCTATAGCGATTCATCGGGTGCCTCAAGTAACAAGTCACTAGCGAGCAGCTTGGGATCGAAGATGAAGTTTGATTCCAATGATCTGTGGTGGATAAACAAGGAAGTTCCACCAAGTGTCATAAAATCGACTAAAAAATTCATACTTGAGATTGAAGAGAGGGAAGTCGAGAAAAGACTTGGAATTATCCACATTGAAAGGGATTTCTATTTCCTTTTTGATGATTTTTCGCAATTGATCATATCTGTTGGATTTGACAAGACTAACGCTAGAGATACAGTGATTTTCAAAGAGAAGAGCATACCTGCCAAAGTCAACAATGAACTTCTGGAGTACTACTCTGAAGAAATCGGGGAGAAGATATGGGAAAGGTCACAATTGCTGTTGAATTCTTTTGATTCCAACTTTGTTAAAAGTTTGATTTCAAGTTTCAAAGATCATATAGTGACACCTGTTGGCGGGAACACATTTGGAATATGCCTTGTATCTTACAAAGCGGGTACCAAGTTGCCATTGGTAGATTTAGGGAAGATTAGACCTGGTGATATAGTAGTGGTACGAAGTGGTGTCCACACAAGCACAAGTAGTAAGAAAAGAAGTGCTGGGACCAAGAAGACAGAAAACGGTGAAACCCGTTATGCAGTTGCCTATGAATATAATTTTTACCACAATGAGTTAGCTGTCATCGAAAGCAACAAATCAGGAAGAATAGTTCAAACTACGTATAAATTAGATACTTTTAAAGCTGGATTTTGTAAAGTGTATAGAGTAGTTGGACGTGACTACATTGGATGGTAAGCCAGCCCAACCCAGCCCAGCCCACTGCGATCGGTATAATGATAGTTCAGTATTTTATTATAAATCATTTTTTAATATTTTTTTCTTCTTTCTCTCTCTCTCTTTCAAATAGATCGATCTATATATGTTATACAAATTTTTATATTAATAATTATTTAGAATCCTTTGATGAAATGAAGTTGTATCCAGTTATGACCGAGCCATTGGTGTATGATGGCGGGGGAGTAGGTGGGTTGGGTGGGCAACGCACGTATCCACTCAAATCCCAACGACTATTATTTCCTCTTCCCTTTACCACCTTTACCAAGTTGTTCTTCCTCAGCTGCCAACAAGGCATCCCTTTCAGATTTAGCCTTCAACTTGTCCATTTTCTTCTGCTCTTCTTCAAGTTTCTTCTGGCTGACCTTGCGGGACCCTTGATCCCATTTAGCAGCTTCTTCAGCCTCCATCCTCTCATGCTCAGCTCTCTGCTTAGCAGCTTCCTGCTCACGTTTCCTAGCTTGACCTGCAACCTTCTTAGCTGCTGACTCAGAAAACCTTTTACCCATAGCTATCCCAAAAACCTAAAATCAAAAGAAGGGGAACAGAAACAATACAATTCACACCTAACTGACCTCTACAACACCAGGATGACTGACAAATTACAGAATTTAACTAAAATAAAACCCAAACCCCAAACTCAAACAGTAAATCCAAATCCAAATCCAAATCCAAATCCCAAATTTCAACTATTATATACCTGTTCTCTCTTAACTATTGAAACTTTTTTTTTTTCTTTTAATGTTGTCTCTCCCATATCTTCACGAGTTTGAGATGACCTTTGAAATTTGGTTAAAAATCGATATATCACAGGTCATTACCACTTTATAAAGGAGATTTCCAGTTGGTTTGCAAGTGAAGTAGGTCTAGCTTTTAGATTTGGGTGTGTGTGTGTGTGTTGTTGTTGTATTATTATATTATATTCTTTTTGTTTGGGTATCCCTGGTGAGAGCTCTGTGGGCGTAGTTTTTATTATTGGGAAGAGTGTGCCGTAGAAAGGAGAAAAAAGTTTTGTGTGTTTGGTGAGAAATTAAGGTGTGTCACGTGACGACGGCTATTTTCAATAGTTATTGTTGAAGTGTCCAATAAGACAGAATCACAGGTTAAAGATTGATAATTAGTAATTGATATTTGGAGAGGTTGGAGGCTTTATTTTTGTTTGATTCTAAGAGAGGAACTGATATTTTGTAGGTATTGATTGGTGGTAATTGCAGGTGCCATAGTTTTTTGAATAAGGTTTCCCCTATTAAATTTTCGTTTTAGGCAGCGATGAGGATAATTGGGAGGAAGACTAAGGACAAGCAAGATCTCGAGTTGACGGTTAATGTCGGACGTACTCAAAATATCGACATCTTGGATGATTTCCAATGTAATCTCGTTTGCCTGGTGACTACCAACGTGGTTTATAGTAAACGTACCTCTACTCTAAGAAGGTCAAGCACAAGATGGAATGAAACTTTAAAGTTACGGTTGCCTAGGAGCCCAAAATCAAAATGGTTACGAATTGTCATATATGACGCTTTGCCAATAACACCTTTAAATGATATAAGTAACACAAATTTTTCAAGAAATAGTGGTAGCAACCTGAGTTTGTCGAAACTGAAATCAGAAAGCAGTCTTTCGAATGCCCATTTAAACAATTATGTTAGTGGTGTCTCTCCGCAACAAAATCAAAATAGTAAACTTCTATACAAGTCTACCAGTCACGACCATCTATCCACTACTCATAGCAACGACTCTAGTAGTTTGGAGACGTCGTATTCTCGCTCAAATGCAAGTTCACCCGTCTCTACACATTCCAGAGATGTAAGAGGTTCAGACACTGACTTGTATCAGATGGCAAATAAAAAAAATAACCAGAAAAAACGCTATTTGTACTTGGGTGAAGTAAGACTGTCCCTGTTGGATCTCTTCAGATCCAAGGATACCAGAAATCAATATAAGTTTACTGTCGGCCAAAATTGGTACAAGTTATACGATAGAAAGAGGGAAAAATTGAAGATGAATGTGGATGAGGAGAATTTTATCATTGGAGAAATATTGTTGGGATTCCAACTACGCTCTTTATCAAGAAGCAAAACTACCTTCGACGCATATAATGATTGGAGTTATAACCTCACAACTACTTTGAAAAATGAAAAATATATGAGAAGTGTAAGGAAAAACCCAACAGAGTCTGACATAAATAATTTGAAGAACAATCTTCTGATCTCAAATTCAAGAGATGATGCGGATGATATGAGCATATCTGAGAATGACCTATTTGATGACGATGACGACGTTGATGAGTTGGACGATATTGATGACATCGATGACGACGTCGACGATATTATACAAGATCTGGCATCTACCTACCACCAAGAATTGGATAATGCAGAAAGTAACGATGATATGGAAAGCATGTTGAGTGCCTATGATATCATATCCGATGTTGTATCATTATCAGAAACAATAACAGATCACAACAATTCACCACTAGACATTGGTTCAATGGCAACTGCGTTAGATGAATACGATGTATTGGATCAAGGTGATGTCGCAGAATTAACCAATTTGATTGATGATCAGATCATTGAAGAACAGCTAGAAAATATTCGAAATATTTCTCTCATAGATGATTTCAACGAAGAAAAACTTTTGGATAATAGTAATTCAGATGAAAGTAATTCAAGTTCTTTAGATTCAAAATCAATGGGGTACTTCACTGAGGAGATCATAGACGAATCTGATGAAGAAATAGAAGACCAAGCTGATGATTTAGTACTAAGAAGAACTAAAGGTAAGCTGGCTGCCAAACTAAGAGGTAAGAAAAATACCATTAAACAAACAAAGAATAGACTAACTACTACTTTGAGCAATAACTATAAGCTAACAAAGAAGAGACACGCTTTAGGGGTTATATTTTTAGAACTCCAAGAAATAAGGAATTTACCTCAATTAAAAAACAAAATATCAAGAAAGAACTATGATATGGATCCGTTCGTAATCATGACATTTGGTAGAAGAGTTTTCAAGACATCTTTTAGAAAGCATAATCTAAATCCTGTATTTAACGAATTTGCAACGTTTGAAGTACTACCACAAGAGGCACATTTTGGGATCCAATTCAAGATTATGGACAAAGATTCTTTCTCTTATAATGACCATGTAGCAAGAACCAAACTGCCTTGGAATGAAATTTCATGTCAAAACTTTTCTGATGATGTCTGGTCGTCATATGAATTACCACTAGAATTGACCGTGGATCCATTAAGAGCAGGAAAATCGTTTCCTGTACTTCATGTTAGGTTGAAATACGTCCCATATCAAGAATTGAAAGATTATTTTTGGAAGACAGCCGTTAGAGTAACTGCACCTTATCCAAAATTTGATGTGGTTCAGTTGTTGATCTATCTAGATAAATTAGGATCTTTCACAGAATCAGAAGCTATAGAGTTTTTTACTCATTTTCGACTCTCGCCATGGAATGGTAGTACCATAACTCAAGGTCAGTTAGTAGAAGTTTTACGTACCTGGAAAAAATTATCAGGCTTTAACCACATTTGGAAATGTCCAAATTGTTTACAAAGTTTTAAATCTACAACAAATTCGAAAAATTCTAAATTGTACTTGGAAAATGACTTGATTACACACTTTGCAATGTGTACATTCTCGAGAAAACATAAATTGCTAAAACCATCATACGTTTCAACAGATTTTGCTTCAAAAAGGTGGTTTTCTAAATTTTTAATAAAATTGACATATGGTAAATATGCACTGGGTTCAAATAACGCTAATATTTTGGTTCAAGATAGAGACACAGGTGTTATTCTTGAAGAAAAAATAAGTGCACATGTTAAATTAGGAATGAGGATAATTTACAATGGTAAAGGTCCAGAAACAAAGAAATTTAAAACTTTATTGAAGAAAATGTCTGTTAGACAAGGTAAAAAGTTTGACAGTCCCGGATCTGTCAGTCAAATTCCAGGCTTTATAAGATTCCATTCTTTAGATTTATCAGAATGTGAGGAAATTAAATACCGAACCTTTAATGAGTTTTTCTATAGAAAGTTAAAGCCTGGAAGCAGGGTTCCCGAAGGTGATAGTCCAAAAATTTTAGTATCTCCAGCCGATAGTAGGAGTATATTTTTTCCAAGTATCAATGAATCAAAGAAATTTTGGATCAAAGGTTCCCTATTTACTATTAGGAGGCTAACCAATGGCTATAAGCCAGATCTTTTTAATGAACGCTCTTGCAGTATTGCTATCTTCAGGTTGGCCCCACAAGATTATCATAGATTCCATTCGCCTTGCGATGGTATAATTGGTAAACCTGTTTATATAGCTGGTGAATACTTCACTGTAAATCCAATGGCTATTAGAAGCAGCTTGGATGTTTTTGGTGAAAATGTGAGGGTTCTGATACCAATAGAAACACAGGAGTTTGGACCGATTCTGCTAATTGCCGTTGGTGCTATGATGGTAGGTTCAATTATTTTAACATGTAAAGAAGGTCAAACTATAAGAAGAGGGGAAGAACTAGGCTATTTCAAGTTTGGTGGATCTACAATCATTTCATTGGTACCATCTAAACATCTCAGATTTGATTCAGATTTGCTAAATAACTCATCAGAACAAATCGAGACTTTAATAAGAGTGGGTATGAGTATCGGTCATACTCCGGACACAAAGGAATACAGACGTAAAACCGTCAAAGTTTCAAATATGTCACAATTAGAGAGAGTCAAGAGAATTATATCTATTAGTGATGAAAATTCATCAAAAAGAAAAGAACCCTGGCAAGTTGATGCTATACGTGAATGGTTATCTGAAGAATACGAAGAAAATGGCGATGAACATATATCAATCATCGAAGAAAAATAATTCAAAAGTAGGCAAGCCCATCCACTTTAATTTATTCTAATATATCCCAATGATCTCCCAATGATCTCCCAATTCTCTTCTCAATTACGCTTTAAACACATCACATTTTGCTCTGATATTTTAATTAATGTTTCCAAGCATTCGAAACATTAAGATAGAATCAAATGATTCTCATTCAATAGCATGGCTTATGGCTGCATTTTCAATATCATCATCTGTTTGCATTACACATATACAGATTCATATTTATATTTTATACACTTAATTAACATAATTAGATTCGCAATGTATTTGACAGTTGATTCATAATGGTAACCTTTATTTGATTTGACCTTACGCGTAATTTTGAATAAATTAAATGAAAAAAGACGCGTAAAGTATTGACTGTCCAACAAGGTTTAAAAGAAAGATATCAATCACATCTCTTTTCTTTAGAAGGATGTTGATTAAATTAACACATATTTGATTAAAGAAAGACTCTATATTGGTAATTGAGGTGTGCATTGTTGGCTTTGAATTGTGGAAAAGTATATTATAGATAACTCAGAATTGATGGATTCCATTTTGAAGCGTTTCAATGAGAACCGTAATGGTGAAGATATTAAAGTTATAGATAGAATTGATATAGGTGAAAAGTTCAACAGGGAGAATGATTTTAAATTAGATTATAAAGAAAGAGATTACTCCTCTCAATTTTTCAACTTATATCAAACTAGGTTGAAGGCAACAAGGGAAAGATTGAGAGAAGAATGCTTTCAGAAGTGGAATAATGGATTTAAATTGAATGGTAAGACAGTAGTCGAGAAGCAAAAAGTTTTAGATATCCAGGGAAATCAGCCGTGTTGGTGTGTTGGAACAATATACTGTGAGATGAAATATAAACCTAATATCTTAAATGAGGTGATCAGTGATGTTTACGGTGCTCCTGACTTAGTTAAAAGTTATACTGATTCAGAAGGTAGCGATGAGATTATGTTGGAAGATGAAAGTGGCCGAGTATTATTAGTAGGTGATTTCATAACTTCTACTCCCTTTGTAACGGGTGCTATAGTGGGATTATTAGGTATGGAAGCTGAAGCTGGTACTTTTCAAGTATTAGATATTTGTTATCCTCCTGCATTACCTCAAAGACCTTTACCTGCCCCAGCTACATTAAAGGGCAAGAAAATTGCATTGGTTTCTGGTATCAACATTAGCATCAACAACCCAGAGCCTCTATTAAGGTTACAATTACTACAAGAATATCTAATGGGAAGAATAGTTGATAGTGAGAAAATTTCAGAAATTGGTAAATTGATTATATGTGGTGGATCAATAGACTCAAAAATCGAAAACAACGATTCAGGAAATTTACGTGAATGTATCAATGAGTTCGGGAAGTTCTTAGGAAATATGTTGCAGTCATTACCTATTGCGTTGATGCCAAGCTTGAATGATCCTAGCGACCAATCTTTGCCCCAACAGCCATTCCATAAAGCTCTATTTGATATGTCATTAGCCCATTACTTCAATGAAGATAATAAGCAAATTCTAAGCTTAACTACAAACCCTTCGAATTTTGACTTCAATGGTGTCGATGCTTTAGTGATTTCCGGTGATAATATCAACGATATTTGCAAATATATGATTCCATACCAAGAATCAGAAACAGATTCACAAGAAAATAAATTTGACAAATTGGATACAATCGAACATAGATTGGATCTAATGGAATGTACAATGAAGTGGCAAAATATAGTTCCAACTTCACCGGACACACTATGGTCATACCCATACAAGGAATCGGATCCTTTCAATTTGACACAGTGGCCACATGTTTACATTGTTGGAAATCAACCATTATATGGTGCAAAAGACGTTCAGATTAAAGACAAAACTATCAAGATAATTTCGGTTCCTCAATACAGTGAAACTGGTTCCGTTGTAATCTTGGATTTAGAAACCTTTAATACTGAAGAAATAAAAATCCAAATATAGACAAAATTGACAATTCGTGTAATTATAAAATCATTACAGCGTATAGATTATTTACTGACTAAGTATGGTACTTATATATTTACAGAAATTAATGAATATCATTATGACGAATCGTTAGGTTGAGAAAACTATTATATTAGCTGATTAATCAATCAAGTATCTCTTTTTTGTAGTTTTGTAATTGGAACTTCTCTACCCTTGTCATTAGACTTGGATCCGTATTTTGTATCAGAACCAAGTTTTATATATTTATATGTTTGACATTCTTTAGGAACGTCAATACGGTTTAAAAAGGAGATAGAAAGTCTAGGAATTAGTGGCGCACATAGTATGGAAAGTATTCTTGAAGTTTCAGTACAGGTAAAAATGATAGCATCCTGCTTTATTCCTTCTCTAGTCCACGGTTTGGCATCTTGCATCAAAGTATTGGCATCTGATAGTATGCTCCAAATGTTTCTCAATAATTGTGCAAATTCAAATTTATTTATTTTTTCGTCCATTAAATTGGGCAATTCTTTCAAATTTTTGAAGATGTTTTCTATTTGAATTTTCATGTCTTGTTCATCTTCAAATAATTGAAGGATAGATGATTCAACATCAGCTTTTGATGAAAATTCATCAACTGCTCTTTTAATATTAAATTTTGTTCCACAGCATCTGTTGATTAAATTACCCCATTTAGAGACAAACATATCTCTAATCATAAATAGTTTATCTTCCTGGAAATCTCCATCTTCTTCTAGTTGGGAATTTTCTAGTAGAAACCACCTTAAAGAATCGGCACCATAGTATTCTACCATTTGAATTGGATCAAGTACGTTACCTAAACTCTTTGACATTTTAACCCCATTGCATAGCCAATGACTATGGACAATTACCTGCTTATTTATTGGTAAAGATGCCGCCATGAGGAAACTTGGCCAGTAAATTGTATGAAATTTAATAATATCTTTACCTATTACATGGGTTGTATTTTTCCAAAGTTCTAAAGGTTCCTTCAATTCTACATTATTTACTCCACCCAAATTATGTTGTGATGTAACAGGGATATTATTCCTTATTGATTCAATATTACCCAAGGATGACATGTAATTGCATAAAGCATCAAACCAGACGTAGATTTTTTGATCAGGATCATTAGGTACCTCGATTCCCCATTCTAATCTAGAAACTGGCCTTGAAATAGATAAGTCTTGCATTCCAGTACTACTTTTCAATTCGTTTAAGATTTGGTCCTTTTTAGATTTTGGATAAATATATTGAGGATGTTTCTCTATATAATCAATCAACCTTTCCCTAAATGCACTTAACTTAAAGAAATAATTACTTTCTGATTGATGCACAACCTCATTGTTTGTTTCAGTATTAATGTATTTGCCTGGATTATTTGGATCTTTAATTACTTTTGATTCTGGATAAAAAGTCTCATCAGAAATTGAATACCAACCTTTATGTTCACCTTTGTAAATATAACCATTATCCCAGCACGTTTTCCAGAGTACTTTGACATTTTCAATATGATCTTGATCAGTAGTTCTAATAAATCTTGTAAACTCAATATCACAGTTTTTATTCAATTTGATAAATTCAGGATATAATGTGTTGACAAATTCTCTTGGATCACTAAAACCTGCCTTCTGGCTTGCAGTCTGTATCTTTATACCATGTTCATCTGTACCAGTGGTGAACAAAGATTGATTACCTTTAGCTAATTGCCATCTATGTTGAACATCGCATAATAAACTAGAATATAGATGACCTAAATGAGGTTTTGCATTAGGATAAAAAATTGGTGTAGTTACGTGTGAGATTTTCGTGGCTATACCACGACTAAAATATCGATTGTAAAGCCCAAGCGTGAGCATTAGATAACCCAGTTAACCTTTATCCTTTTTCTGTTCTTGTTGTAAATTAAAGTTCAGTTAAGAAAGAGCTTTAAATTTTATAAGGAATATTTAATGAAAAAAGTGAAACTTTTATAATTTATATATGATATGATATTTATTGTTTTTAAACGAATATTGCCATCAGGGCAAATACACTATAAAATATTAACAATGGGTAAGCAATTAAAGCTCTTGCATGATGTAATTGTAAAAGAGAGTTCAAGAAGCCTGAAGAAGACCAAGTACTCCAGAAGACAAAAAATGAACCCATGACGTAACCCAAGGTGTTATTTAATGAAATGAAGATACCAATGGCTGATAGGAAGCATAATGGCAAGAAACAATAACCTAGGATTGACGCCGTATTAAAAAATTGTAATTTTGATTGTGAAGTGGAAGGCTGTGAAGAGTTCATAAATTTCGATAAATTATGTAAGGACACAGTACCAAATAATGCAACACCGTATATGTAACCGAAATGCACTTTACCAGCCATTAATAAAAATAATCCAAATAGTAAGAAGAATAATAATGGACCTGAAAGATCAGAATCATTTAATATTTCTTGTGATAAAACATTTTGAGAAAATGTTGGTATGAGCACCAATTTTGTCTTTGTTACAATATGATCGAAATTGATCCCTATTTCTTCCAATAATGGAGGCTCATGGGGATAACCCTTTGTAGAGAATGCATACAATATACCTCTTGGTAAAGGATCTGGTTCAACACCTAGGCCATTAGAATCATTGCCTTGATTTCCAGATGGATTGTTACCAAAGGACATGGATCCTTGTGGGAAGGAAAATTGATTAGAAGGTTGATAGAAACCAGACATATTGTTCTGATTGTTCATATTTTGAAACCCACCATTTGGATTAAAATTATTGTTTTGATAATATGACATTATTTGTAGAATTAAACGAAGTTAGAAAAATTCTACCAAAAGGAATAAAAAAAAAAATCTCTTGCACTCAAATCAAACTGAAACCCACTTTTATAGAACCTTTACAACCTTCTGCAATTCAATAAAACCTGAGGATGGTTTCTTCTTGATACTTGAATTGATCTGATCCAATTTGATCAATAAAGCTGTTGTCATCAAGCCTTTTATTTGGTATTTTATTAATGCTTCGTTTCTAAATTATGGTTAAATTTCACTATAATTAAGAATTAACACATCGTTAGTAATGATAATACAACATCAAATTTACCCTGCCTAATCATAACATATCACGTGATACAAATCAGGGTATATATTCCCTAAACCCGAACAAGAAAACAAGTGAGCCCTAGGGTTTAGTACTCATCGATTTCAATTTGGCCAGTATTTATGAGGTCACATGATCATTTCCTTTTTAGGAATTTAATTGAGATCATCTCTCTGATGCTCTTGATCTCCCATCTCCCATCTCCCATCACCCAGCCAGCTCCAATTGGCCAGAGAACATTTCAGCTGTGTATGTGTGGGGGGAGGGGGGGGGGGGGGGACTACTTTAATAATTGTATATGACGAAAGATGACTTTTGATTAAAGTGGAAAGGATAGGTGTTAACTGCAAGTGAATTATTTACTCATCTTAAATTACAAAGAGACAAAAGTTGATTCGTTTGCAAGTCGGCAATTCAAGACTATAGACGGCACCAACATTCCTTGGCTGAGTTTGTACTATTTGTAATAATTGGAAAAGGATATGTAAGTTATTACAATCAGTGATATCACAGATTTAAAGTAATAAAAAAAGCAGACAAATTGTAATATAATGTCTATTTGATTTATTGAAAATTTCATCATTATTAAAATACTAAATCCAATCAAATCATGAAGAGCGAGTCAATCATTTCCACTACTCATCCCACCCCTTCCCTTATCCGACGAGGTTGTTTAGTAATATTTGACACCAATTCCTTTGGAGATATTCGAATACGGCTAATCCTGATTTAACTTAATTTAATTTAAAATTTTAGACTCTTGACAGGTTTCACAGTAAGTGTCGGCGTATTGTTCTTCTAACGATAACCCAAACTGCAAAATTTCATTGTAAAAAAGGATTTGAATCGTGTGTATCCTTCTTGGGGGGTCTGTGAAATCTAAGGACAAGTCCGAAAGCTTTTCACACTTTTTTTAGTAATATTGTTATTAGTTCCTTTTTTATCTGTTTTTCTTTTTTTTTCATCTTCAAGAATTTTCAATAAATCGATGAGGATGTCGTTGCTATCAACACCTTTGTTACATTTTACTTGATCCAACCATACTCAATCAAAGTGATGGGAGAGATATTATAGCCGGATCGCAATCTTTTCCCTCCTTAGATTTATGTAATTGGAAGATGATAAAATATAAAAACAAAAATTCAGCCAAAAACTATCAGGGGGGATAGAGAGAGCTGGTATCAGACCTACTACATTATTTGCCAGGAAATATGGAACTGGAAGAGCAAATTGTGAATGAATTGGAGCTGGCCTGATCTCATTCTAATTGGATAAAAAATAGGGCTACTGGGCTGAGAGCCCAAAGAAATTACGAGACAGATATTAAATTGAATTCAATCAATTAACTGAGTTTGGGGGAGAGTGAGGAGACGAAGGGGAAGGGGAAGGGGATACGACTACCCTAAGTTTGCTTACAAGATTATCGGAAGTCCTTCCCACGATGGCCATGGCTTAACGACCAACATTAATTGCCATATATAGCCTAAATATGTATGAATTCCACCAATCTTTCAAAAAGACTAATAATAGAATTAATTACATAGATCGGAAATAATATATTTAAAATATACCATAGTACAGTTCAAAAAATCAAACCAAAAAAATAAAAATAATAAAAAAAATGAAATGCCAATTTTCGAATATCGTTACTTTTATTTTTTGTTAACATAAGCTGGACCCAATCAAGCAGACGTGATAAAAAAACTCAATGGCAATAGGAATTAGCAGAATTTAGATTTTTGCCAAAATAGACAAAAATTTGAACGTTATATACAAAAGATTGATCCAAAAATTTTCTGGCTTTAGGTTTTTTTCATTTACCACTGGCATTAAAAACTTGACAGAGCAAAAAAATAAATTCTATATACACAATTGGTAAAAAAAATGCAAACGATGACAACGGAAACGACAAGAACAATTTAGTATGCAGATTTAAGGCTATCCACCTTGTGTAGCCCAATATTTTTTTTTATTTTTTACCATTTTGAACTTCAAATTCTATCTATTCCTAATTACTGCATATGCAGACAGGTTGTTAGGCTTCGAACAAACAAATCAACTTGAATACTACTACTACTACTTCTATAATTAGTTCAGTTTTTAATTGATGTAAAAAATAACACAAGTGAAAACATAGTAGAATTATGTAAAAACGACATTTTCGAAAGAACAAAGCTCTAATAGTTGACGTTTCTTTTGCTACTTGTGATTTATATACCACTTTCAGAAAAAAAGTATGTACAAACGTAGAACATGACCCTTGACGGACCATTTAACTGGGAGGAAAGAATAAAAAAGAAAAAAAGAACAACGACAACCAGAGTGTAGTAGGCATTACCCGAACGGGGCATTCGTGTAATCCTCCGTAACTCATTTGTCATCATTCTTGGTGATCGAAAAGGGAAATTGGTGAAGAAGTATCGGTAGACTCGTTACATACATATCTACAAATGGTATACCTGATATCTAAAGGGAACCTATTCATTATGGATATACATGCAATTAATTAATTTATGCCGAGAGATAGATACATATATAGATATATAGATATATAGATCAGCTATCCTTAATCTAATATTATGTATATTGTTATTGCGTTTGTCCAGTCCAGTACATAGCAGAGTGTGTATGTGTGACCTAATAAAATTGCACCTTCGTCTTACATGCATTTGCAATTAAACACCTTTATTAAATTGCATCTCTCTCTTTTTTGGTTGCAATTGTATTGTATATTCAGAAGAGAACCAGACATATTAAAATTACTATATTGCCAATGTCTTCTTGACCAGTACCGCTAGTATTTCACTGTAAACCAACACAGAATCATTAAATTTTGATAACTAAAATAAATAGATAATGCCTCCAACAGCGGGTCACTTCCGCTCATTTATTCGATAATCTCCTTGCTACCAAGTTTCATTTTCTCTAAACCAGACAACGAATGTTCTCTCTATCTTACTGCAAATTTGAGAAACTTCCAATTTGGGCAACACACATCCTACTGCTGTGTGACACCATACCGCAAGGAACAGAAAGGCCCATTAATTTCCAATGCTGCACAAAGAGAAGAGATCGTATGATTGAAGTTTAAAAAAGAAATGTGTATTCCTATCGCTAGTTATTATTTCTTTTTTGACTTCTGGGAGTTCGTTTCTTGAATGCTTATGATTTTTGGTTGTTAATTGTACGGGAAGTTGACTGCACTTATCTACGATAGCCTTGGCCATCTTAAATGATGATATATTTTTTAACACATCACAGGAAAAAAAATGTCAAAGTAGAGGTAAGGAGAGAGATAAATGGATGGATAGATACCTCTTGTACTTTGAAATATGGAAAAAAATACTGGTAACTTGAATTCAACATCATTTCTATTTTGCTGTTACCACGATATTCTCTCTTTCTCTCTCTTATAACAAGCAATGCAATAGCAATTGAGCTGGAGGATATTATGGGAAGGTATTGACAGTGAGCGGGAGGCCTAAGAATACACTACCAGGAGATATCTGCATGCTCGATAACTTGGTTTATTTCTTTTTTTTTCAAGGGAACTATGGCATTAAACTATTGTAACGTGTAATTATTTGAATTGTTATTAATAATACCGATATCATTAACAAAAGCTATTGCATCAATTTTTCTGGACTCCATATCTTGAGGTATTTGGAAGCTACAGAAAGTGAAAAAGTTGCAGAAAAAAAGAAACTTTCTCAAGTAACGGTTATGCCTTATTGATGTGTCTTGCTATACTTTGCAGGGTCTTCGATTAATTTTAAAACTTTTCTCTTTCTGTAGTTCTATCCTTGCAATATTCTTGGTTTTTTTTTTTTTTTTTTTAATTTAGAATTTTCTTATGGAAAGTTCGATTTATCACCCAAGAGTAATGTACCAACAAGGTTAAAAATCTGTTTGTCTGGTTTAAAATTGCTATTACCTTTCTATCTCACTTCATTTCCACTCCCAACATCAGTAACGGTTCTTGTAGGAGAGAATTTCAATTCAGCTGCGTGTTGGTGGTGTAATCTTTGCAGTGGATATAATATGTCATTTTTACTGTAACATTTTGTAAGCCAATCTGGATGCAAATTTTTCGTTAACAAGAAATAACATGAATTACTAAAGAGCATTTATTATCAAGTATTTCCTGTAAAACTGGCGTAATCTTGATAAAGAATCCATAAATGGGATTCAATTACTGTTCGTTTTATTATAATTGATAATATTGTACTATAGTATATATCACTGCGTACTGTAATTTATTTAATAATTGCGTTGTCTGTTTTTGGTCTTCTGACAAGGACCATAGAGTATTTTACTACAGCTTCCGTAGAGCCATCAAATGTACTATTATCCCTTCAACCGTTATTCTTATCTTTGCAGTATGCTACAAGTTTTTAATTATTTTCGTGGACACACGACTGATATAACTGATGAAGAGTTTTTTAATTCGATTTGATTCGATTTGATTTGATTCGGTTTGGTTTTTTCGTTCGTTGACTTATCTCCTACCTAATTCCTTGTGAACTAGAATAAATCTCTTCAGGTATACCTTCGTTCAAAAGAGAGGTCTTTATCTCATGGCTGCCTGTTTGCACAAACAGACCATTGAGCTCCGTTTGTTTAAGCAACCAACGAAACAACTAACTAATTATCTAGCCTACATAACTGTTAAAGCTTACAGATTCAAACTATAAGAAAGGAAGACACTTAATGTATGAAACTTTCAGGTAGTGCATTACAACGGGAGAAAAAACTTCTAAAGGTTTTCAGTAATGTACTATTTGAGATCCAATAGAGACATTCCCTTTCTTAAGCTCTTAGTAAATTTTTTTTTTTTAAATTTATGACGATAATGATGATGATGATGATAATATTGCTTCATATTAAGGTCTTGTGATAACCGAATATACATCAACTTCTTGGAAACTGAGGAAGGATCCTTAATTAAAAGAAAAGTTAGATTCCGTCTACCTCATAAAATTATTTTACCTTTTTTGTAAAACTAGCAATGGCAATGATCATTGTTGGTCCGAATTAAACGCTGTATCGTTTCTGTTAAGTTGATATCAGCATGTTTCTTCTAAATCAAAGTATTAATTTCTAGGTATTACCACTATTCTCATTATTATTATTGTTATTATTATTACTAGTACTTTTTTTTTGATTCTTAACCTGTAGCGCTAAGCTTTGCCTGTATAGCTTTAAATCCCAATAAAATTCTTGCAATTCTGTTTCATGACTTTAGCTTGGAATACAAATCCTGTCCCTATCAATACTATCGAGCTTCGCTATTTCTGCATGAACTCTAACTGCCAAAGTAATGCCAATATAGGTAGTATTACTTATAGAAGGAAAAATATTAACTTGTCAGTAATTAACCTAGGAATATTTTTTTCCTACTAATTCTACATACTGAATAAGACTTAATTGAAAGAAAAGCAACCTTCTTAGTTTAATAAAATGAAATGATAAAATAGGAAGTGTGCATTAGTACTGAAATTTCTGCAAGAATAATATGAGAATTAATGTTATCCCGCATCAATATTTCGACACTTTCTTTCTTTCTAATTAGGTCGTTCACCAATTTGATCTAGATAGATTTATTCCTTCTGGCAGCAAACTTTTGTCATTGGCAAAGGATAAAATATTGTAATAATTGATATATATATATGAAGTGAACCACCATCCTAATCAATTGTAATATTAGATATTTTTTTGGATTAATTTCAAATCATAAATTTCTATTATTTTAGGTTTAGAAGAACAGTGAGAACCCTATATGAAACGGAATTAGGTTATTTTGCATAAAAGTAATAATCTTACTACATTCTTCTTTAAGTTCAATTTTATTAAGAATAACTTCTATTATGCAATTGATCGATTGTCACACATCATTTATAAATGAATACTGTAATGATTATAAGCCGCCTTTAAAATCAGTTGTATTAACAAATTCAATTGAAACATTTAAACAGCAACCATATATCACTGATGATTCAAGAAAAATTATTATTGATTTCACTTTATTTGTACATCATAAATTAGATTTATCACGTTCGACATTATTCCAAGCATTTTCAATCATAGATCATTATACATGTAACTATATCATTTACCCATCACAATTACAATTATTAGCATTAACATCATTATGGATCTCATCAAAATTTTGGGATGTGAAAAATAAATGTATTAGAATGAAACATTTGCTACAATTATGTTCCAAATTATACGATTCTAGTGAATTTATTGATATGGAACGCCAATTGTTGAAGAGTTTTAATTGGGATATAAGATCTTTACCAACCATGAATGAAATAATCAATCAATTATTATTTGAATTATCATTACCAATTGAAAATCATGAATTATTACAAGAAGGTTCAATGATGATTGCTGAATGGTCTTATTTAAATATAGATTTAACATATTCATATTCAACCTTAGAGATTGCTAAAGGTTGTGTTCATCTAATGCTGTTGATTACAAACGCCGAAAATATTGGCGATAAATACCCTTGCATCGACGCTAAAATATTATGCATTTCATTAAAGCTACTAGAAGTGGTAAATGATGAAAACATTAGTTATTCAAACTTACAGATTGCATACCCAAACTTTTATAATTTCATTGAAGTTTTCCAAAATAATTATTATTTGCTACAAGATATTATTCTTGACGAAATCAACTACGTCACAATTGTAGGTAATGATAACAATACGTCATTTTATCAATCATCAAAAGACGAACCTATTGGGGATAGCGCATATCGTGCTAAATCGAACGAAGGTGAAGATTATTTTTCACAAAATGCCATTGATCAAGATAAACAGTTTACATTAAGAGCACAGGTGCTCAAAGACAACAGATTCAAAATAACAAATAGAAATTATGTACCATTAACACCATGTACACCTAAAAATCTAATGATGAAGGGTACATTTGCATGAAGAAGTAATGAATTTTACCAAATAACCAGTCAATATTTTTCAACTTATTCTTATTACTGTTCATCGTAAATAAAATAAAATAAAAAAATTCTGCATTATCAATCCACATTGTTATTAGTTATATCACCCTAATTATATCATCATTCTGGACCAAACAAAAGGATATATATATATTATTCTTATTATTATTGTTATTATCTCACGTTTGTGTAAGATTGGTCAGCAGGGTATGTATATATATGTATATAAATCTTTCAAGGTGACTTGTTGGGTTCAATTATTTATTAAATTCATACTTATAGGTTTAACAACTTTTTCCGACTGTAATTTCTCCGAACAAATCCCAAAAAGGGATAAAGAAACGAAAATCGGAAAAACTTCTTGACCGCTTCTCCAAAAAGGGGACAAATTGAAATTTAGGTGACAAACTCTGGAGGAGAAGAAATATGACATATTAATAAAGGGCAATAATTATCCATAGTGAAGAAATTGGTGAGCCATAGTGGTATCAATGGTTATATTTAGCTTTATTAATAAGGTATTTTAAGTGTGTAAAATTTAATAAGTTGACGTAACTATCCAATGTAATAATAACAGGGATACATACCGTTTTTAAAGTATAGGCAAGAATTCAACATCGGGTAGTTAAGTGCTGATATTTCCCTTTTTTCCTTTTATGACGGAATAATAATCATGTTCTTGTCTTTTTTTTGTATATTTTATATATATATATGAATTTATAAGAATACTGATTGTAATGATACTGGTACTACTAGTATATATTTTTGTTTTGAATCACCCTTTATACTGTCCTTGATATTCTTTTATAGCAACTGCCGAAGGTACCCTTCAATTTTGTTTTATTATGAGACTATTTATCATTTAAATCGAATAAACCCGTATATAAATAAAAAGTCCGATAATTCTAATTAATAATCAAATCGAATCGGATCGAATCGAATCAACCAGAACCTAGCTGATATATTGAAGTCTTGTAACATTTATTGAAAACGTAACGGAATCTATTCAGTAACATTTTATAAATCATTAAATTTTAATTAGTAAACCACTATCCAAGGTAATTATATCTATACTTATATTTTTGAAATAGAAATTATGAGTGATGCAGATTTGTTAAAATTACAATACAAAGAACCGTTAGACCTTTTACAAAATTCTATGAATTTTGATATTTCTAACAATAGTATCTTTGATAATAATGGTTTTAATGTAACAAGCAATGGAAATTATGATAGAGATGATATCAGCCATGTAATGAAGATAAAGACGAGAATAAAAAATTATTCAAATAATACAAGTCAGGAATATGAATTAAGCATACCCGTCAGTAAACAGCGCCCTAAGCCTGTTAAAGAATTACTGCCGATGAATAGTAAAGATGATGTATTATACCAGATTTTTTCCATCCTTTGGGAATGTCAAGATGAATATAAAGATGGTATGACTGTTAAACAACTTTGCGACTTGTTGGTTGGTAGAAATCCAGAAATGGCACATCTATCTTCGAAGCTATCGAATTTGGTTTCCGCAAAATTAAATGCCTATATTAAAAGAATTGAAAAAGGTGAACTAATACTACACTATGCATTGTCAAGACATTGGTCTACATCATCTCCCAGAAGAATGCTATATTGTTATGATGGTTTACTGGCACCAGATTATCAAAAATATACTTCTTCTGCTATTAATAGAAGATTGATTCAAGAACAGCAAGCACAAAACTTATTCAGGAGACAGCAGCAACTACGAAATAATTTACAGACACAGGTTCCTATTCCTAATTACTCCAGTGAGCCACCCCCAAACTACAGAGTTCCAAAATCTTTTTCTAATGTAAATATTAAAGAAGTTGAAGATAGAATAATAAATCAATCTATGGTCCCAGAGGAAAGCAAGAGGATTCCTTTTGAATTAGATTCATATTTTAGAGTCCCCTACACGGCATCGCCTATTCCAGCTACTGTTGAAACTTCAAATACCATACCAATTAACTTTAACAACCAGAATATCATATCGCCTCCAGTCTCATCATCATCATCCAACAAGTCTTCATCCAATTCTGAATCAGCATCTTTCATGTTCGATTCTACAGAGGCAATGAAGAATGAAAGAAGCAGTGGAGTAATGTATCCTTTTGATGACACTGAACCAATCTTGGGCAATAACATAAATGCTATTTTCAATAACGGAGACAGAGAAGAATCCTTTAACGAAAGGAAAAGGAAACACCCAGAACTAGAAGAGTCTGAATTGAAGCAAAACCAAGAACAGGAAAATCAAACCCACACTCAACACATAGACAAACAACAGCATCTACAGCCAGAAGAATTCGAAATTGAACCAGGTAGAAATGATACAATCGATACGAACCCACCTGATAATATTAAATTCCTAGATTTCTTAGACGATATTTTAACTCACCATACACCAATCGAAACAACCACAGAGCAACAAATACCAGCTAAAAATAACAACAATAATGAAAACCCATCCTACAACTGGTACCAACATTTTATCGAGGAAACCTCACCAAATGATATCGAGTCACCAGAAAAGATATCATTAGAAGAATTAGACAGTATTCTATAAGTTACAGTTAACAGTTTTATATATTATTACGGTTTATTCTTTTAAATAAAATACAACATCATTTCATAAAATAATAAATAATAAATAGCATTTTAAGATCAATTCTATTGTATTTAACCAAATCATCAAATCCATATTGAATAGTTGATCTTGAAGCTTAATCAAAGTTCATCTCATCGAATTTTTATGTCACATTCTCATTATTTCTTAATTAGGTATATATTCCTAATGCTTTCGAGAAAAACGTATGACCAATTTAGTTTCGAAGAGCTGTTCAGTAGTTAATGACAATTTCGAAATTGTTTAATTGAACAAAGGATTAAGAATTATTTGATTTTAATACTGTTTAATTAATCAGTTACACTAGAATTGATGGAGATGTTGTTACTGTTGTTCTCATAACTTTTTACCTTCATTACCATTGATTTAAAATTCGAAGTCTCCAGGAATTTTTATAGAGGGGATAATGAGATATTGGAATACTCTGAGCTCGAAAGAGTTAATAGTGAGGCTGTCTCGATCAAGTTTGACTAAAAATGTTAGATTGAGTTCTACAATTGCAATTCATTCAAAGGTAAGCCCAACTGACTTGCAATTTGGTAGAAGAAATTTATCATACTCAAGGGTCCTTTTACAATCTTCAGAAGTACCATTTGATAAGATGACTAAAGATGAACAATTGAGATTAACTGAAGAAAGAGCTATTGATAAGGTTGATGTTTGTATTGTTGGTGGTGGACCTGCTGGCTTAGCTACTGCTATTAAGTTAAAGCAATTAGATACCGATGGGAAATTGAGAGTTGTAGTTCTTGAAAAGGCAAGTGATATTGGTGGTCATATAGTTTCTGGGGTAATTTTAGAACCAAGAGCATTAAGAGAATTGTTCCCAGATTCTGAATTTTATGATGCAAATGGTGACGGTATACCATTACCTCCTGACTTGGTGACAAAAGTTGAAAAAGAGGATTTAAAGTATTTTTTGGGTAATTTAGCTTTGCCAGTACCAGAACCTCCACAAATGGTTAATAAAGGCAAAAATTATATTGCTTCTTTATCACAAGTAACATCTTATCTTGGTGAAAAAGCTGAGGAATTGGGTGTAGAAGTTTACCCAAGTGTTTCAGTATCAGAGGTTATTTACGATGACTCAAATGCTGTAATTGGTGTTGCTACAAAGGACATGGGAATTTCAAAATCTGGTGTCCCTAAGGATAACTTTGAAAGAGGATTGGAATTTCATGCCAGACAAGTAGTATTTGCTGAAGGTTGTCATGGGTCGTTGACTAAACAGATTATTCAAAAGTATAATTTGAGGGAAGATAGACAGAATCAAACTTATGGTTTGGGTATTAAAGAAGTATGGCAAGTTAAACCTGAAAACTTCAAGAAGGGGTTTGTAGCTCATACAATGGGATACCCACTTTCAAATGATGTTTATGGTGGGGGTTTTCAATATCATTTTGGCGAAAATTTAGTTACTGTGGGTTTAGTTGTAGGTTTAGATTACAAAAATCCATATGTCTCACCATATCAAGAGTTTCAAAAGTTAAAAAAACATTCTTATTATTCTAAGGTCCTGGAAGGTGGTAAATGTATAGAGTATGGTGCTCGTGTATTGAATGAAGGTGGTTTACAAGCTGTTCCAAAGTTAAACTTCCCAGGTGGGTTGATCGTTGGTGCCTCTGCAGGTTTCATGAATGTTCCAAAGATCAAAGGTACACATACCGCTATGAAATCTGGTATATTAGCTGCTGAATCTATATATGAAGCAATTTCACAATTGCCATCATTAGAGGAATTGGAAGAGAATAATATAGAAAAGTTGGTAGAAGAGCCAGTTAATTTGGAATCATATGAAACTGCATTCAAGAACTCGTGGATTTATAAGGAGCTTAACGAAGTACGTAACATCAGACCCTCTTTTAATACAGCCTTGGGAGGATACGGTGGTATGGTATATTCAGGTCTTGATTCATATGTTCTAAAGGGGCGTGTTCCATGGACTTTCAGATTCCACGAATCCGATGCCTCTTTAACGAGACCAGCCTCCGAATACAAGCCTATAAACTATCCCAAACCCGATGGTGTTGTTTCTTTTGATATTTTAACTTCTGTTTCTCGAACTGGTACTCACCACGATGAAGATGAATTGTGCCATTTAAGAGTTCCTGATCAAGATCTAGAGAAACATTCAGAAAAGGCATATCCAAAATGGAAAGGTGTTGAAAGTCGTTTCTGCCCTGCAGGCGTTTATGAGTATGTCCAAGATGATAAATCACCTTTGGGTGTCAAGTTTGTTATTAATTCACAGAACTGTATACATTGTAAAACCTGTGATATCAAGGTGCCAACTCAAGATATTAATTGGACTGTTCCAGAAGGTGGTGATGGACCAAAATACTCATCAACGTAGGATTTTTAAATATTCTTTAAACGATGACTGATATCATTCATTTATTTACTAAATTACTTGTTTACTTATTTATTTTGTTTATTACACTTATTTAATTATATTCAATATTTTAGATACAGATTCGAAATCATAACATTTGATTCTTTTAAAATCAATGAGCTTATCGCTATTATACCAACACTATCTACCAACTCATTGACTCTTCTTACCCAAGAAAGATCTTTGTGCTTTATACATCAGTCTGTCCAACATGGAACCAACTGCAAGAACACCACCAATACTTGTTATACAATTCAAAAAGAAAGATGACCAACTTCCAGAAATGTATTCTTTATTAATTACTTTAATTGGAGAAGCATCGAAAAAGAAGAAGACACCTGGTATACCACTTCTAAAATGGAACGTATTTGGATGATCATCATCAGCACCACCTCTCAAAGGCCTGTCATGGTAAGTAGCACTAAATTGAGCAGTGTCTACAACTGCTTTGTTCAAGTATTCGAATCTCGTTGGAACGATTTTAGTATAGTAGGAAAATTGATGTAAATGAGTATCTCTCTCTGGAGCAACAGAACGACCATCCAATGGATTTACTATATTTTTTGAATGTCTAGAAGCCAATTTTGTAGGTATCTCTTTGCCAAAACTAAAATGATGAATAATGTGATTAAAATTTAATTGAGGATTTCTTTCATACAAAGATTGATCATGAAAATGGCCACGTACAGTTTGGAAAGATTTCCCTGGAGCAAAATGAATATTCCCTTGAATTCTATTCAAAGAAGCACTTCCCGCAACTCTACATCCCTCATTTAAATGACTATTAATTTTTTTCACATAACCTTCTTGTTCACATTGTTCGATTCCTTTACCATCATAGAATGCCCAACCTGCCTTAACATAAGCTTTACGAACATCCTCACAAGTTTGACAACATACTCTCTCACTTGCTTCAACTTCATCATTCTTTGATTGATCTATTGAGCCATAACATGGACCACAATAGTTTGGATCGGTAGATGGTGCACCATCTTGTTTATACATATCGAAATCATCCGTCTCCAATACTTTACCATCAGGATCCAATCTAGTCTTGGTGAACCCATATTCCAATACATCCAACTGCAAGTCACCAGAATCATCCATAATATCCAAGTTGATGAAATCACAAGGAACATTTGGGAAACTAATATCCAAATTCAATTCCAATTTGGAAGAATGATCCCGGTCAACAACTAGCTGGGGTTTACTGATAACCTCTCTAAATTTAGACCATTCCCAAGATAACAAATATAACGTAGTCAATATACAACTTATCGTTATTATACCTCCCATCTTAGTACGAATACGTACTTCTTCATCAGGTCTTGCAAAAGCATCCAAAGATGAAAGTTTAGATTTTTTACTCATTCCCTTCAAAATGTAACTTTCCAGCACTGTTTTTCTTTCCTAGAAACAAAGATAACAATAAGTTCAATCAATCACCCTAGTAGACCTTCAAATACCAACTGTACCACCTTCCAATAGCCTTATAAAAGTGACACATGTCTTGTTAAAACTTTTCAAAATAGTCTTTGCTTCTTAAATATTCAAATTCGAAAATTCGATGTTTTACCTAATTAGGACACACAGCCTTTACGAATTCAATAGAGAGGATATGAAATATTTAATATATATAAAAAGAGATTGTAGTTTCGAAAGTAGATATCGAAACTTTGACATATATATATATACTTTATATATTACTTATATGTGTGCTTAGATGGGGTCTAGTTTTGTTGTTATTTTATTTTATTTTTATCCTTCGAATTTTTCATTTTCGATGAATCTTACTAATGCTTTTGAGCCTAGTTGTAGTAATGGATGGCCAGCGACCGATTGCATCCATTTATTTAAACCTATTCTTCTTTCTTCTATGACTTCGTTGTTGAATCTATTGGTCAATAAGATTTTCCCAGGAAGATGTGGAATGACTACTTTTGGATGATTCATCAATGATAGTTCTTTGACCAGACATTTTCTGAAAAATTCGAAATCAGAATATCGTCTTCTTACTCTGCTGATTCTTTTGTTAAAGGAAGGTAGATTTGTTCGACATACGATCTCATAATCAGTAAACATCCCTCTTGTATCGTTAGGATTGGGAATATGCGTCTTTGGATCGATGACTTCAATCTCCAGGAAGTTTTCGGGTTCAGCATATATTTCACTTAAGCTTGGTCCCTTATGGGCTTTTGATAATGTATTCCTTTCAGTAGTGCTAAAGGACTGGAACTGTCTCATTACTATTGAATAGGACTTGAATCGTCAGTGAGATATCTAGTTATATGTCTGTGTAGTGTCGCCAGATCGATGGTTATTCTTGTTGCTGTTGTTGTGTTTCTTGTATGATAAGTTTAAATTTTGATTTGATATAATTTAATTTAAAATTCGGATAAGTTCGACTTAAAGTTAAAGATAACGTTCGAATTAATATTTAGAACAAGTCACCATAAGGGAATAGCTAACGTTATAGGTAGTTCTCGAAGTTTGTTTAGACGTGGGAGCTATATATTTTTCCTGGTGTGACTGTGTAAGTTTGGTTTGCTGGTAATTTCATAAGATTTCATAATGGAAAGAGTTGAAATGTCAAACGAGGATGAAGAAGAGATGTTGCTGAAGCAAGGGAAAGACGAAGGAGAGCAGATAGATATACAGAACAACGATGGTGTCGATACGCTTAAAGAGGGTGATGACGAAGATTTCGATGTCTTTAGAAACGTCGGTCAAGGTTTGACTGGCCAATATAGAGAAATGCTGATTCAATACTGGCAAGAATTAATCAATGAAATTGAATCAACGAATGAACCAAACTCAAAATTTCAAGATGATTTTAAATCACATTCATTGCCATTAGCAAGAATAAAAAAAGTCATGAAAACTGATGAAGACGTAAGAATGATCAGTGCTGAAGCTCCAATATTATTCGCAAAAGCTTGTGAAATTTTCATCACTGAATTAACAATGAGAGCTTGGTGCGTTGCTGAAAGCAGTAAAAGAAGAACTTTACAGAAAGCTGATATCGCAGAAGCACTACAGAAAAGTGATATGTTCGACTTCCTAATAGATATCATTCCAAGAAACTTACCTCAACAGTAAAATTCAAATTTAATATTCAAACAACCCTCCATTCCCTTCCAAACTAAAGAGAACAGTCCCTTCAAACTGTCTTTTCTACAAATGGATTACTCATATTTCGGTAAACCCACCTTTCCCCCAACTACCACCTTGTTTATATATACCATTACCCCATATATGTACTCTTTTTAATACAAGTTTATTATATTCTAGAACCATTGTCAGGTTTCATCACCATCTTGTTGTAATACTACTGGCAAGCCCAGGCTAAGGCTTAATGACGTATTTCGGCGATATCAAATTGTTCAGATAATTTGAACAAGCAAAAAAAAATTGATCGATATAACGAATTGATGTCCAAGAGGTAAAAATTGATGGATACAAGAAGAGTTATAAGAGTTGAAGACTCAAGATTGTGTTTATTTGGTGTTTATTTTCATTTTGTTTGATATTCCCTGGAAGAAAGTAGGTTAAAGGAGGTCTTTGCCAATATTTTTTTGGATTTATATTGGTTAATCGATTAATTTATTGAAATTTTATGAGAAAATGGGGTCTGTAGAAATGGACCAGTTGAAGAAGGCTAGAGATTTGGCCATGACTAATAGTCCTGGTCAGATGTTGCCTAAAGTTCTAGAGACGACAATGGCTTTGTACAGTTCTAGTAATTCTTCAAACGAATTGAAGTTGGAATTAGCTAGGTTTTTCCCACAGTTGTTTTTAGATATTTTAAATCATAGTAAGATCCAATCTAGTGAAAAGCCTTTTATTGCTTCAAGCAATTTGGAGTCTCTTTGGATTATTTGTAAAAAAAATAAAGATTTGTCCACTTATAAACATTGTATATACACTTTTGCAGCTTGTTATGCAATGTTATTTGATCTTGTTGCTAAAACTTCAAATCAAAATTTATGGAATACTATGCAAGAGATGAAAAATTTTATAATTTCAAATTGGAATACCACTTATCCATTACCTTCAAATACAACTGAATTTGGGATCTTGCTAGATAAACCAGTTAATATCGGTTCAAAGTTGGCTACTGCAAAATTCATTAGTGAAATAGTTATCGTGCATACTTCTTCCTCTTCCTCCTCCTCTTCATCATCTAGTAGTTCTAGAAATGGAGTTGTAACCACTAGCATATCTTCAGTGCCAAGCAATCACCCTGTAATAAAAAATAAAGCTCAAATCGAATCAGAAGCTAAAAAGCTGCTAGATGTACTTTTAAATTATCTGATAGAAGAACCATTGATGATTGCTCCTGTATTTGTAGGGATTATAAATTGTTTATCATTCATTATGAAACAGAGACCTCATGCAGCTATTCGTATATCTTCAGCTCTGTTAAAGTTCAATATCGACGCCAAATTCCAATGCGATTCAATGTCTCCATTAAATTATAGATTATCAAAAAGATTTGTTGAACGTTCTTATAAAAATTTTGTTCAATTCGGTTTAAAAGCACAATTAATTAAAAACTCTGGCCAAATGAGTAATATATACACAAAATTAGCTAAAATATCTCAGACTTTACATGGTATTGGTGAGGAAACTAAAACAAAGGGTATACTAAACTTTGATGCTAAGCAAATCGAAAAACCAATGTCAGAAAAGGATAAACTGAAATATATCCAGAATGCAGCAAGTAAAATGAAGAAAAATCTTAATGACGAAAATCAATATATCAAATCTGATGATTCAAAGTCAAGTTCAAGCTCCATATCAGGATCTACAAGTGCAGGCTCTCAAGGTTCATTAAATGAACAAAGGGAAGATAGTACTTCTAAATCACCCACACCAACGATAGATGCTACCACTCAGAATCTAATGAATTTACAAAAGTATACCATGTCCAAGAATTCTTCCACTAACTTTTTCAATACATCTCCAGTTGCGTTTGATAATTCTTACGGTTCAATTTATTCTCTGATGAATAGTAAACATTCTGAACAAGATATTTCTTCGTTATCACAAGATATAATGACAAAATTATGCAGTGAAGCCTTATACAATGTCGATACTACTAGGCTAGTCTCTGGACTGTCAATTGTTGCATCCAGATATACAGAACTAATGACAAAATCAGTCCCTTCAGATTCTGATGCAGAATCAAAAAAAAGAAAGCTAGACGCCGAAGCTACTGAAAATGTAGCAGCCAAAAAGGTTAAAAATGAAGATGAACAGTTTAAGAAGGAACCATCCGATGAAGTGGTTGACGATGAGGATGAATACCTGGCCGATGAGGATAACTATCAAGTTTCCGCTGATCAAAAGAGTGAACCTTTGATCATTAAACCAGCAGCGATGTCTCATGATGATAAGATAAAACATTTGAAACATATTGCTAACAGAATAATGGGTATAAGAGATTCAGATGAAGCAACTGGAATATCAGGTGCCTTAGATCAACCAATAAATCCCTTACAAAAAGTTAAGTTAATGCAGTGGGATAACAAAGAAACCTGGGTTCAAATATTAACAAGATTAGCTACTCGCGGTGTGAGCCATGATGAAGAGATGAGTGACGTAATCAGACAAACGCTTTATGACTACTTCATTGATGATATTAACAATAGAATTGCTATTGTAATCGAATGGCTGAATGAAGAATGGTTTTATGAAACTTTGATGAACGATAAATTGGAAGAAAAAGATGAAAATTCAAATCAGCAAACATATGATAAATGGTCATTAAAGCTGCTCGATGGTCTTGTGCCATATTTGGAAAACCAACACAGAAGAATATTTATTAGGCTTGTAAGTGAACTTCCTAGTCTTACCCAAGAACATATAGATAGGGTGAGACCAATTTGTCTAGATCCTGCAAGAAGTTCATTAGGGTTTCAATCGTTGAAATTTCTATTGATGTTTAGACCACCAGTTAAATCAATGATCAAAAATCTATTGGAACAACTGAAAGAAGAAGATTCCAGTACAGCTGAGCAATGCAACGCCATTTTAACTAAATTTTTCCAATGAACAATCACATTTTTTGTGTGGATAATTTCTAACCTGAAATTAATAAAATTGATTTTTTGTCACCTGCATACTCCCATCATTATCCTTCACATTTAGCACATTACTCCTATATACCATGATTATACTAAATATCACATAGATGTTACATTAATCTTTAAAAGATATGGAAATTGTACAGTAAATTATTAATAAAGTAATATCAAACTAGAAGTCGTAACATAGTTTAATCAATATTTTTAATTTCAGTCGCTCAGAAGAACCGTGCCATTTATTGATGCCAATAATAGTTCTAAGATTAAATAATTTCAAGAGCCCTGGTAAAGCTGTTTTAGAAGAAGAACTATATATTATTGCAATTCAAGCTTACATTTTATAATTAAATTAAATTAAATTATTTTCAGGTGCCACACACATTATCTTGTAAAGATTATATGATTTAATTGGTTTTGATGGCTTTACATTTTAGATTAAAGCTTTTGAACAGTGTATTCAAGTAGAAGTTCTTTGACATTTCTGCAAACCGAAAGAAATGGAAAGGTGTCATTGATAACTTTTATCGATTTACTGGAATATTGCTTTCCTATAGATTAAAAGTGGTATAAATAGGAAAAGAAACTTTCGATATTTCCCTGCTTTTAAATCTATTATATATTTGAATATAATTTTTATGCTATATCTTTATATAAAATCAAAATGATGTATATTTATTCAATTACAAACTATTATCAATATTGTTAATTCGATCACGGAAATAGATTACCAATTAAGGTGAGAGTAAAGACAATTTATATATACCAGTTTGTTGGCATGCCATCCTTATATGGTATTCGTGCTATCTTAAACTATTTTACTAGTAACAGATTAATACTAACCAAATCTTGATATCACGTGACGTATATTGAAGGTTACGATATTTTTAGGTAAGGATCAGTGTTAGGTTAGTTCACATTTGCAGGCTACACGACCTTCATCAAGTTATTTAGCTAACTATATTATAACAAGTTATCTGAAACAGAAACCTTAATTAATTGGACTATGATGAACAAGCATGTAGGGTTATCAGGTTACTTGATTCGACATCCTAAGCATACTTATAGGAATCCAATAGCACAAGGAAGGGCGATACTCTTTCTAAGTCGGAATTTATTTGGTGTAGTTAACCAATATCGCCTAAAGCTTGTGCTAGTTGATATATCTAAATACATTCACACACATGATAGTCTGGGATGTATCCATTTCTTTACTAACATCAGATATACATTAGTACGATCACGTGTAATAAATATCTAAATCATATATGACGAACAAACTCTATCTCAAAGGATGATGAAGCAGATCTTGATGTCGGGTTAATTCTTGAGTAAATATTGAAAACTATCCCTCCGTCCTTTCCAATTTCTTATTTAGCTACTTCTTTAGACCATTGATCCTATTCAATGGTTTTTAAAAGTCTTCAATACATCATCTTATAAAATTTTACATACACAATAGCCATCATTTTAGTTCAATTCTCTATACATATAAATGAAGTCATGTGACAATATATCATTACCAACGAACAAAGAAGAGTCAGCTTTAACAGGCATTTGACTCTATAAGACGACTTGACGAACCGGATGCAACCTAAAGTTTTAAATACATAACCAATAATAGATTTAGTATTTATACCAGATATAAATCCATCATTTGAACAATAGCCCATATCTCTAAGTTTCTGGAAGGCAAAGTTACTTACTATCGCAATTATCGATTTACTTTCCATACCCCTCCCCATACCAAGTAACTACTTTTAACTTAAAAATGTTTTCAAGAATTGCCAGAACTAGTTTACAGAAATCTTCATTGAGATTGTTTTTAAGAGCTCAATCTACCAACACATTAACCAAGACCCAGCTTCCATTCACATATTCTGCTTCCGGCCCATCTTTCATCAAATACACTAATGAACATGAATGGATTGCTGCTCATGAAGATGGTACCGCATTTCTTGGTATTACCAAATATGCAGCCGATGCATTAGGTGATGCTACTTATGTTGAATTGCCAGAACCAGAAACTGAAGTTGAAGCTGGTGAATCCATTTCATCTATTGAATCTGTCAAATCTGCATCTGAAATTTACCAACCTGTCGCTGGTACTATTATTGAAGGAAATGAACAGTTATCAGATTCCCCACAATTGATAAACGAAGACCCATTAGGTGCTGGTTGGATCGCTAAAATTAAGTTGAAAGATATAAAAGACTTAGAATCTGGTGAATTATTCTCTATTGAACAATATGAAAATTTTTTAAAGGAAGATGCCCATTAAATCTGAATTTAACTTAAATTACGTACTGATTTATAGTTTTATGTACATTGCATAATATAATAAGGAAATAAGAATATAGAGGTTGCATAAAACAATAACAATACTTGACCAAATATCGAAGATTCTCAATTATGTAGACGCTACCACAATTCATTAACATATAATCACTCACAAAATTAATCGCTTATCACATTTTCAAAACTTGAGTAATTTTTACAGATTAGTTATAATACTTAAATTTATTTATCTAGATTATTTATTCGACAACTTTTTCTTCAGATTCTTCCAAGACTTCTTCTTTAACTTCTTCAACACTAGTAAAATCATCTTCAGAATTGCTCAATGGAATCATGTTAAATGTTTTGTAACCAAACTCTTCCTCGAATCTAGCGCCAATTTCAGCTCTATATTCGGTCCAGTCTTTCAACATTTCACGTTGTCTCAAGATCATATCTCTGGTAGCAGCATCAGCTTCCATAGCATCTTGTTCAGCAAATTGTGCGGTCCATTCCTTCAAGTTCTTTCTGATCTTCTTCTTTTCAGCATTGGTCAACAAAGAAGCTGGTCTTGGTCTCCATGCGAAGTTCTTGAAACTGTTCAATGGTTCTTCCTTAACAATGGTACCAGCAACGTTAAAGACCTTGTAACCATTTTCCATCTTGTGCTTCAAGGAACTGGACCAAACAGCTAAGAATCTACCAGATGGATCCCATGCCATATCGGTGGCAGATGGGAAGCTGTTAGTGGCAACTTCTTTCAAACTGGCGTGAACATCCTTAGTAACATTCATATTCTTGTCAGTTGCGAAATCCATGTCGTAGAAAACGAAGTCTGATCTACGAACATTTGGTTTAACTAAAGTTGCAACAACAACATATCTACCAGCTGGAGACCAGGAAATGGTGTTAGAAAATTTATCCGTGATAGAAGCAACTTCTAACCATTTCTTAACACCAGTAGATTTATCTTTGACATCTCTCTTTTCTGGAGCAAAGAAAGTGGCAACATTCTTTGGAATAGCAATGTTATCATCACCAGTTTCACGAACAGCAATGACACCAAATCTGTTTCCATGTGGTTCCCAAGCGAAATCGACGACACAATCCTTCAATTCAATCTTGTCACCTGGAATATCCTTTTCAGTCAATTTACAGATTTCCAAGTTACTGAATTGAGTTTTCTTAGATTTAGTGTGACGTTCAACATTGAAACATAAGAATTCAGAGTCTGATTGCCAATGTAGTGTGACATTAGAAACTTGAACCAAATTAACAGTCTTTAAAACTCTAGAACGTTCAACATCGACAATAGTAGCCTTACAAGACATATTGTTAGTTTCAGGAGTCCAGTAAGCCAAAATTACTGATTCTTTATCATTAGCTCTGAATGGTGCGATCTTAACACCGGTTGGAGCAAAAGAGAAATCTCTAATACCTGGAACCTTCAAGGTCTTGTTGTCCATAACGGCAAAACCCTTCTTAACATCGTGGACAACCAAAGTTTCACCAACCATACGAGCACAGTATTGATCATTGTAAGACCATCTAACCAATGGCCATTGCAAGTAAGAACTCTTGACAACTGGGAAGGTAGATTGTAATAAACCAGAATCGATATCCCAGATACACAATTGATGGCCTTCATTCTTCTTGGTAAATGGACAGTCTGCATCTTCTTCGTCGACAACAATTGGATCTGGAGAGTAAGTAACTAAGAATTTTTCAGAAGGAGAAACAGAGGAAGTTCTAACATTTGGATGGTAGAATCTTCTCAAACGGTCAAAGTGAGGACCACCCCACATGACAACACCTTGTGGATGGTATGAAAACAAGTAAGTACCCTTTGGAGAGAATCTAATATAGTTTGTAGACCAATTCTTTCTAGATTCAACAACAGATTCTTCATCTTCAATAGCAGAATTCCATAGGACAGTAGTCATTTCGTTGGCTTGTAAAACAAATTGATCTCTACCATCTTCATCTGATAACCAAGATTTCAAAGTACTAGTTGGGAAAAAGTCTGGAATTTCAGGTTCAACAAATTCAGTTGGGAAGTTTTTGTCATTGTATTTTTCGACATCCCTCATGGTGTAGATAAACAAACGATGTTTCAAATCCAATCTCTTGGTGTGGAAAGCTTTGATAATCTTATTACCATCAGCTGGAGAGGCACATTCCACAAATAAGAAACCTTTAGTCTTACCGTCTTCAATTGGGAACTCGATATCAACAACTTTACCAGCCTTGGAGAACAAACCAGTCAAAGCCTTCTTCAAGACAGCAACCTTACCCTCTGGGATAACTGGAGCACCGCAAACAACGATGTATTGATCAAATGAGACAGTGTCATTGACAGAATATTGTTTCTCCAAGTCGGAGAAGTCAATATCATCGACAGGAATATCTTCAAGCTTGATATCTTCTAAAGCAGCAGACATACTTAAAATTAACTCGCTGGTTCTTTTAAATAAGAATCTAAAGACCCAATTACAACAGTTCTAAAACCAATCTTTAAACTGTTTGAAGTTGGTCTTCCTTTTAAGTTCTATAGTAAAACATTGAAAATTTTTCATTATATTCAATTATTTGGCCTTTGAGAGAAGATTCAGTATCGGTTGATAGCGCCCTAAACGTATAAAACGATATATGTTGTCAATTTAGCAGACAGTAAATGAAGAACGAATGTCACCATGACCATAACGACAACGACAACGATAGTTATAATCGTTATAGATCAACTTTGATCCTATGAATTAGATGACAATAGCGTGCTACTATCTTGACTGATAATTAGTCTTGTCAGGAATATAATTAGTCTTGAGGGTATCGATCTTGAGTTAAGTATATATCACTTTTTGATTCTTGTTTAAACGATATATATAGATATATATATGGGTGTGTAATTTTAAAATCAGTGGGTTATCTAAGTATATGGGATGGATTATATATGGAAATGTGGATATGCATCTAAGAAATTTGCTTATTGTTGCATGTGTCATGATAGAAAAACGGGCAAAAACAAAACTAGAAATAAATTGATGGAAAGTTTGTAGGAGGAGTTAGAATTCAAAATTGATGGATCAAAGGATCAGAAATAAGGTACAATTGATTCCAATTTCAATTTCAATTGTGCAATTTTTTCAATTCATAAAAATGGTTTATATGTTCCCATGATATTTATCTTTCTGATTTTATTTTATTTTATTGAGGGGGGATGTTTTTTAATTTAAATAATGCATTTATTCTATTTCAACGTCGCCATCTTCGTCTTGTTGATTGTTATCGTCACTAGACATGTCTTCATCGTCACTATCGTTGCTACCGTTTACCTCTCCTTTAGCGTATTCAATAGCCTCGTCAAGAAGATCACCTGTTACAAATTTGTGCACTTTATCAGTCTCTAACGAACACCAACTTATTTCCAATTCGAAGTCCTTTTCTTTGTTATCTTCATGGGCCAAGTAGATAATTCTGGCGGCTTGCTTTATAGCTTCTCTAGCTGACAATCCATCTGGGTTCTTATCAAACAATTTTTCCAATTCAGTCTTGGCAATTTGTCTCCCGCTACCTGCAGCAGCACCTTTGTAACCCCAGTAACTCCCACTTGGTTCAATCATATATAAGTGAGAACCTTCGTCGTCAATACCACCAAAGATAGCAGAGACACCGAAAGGTCTGACACTATTGTATAAAGTGTGAGCTTGGACATACTGACCGATTCTATCGGCAAAAGCAGGAATTGGGATACGTTTACTGTACATCTGAGAGAAACTTTTTGATTCTTCTCTACCTCTATTGACCAAATGTCTACCATCTGGAATTAAACCAGAATACACACAACCAATATGACGGTCGATGACTTGAATCTTTACGTTCTTCTTTGGGACCAATAACTTGGAGGAAATCAATTTTTCAACCGCAAACACAACACCATCATTACATTTTATACCAACAGAGGTTGCACCATTCTCAACCGCTTTCACAGCGTACTCCACTTGGAAGTTTCTACCATCTGGAGAGAAAACACTATTTGATAAATCGTAACCAGTACCAATAGACGTCATCTTCTAGCTTATTTATTTATATAACTGTAATTTTCTTTTGCCTTGTCCTACACTGGAAGGTATATATATATATCCTATGAGATTCCCCTTTAAAATATAAAATTTTTGATTTCCAAAGATTTCAAACCGAGCCAAAAACCCAAACACAAAGGTAACCAATATATGAACAACTGTAATACCTTGAGCAATTGACTTATCTGCCTCCAATTGCGAATTGACCTTAAATGATTTCTCTTTAGAACTCAATTGTATAATAATAACCTTTTACTTTTATAATAAAGTTTGCCACCTTCCTTTGAATTGAACATTTCCAAACGTTCTGATGCTTTTTTTTCTTTTTTTTGACGTTTTGTGAGAAAACTCGGCAGACGAGAACAGATCACGTGAATACATCACGTGGACGCAAATATTACAATCCGGGTAACTGGAACAGTTGGAAAATGCGTCTAAAGTGATACGGTGTTCAAACACATCACGTGCACAGAAGCGGAGACTGAACTCCGTGATATGCGACTACAACGGAAGACACACACACAGATCGGGTCGGTCGATCTCGATCACGATCTCGATCTTGATCTTGGCTTTATATAAAGGCTGCTATATTACTATATCTATATACAGCCAAAGGTATGTTCATGGCCCAACTGAAATACAAAATACAAGCTACTGGCCTGGAATAACTGATTTCATGATATCCATTGGTTGCTAATTGGTATTTGATCTCGTTAAGCTATATTTATGTATATGGGGTTGTCCACTTTGCGAGGTGGTTGTCACTATAGATCATCTCTTCTATAATGGACTGCTGGCAAACCTTCCAACAGAATTGAATAAATTTAAATCAACGGAGGAGAAGGGTCCACAGATGGGCAAGTTGTAGAATCTGTATTGCTGTTGTAAACTACATATCTTCTCCCAAGTCCAAGGTCTGTCCATCTTCCTTTTTTTGGTGGCTAATGGAAATTAGAAATTAGGAAATGAAGCTTCATTTCCTAATTTCCGTCGCTCTTCTGCGAGCGTTTCTCTGAACCGATGTTGTGATCTTTTTAAGTCTTAAAGTGTTTATTAATTTGCATATATGAATTAAGTGAATACAAGTTGATGAGAACGTTTTGAAAGTGAATTAGTAAGCAATTGATACAAATAAATTGATATAAAAGGAGATACCGAACTCTCAAATAACGTTCCATTTCTTTTGTGTTTAAGTTTCTCTCTTTACTTAGAAAAATTCCAAAATAAAATAATTTTTTGGCCTTTTTTACAATTTATCCTCTACTCCTATACTAGATAAATATATCAGGCTTCTCCTTATTTATTATTGACAAGATATTCTATTTACAAAGGATACTAAAAAGCAAACAGACTATATCGAGATCACAATGGCTTCTAATCCCCCAGGTAAATGTTGTTTCCAAGGTTTCAAACATGAGGGCAAACCTATTGGTGAAACCAAAGAATTATACGGTGTCAACACCTATATTACAGGTCAAAGCTCCAGTTCCGATAAAGTAATCGTTATTGCTTCAGATGTCTATGGTTTGAAGTTGGTTAACACCAAATTGGTTGCTGATAAATTTGCTAACGCTGGTTATAAAGTTTACATCCCAGATATTTTATTCGATGATGCTATCGATGTCGACGTAAATGTACAAGATGGTTCTTTCGACCTTCAAAGTTGGTTACCAAGACATACTCCTGAAGCCACAAGAGCTATATTTGAAAAATTCTTGAAAGGTTTAACTGCTGAACATTCTCCAAAGTTTTTAGGTTTGATCGGTTATTGTTTTGGTGCAAAATTTGCTGTTCAACAAATTAACAAAACAAATGGTATTGCAAATGCTATTGCTATTGCACACCCTTCATTTGTCTCCATTGAAGAAGTTAACGATATTGATGTTAATAAACCAATCTTAATCTCTGCTGCTGAGAATGATGAAATTTTCAATGAAGAAGGCAGGCATTTAACTGAAGCCAAATTGAAGGAAAATGGTAATATTTACCAACTAGATCTATTTAGTAAAACTTACCATGGTTACGCTGTTAGAGGTGATATTAAAGTCCCTGCAATTAAATATGCCATTGAAAAAACTTTCTTAGATCAATTGTATTGGTTCAACTACCATTCTGAAAAATAAACATAGTTTTGTCTCGTATATAAATAAATAGTTTATTTTAGTTATCTTTACAAATTAAGTAGTATGCATTTAAGCATTACCGATTCTTTGTATAAATTATGTTTTAATAGACTACAATTCAGTAAGCTAAAAGTGCAATGCTTGAGCAGAGTTATTAAAGTAACTCTTATGGAATATATTAAAGCTAAAAATCAATACATCTTCGGAAGAAAAGAATAAACAAGCATCAATATATTCCAGAAAGTATGCGAACTGTCAGAATATAGAGTCAACTCCCAAAAAGGAAGTCATAATCGAATAGATCTAATCCTCCAAAGATACCACGGAAATCAACATTTGAAGTGCCATCATTGTCAATTTCAAAATCATTTATAATTCCCATCGATGAATTCCCATTAGCCGGCGATTGCATATTGCTTAAGCCACCAATAAAACTGTTTTGGGTCGAATGTGGATTTGAAAGTGTATTGCCAGTCCAATTTAGCGGATTATCAATATTTTGTGAGATTGACGCTACTGAAGTCAATTTATCCAAACTATTTCCGTACATAGAATTCATGGAAGGTGCACCAGCTGCATTCTGCAAATTGGCACCGTCATTCATGTCTTGAAATGAGACATTTGATGGGTTTTGTTCTTCAGTCAAATTAGTACTAGGCGGCCTGTTAAATTGTTTTTGAGCTACGTTGATAGCGTGATAAATTTCATTTAATTCATCTAAACTAATATTAGAAATTCTGTTTCTCTTTTTCAAGTCATCAATCAAAGTAGTCCTGGCACCAAGGTCTACATTTAGTATCATAGCAAAACCTTGGACAACCTTCGGATGAAGGTTTTCCATTTGAGCCATTTTAAAAATTCCTGTTAATAATTCTCCCTTTCTTACCCTTTGAATCAGAACGTCGTATATAGCTAACATCTTAAACACCGAATAATAAGTAAATCTCAAATGTTTTGATGCTAATTGATGCATTGTTTCCATCGCATTTTCAAATTCTTTTTTTAATGAGTTTAATGTAGTAATTTTGCCAATTAATTCGTTCATTCTTGATTCTATGTCTGAGTAATCATTTATATCAGACGAATCATTATTTGCTTTCCTATTTTTTTCATTTTCATTCTTATTGTTGCTATTTTTACTACCAGTTTGATTCTTATTGTTTAAATTTGCATTATGACGTTGAGAAATGTCTTTATATTCAGTTAATAATGTTACACCTGCAAGTTCCAACCTCATAACGATACTTAATAAACTGAACATAATAGTAGATAATGATAATTGTGCAGTCTTTGTAACGTTATAACTTGTTAAAGAAGAATATTTAGTACCATATCCCCCACTAAAGAATTTTTTAAATGTAGACACTAAAGATAATGTGTCTAGACAAATTCTTAAGAAATATCTATAATGATAAGGTAGTATTTTATTCAACTCAAATTTCGTTTCACTTAGTGACTCAAAGTGAAGGAAAAGAGCTATTGAAGTTCTTAATAAAAGCAGATTTCCCATCATTCTTGAATGTAGAGTAATTGAGTATTCAGTTGTAGTGACTTTCGTCAATTGATTTATCCAGTCATTTGTATTATTCGAACCTTTGAAATCTAGGATTGGGAAGGTATTATCTAAAAATGTTTCAATCTTACTCCTTAACCCTTCGATTTCAGATAACTTGAAAGATCTATTAAACGTTAAAGTCATGGAGTCCAGGTCGGACATCAAAATAGACAGCTGCATTCTTTTAAAGGATATTTCGTGGCTTTTATATAGGCGTTGGTTAAAGGAATCACCCATATCTTCTTTAACTTTTTTCAAATAATTCTCTAAACAGTTAGGAGCGTGAATATCTTCGACAAACATATTTGCCAAATTCTGAACAAAAACAGGATGTCTGCCCTTCAGACAAGATTCAAAACATGTTGTTGTGACTACTGCTAACCATAGCATTCGTCTGTGATTGAGCAAAGAAGGTTGTATAATTAATTCTTTCAATTGTGGAAAGTTTCTCGGATCTCTATGAAGACCAATTGTAGCTCCTAACATTGTTATCAGTCCTGCTAAAATATCTGTTGGATGTTCTAAAAAGAAATCCCCTTCTTCTGGTGAGAAGACAAAAAAGGACCAAATATACAACAGACAGCATACTATATTTTCATTGGCGCAAGCACATAAATTTTCAGCCACTAGGAACTTTTCAGCTAAGATAATAGCGTCATTTGTAATTGGATAAGTTTTCAAAACTTCATTGTTAATGAACAAAGAAGAAGTATCTACCGAACCTTCTTCGTTGAATCGCAACGATATATATGACAGTTTCAGTATAACTAGCAACAGACATATATTTTCTAATTTGCTTCTTAAATGCCTTGTACCTAAATTCAAAGAAATTTTTCTATCTTTTACATCAGCTGGGGCAGGAAATAAAATAAATGATAGAGTTTCTTCGAAGGTTTCTTTATCTAAGAAGGGAAGATTTGGGTAGATCGATTCATAAAAGTGAGCTTTGTAACTGATGATCACATCGTATGGCGGTAAGAATTTTTCGAATTCATCTATAAAAGTTTTCATTAGATCAGAGTAGTAATATTCACCTTTACTGTTTTTATCACACATATCTTCTAGATATGAATGTTCAAAATTGTTTGACATTGCGGCAATCATTTCACCCACACCTGTGCTTTTTGAGTTTATATCATGGGGAGAAGCTGTAGTTCCACTTGTATTTGAAGTTACGGATTCATCTTCTGGGGTAGCATCTTTTTGCAAGATCCTATTCATGAAGTCGTTAATTCTATCACGTTGTTGTTCTGAATGTGATTGTTTTATCAGTATTCCTTTTAATTTTAAGATATGATTTCTTACAGAAGGCTGTAAATTTACAGAAGCTGTATTTTCAGAAAGTGCAGTGATCATTGAATTTTTTGAAGGATCCAAAAAAGTTGATGCGAATAGATTTGATAAGAATTTATCTTGGATGATGATATAATTTTCAGCTAATGGTTTAACTTCTCTTTTCATGATATTGTTCATAATCAAGGAAGGATGTGAATTGTAAAGGTTGATATCATCGATTGCAGGGGTAGTAGTCTCGTTATTTGGATTTAAATTTGGTATCTGTAAGTTTTCCTTTTGTTGAGGATTCTCCTTTTTCACATTTCCAGTTCCAGTTTCAGTTTGAATGTTGGGTTGAATTTGAGGATGTTGTTGAGGTGTATTTTGCTTTTCTTGGAGTAATGCAAAGTATTTAGTTTTATAATTTTCTACATCATTTTCCAATCTTTTAATGATTGCATTTTTCGAAGGGTTTTTCGGTTTTTTCTGTAATTCTATGTCATAGATACAGTTTAGGTTATTTTTGATACACCTGGTACAATTCGGTTGTTCCTTGTCGCATCTTGTTTTAGCCTTTCTGCACTGCTGGCACACGAACGAGATTCTGTTGCGTCTTTTGACGATTCCGTCTGTGGAACGGTCTCCAGCATTAGAGTGGTTAGTTTTTGATGTCGATGATAATGTTGTTGCAGAAACATTAGCCATAATGACTTTCTAACCAAACAGACAAAAATTTATTAAGGGACCCACTTGAGACTTGACTAGTGTAATATACAACTAAAAGGTGAGGCTAAGCTTTATAGTACTTGTATGATGGAGCCTGACGAGAAGGGATGGCGGCGAGACTAGTCTGAGCAGAGAATATAGTATAATAAAAGTGTAATGAAGTGTAAAATAATACAGTAATTTAGAGTCGAATCGGGACGAATCGAGTATATGAGATGAGATGAGGTGGGATGAGATGAGATGAGCTTTAGAGCAATACTTTAATGGATATTATACCTTCCAAAAAAAGGTTAAAAAATCCTAGTATCTTCTTAATTCAGAATGGGTGAATAATACGGATGTGATATTTGTTGTGAGTGATTTCGGATATAGATCAAGTGTATCCGGATGATGGTAGGAGATAGAAGTGGTATATAAGAAAGTGATGAAAAAAAACATCACGACGGCGAAGGTTTTCTGAATTTTGAATTTTGAATTTTGAATTTTTGATTTTTATGTTTTGGGGGACCCCTTTGATGTCCGTGTCCGGTGATGTTACCCGGCTGTTGGGACTTGTGAATTGGATTTGGAGGCCCCAGCTTATGAAATCTGTGGGTCGGAGCAGGAGCAGGGAAAGGGAAAGGAGAGATGTGCAACACCACCAATCAGCCAATTCTTGTTGTTTCGGTGTAAGTGTAAGTGTAAGTGTTGGTGTGGGTCGTCTCTCAGTTTGGGATGAGTCCCTTCGAAGTAGAAATTATAGATTACAGAGAAAGAGAGAAAGAGAGAAAGAGAGAAAGAGAGAGAGAGAGAGAGAGATAGGGGTTATGTTCGTTTCGTGATACATGATTAGGGTAGGCGTGACAGTGATAGAAAGACATTGGGATATTGGGATATTGGGCTCTGGGAAAAGGGGTGGGTGGGAAGAGAACCAAAGGTATTAATGGTGTGGATCGAAGGGTGTTGCTTCGTATGCAGTTATCTCACAAGAACAACAACAACAACAAGACCAGTATCTATTATTACCCAATCAATACAATACAATACAATATTGATTGGTTCGGAGTGGATGGGTGGGTCATCTCTCGATTTTCCTAAATCTCCGCTTTTGTCCATTCGAGTCCGCTGGCCGGTGTTGCCCTTGCACTTGCACTAGCACTTGCCCTTCTTGCTTCTTGCTTATTGTTTCTTGTTTGTTTGTTTGTCTCTTGCTGCTGCTGCTCTGATAAGTTTCTATCTCCGGGGACAGAGCGGATGTCCAAAGCGTGACTTTGGCTTTGGCTTCGGCTTTGTTGACTCGCAGCAGGTAGAGTCACACCGCACCTCTACACCGCACCCACATTCTCCAACAGAAATCAAGGACCACCATACCTAGACACACACACACAGTAAAGAGATAAGATAACAGATGAGCCAAGATTGATCAAAGAGAAGAGCCAGTTTTGTGTTTTTGTGTTTTTGTGTCAATCAGCATGAGTAGTCGACTCTTGTTCTTGTTCTTCCTTTCTCTGGAAGTGGCGGTGGCGGTGGCAGTGGCGGTTCTTTCTTGCCACAAAATAAAAATACTACACAAAACCAAAAACTAATTATCTTTCCTCCGGTCGTTTAGGGATTTACCCCGGATGACCTATTTCTGCCCCCCACCCCTTTCCTCTCTCTCGTAGCTCGTTCACGTCCACTTCCCTTCCCCTCGTCCTCCCCTTATTTCCTCTCTTCCTCTCCACGTCCTCGTCCACTCCAGCCAGCTCGATTCTCAAATGACTTGCCCTGGTTCAGGAGTCATTCCCCCCATCTCTCTCTCTCTCCTATTGATAGCTCGCCTAGTCCTGTTTCCATTTCTTTATTTCTTTATTTCTTTATTTATTTTTTGTTCAGATATATAAACATCGGAGTTTTCAAGAGTTTTAACAACTTTCAAATCTTTCAAGATTCACACATTTTATTTATTCAATTCCTTCACATATCTCCTCTTTTACTTCAACTCTTGTCTTTATTTTCAATAACCAGTGATTTCCACTATATACGTATACATATACATATACATATACATATATATATTCATTCCCAACAAATACACACATATACCATTCAGTGCCACACTGCACAATTGCTCCCTTTATTACCGATCGTGCACGTCTTTAAACTCATAATTTAGTTTACTAGACCTTAAATTATTTAATATACCTATTTTTCCCCTTTGGTTTATACTTTGATCCTGATCCTGACCTATACCCGTACGCTCCCGCCACGCCACTATGAAAGATAATACCAATAACAATAACAACAACTCCAATAAAAAAGATTATGAATACGAACATTTAACTAGCACCCCCATCGTCATACAGAAACCAATCGATGATAGATTACAACCTTCCCTACAACACTCCTACAAGCCTTACTTATCAGGTTTCGAACATTATAAACAACAGTATCAATTATCTATAGATGATCCAGAATCCTTCTTCGGTACCCATGCTCGTAACCATTTGGACTGGTCCATTCCTTTCAACAAGGTATTCATCCCAGATGAGAACGGTAAACCAAATTTCGTCAACAACAATTGGTTTGTCAATGGTCAATTGAACGCTTCCTATAACTGTGTAGACAGACACGCTTTATCCCACCCAAATAAAATTGCCTTGATTTATGAAAGCGATGAACCTGGTAAAGGCTACTCTTTAACTTATAACCAACTGTTGGTTCAAGTATCTAAAGTCGCTCAAGTTTTAACTTACTCAATGGACGTCAAAAAGGGCGATAACGTCGCAGTTTATATGCCAATGATACCTGAAGCTATCATCACTTTGTTAGCAATTGCAAGAGTCGGTGCCGTTCATTCAGTGGTCTTTGCAGGTTTCTCCTCAAACTCTTTACGTGATAGAATTAACGACGCTAATTGTAAAGCCGTTATAACTACAGATGAATCTATTAGAGGTGGAAAAATCATCGAAACCAAGAAAATTGTAGATGACGCTTTAAAGGAAACTCCATGCGTCTCAAATGTATTGGTTTATAAAAGAACAGAAAATAAAAATGTTAATTACGTCCAAGGAAGAGATTTAGACTGGGACGCCGAATTGAAAAAATACAAAAATTATTTCCCTTGTACTCCAGTTGATAGTGAACATCCGTTATTCTTGTTATACACTTCAGGCTCTACCGGAGCTCCAAAAGGTGTACAACATTCAACTGCAGGTTACCTTTTAGGTGCTGCATTGACAACCAAATACACATTTGATGTCCACCCAGAAGATATATTCTTCACAGCTGGTGATATCGGTTGGATCACAGGTCATACTTATGTAGTTTATGGTCCTCTATTAAATGGCTGTACCACTGTCATTTTTGAAGGTACTCCTACTTATCCAAATTGTTCTCGTTACTGGGATATCATCGACAAATACAAAGTCACTCAATTCTACGTCGCACCAACTGCCTTGAGATTATTGAAAAGAGCTGGCGATTCATATATTGATGGCTATAATTTATCTTCTTTACGTGCTTTGGGTTCAGTAGGTGAGCCTATTGCTCCTGAAATTTGGGAATGGTACTCAGAAAAAATAGGTAAGAATGACATTCCTATTTGTGACACTTATTGGCAAACTGAATCTGGTTCTCATCTAATTACAACTTTTGCTGGTGGAGCCACTCCAATGAAACCAGGTTCGGCTTCATTCCCATTCTTTGGTGTAGAACCTGTTTTACTAGATGCAAACACAGGAAAAGAAATCACCGATCAAGACCACTGTGAAGGTGTATTAGCAATTAAAAGACCTTGGCCATCTTTTGCAAGAACAATTTGGAAAAACCATGACAGATACACAGACACTTATTTGAAGCCTTATCCAGGTTACTATTTTACAGGAGATGGTGCGGCTAGAGACAAAGATGGGTACATTTGGATTTTAGGCCGTATCGATGATGTTGTCAATGTCTCTGGTCATCGTTTATCTACTGCAGAAATAGAATCTGCAATTATCGAGGATGCAACAGTTGCAGAGTGTGCTGCCGTAGGCTTTGCTGATGATTTGACAGGTCAAGCTGTTGCTGCATTTGTGGTTTTGAAAAATAAATCTAGTTGGTCTACTGCTTCAGAAGAAGAACTACAAGAGATTAAAAAGCATTTGATATTAACTGTTAGAAAAGATATTGGTCCTTTTGCTGCTCCTAAGTTGATTGTATTGGTTGATGATTTACCAAAGACAAGGTCAGGTAAGATTATGAGACGTATCTTGAGAAAGATCTTAGCTGGTGAAGCTGATCAATTAGGTGATGTCTCAACTTTGTCAAATCCAGGTATTGTCAAACATTTAATCGATTCTGTTAAGATATAGATAAATTTTAATTTATGTCCTTTTTTTATTCATTACCTCATCTTATTTTTGTTATTCCCTAGCACAATATTTTATTTGCCCAGTGTCAATCCTACTTACCAAGTCTTTCATTGAATTTTATTTTAATTTAATCTAGTCTGGATATCCTATTTTATTTTATTATATTTTTTTCTTTTCATTATAGTAAAACAATAATATAACTTCTGAGATTATTTTGCATTGTGAACTTCTTTTTCGAAATTTTGACTTTTGTTAGAAACATGTTACATGATGGGCAGTGGGATATTGTAGGCAAATAACAAAAAACATTAATCGTATGCATTATTTATTATATGAGAAACTTTTGATGTTCATGCCAACTGTTTGTAGTTTTCTATACTATTCAAACGTATATATAATTCAATCAAAAGAAATCAAATATTCAGCTGAAAATTGGGTGAAAAAAAATAGCAAAGACTAGTAGAATAATGAAATGAAACAGTTTCTATTTTACTTCAATACATAAAAATCTATCTAACAAATAAAACAAATAAAACAAATATATAAATATTAGTTAAACTTATTGTTGAGAGAAGTGTTCCAAGATCATGTTACGTTCATCAGTAGCAGCACCCCAGTTAGTAACAACAACAACGGAAGCACCGACAACCTTTCTAACGTTACCTTCACGGTCGACCTTACCTAAACCAGCCCATTCACCTAATTGCTTGGCATCAGCAACCTTGATCAATGGAACCTTGTTTTCAGATTCGTTAGCCAAACCTTCAACTAATTTGATAATGTTTTCTTCAGTAACAGAACTGACCAAAACAACTAATTGAGCTTGACCCTTGGTCAAAGCCTTGGTAGATTCTCTCAAACCTCTGGCCAAACCATCGTGGATCAAAGCAGTTCTCAAGACAACCTTTAAAGCATCTTCAATGGTGACTTCAGCAGATTGTTCAACGACAACTTCTTCTTGGACTTCAACAACTTCTTCAACGTCAGACATGGTAACTATAATGTTATATATGGTGTCTTTTAGAATTGAACTGAAAATATATACATATTCTACAACTAAACAACAAACATCAAGAGTAATGATCTTCTTAATGGAAGAGAACAGAATAAACTTAAACCAAATCTATTGCTCCATCGATGATGATATTCAGTTCATCTCATCTTGAGATTTCATCAAAATAGTGAAAAATTTTTTGCCTGGCATCTCATCGCATCTCATCGAATAAATTTTTCAGTTAGGGTCACATGAAAAAATCAATCATATAACAGCAACATGATTATGAAAGATGTATGTTATTATAAGATTAATGATGTTGGTTATTACAGATATGATTGAATTATTTTCTATATAAGTCGGATAGCTGTGAATTTATGTATTGATATAAAAACTGGTTAGAATATTAAACTGGAATTTTATATAATTGAATTCACCTCAGATTTTTCCATGCTAAGTTGTGACATACTCTTAAATAAATACCAAATATCTTAGTTTGTGCTATTTCATTGGATGAACGATTAAGTATGTGATGCAAATAATGTATATTCATCAGGTTTAGCTAAAATATGAAAGGATCAATGTACTTTCTAGATTCATTGTCATCAAAGGAATATTAAGTAAATATATATTTATAAGAAAAACTGTGAACAATCAAGGAATTCCTACATGGTAAAGCTAATTGATTAATTTAATAAGTAAACCGATCTTGAGTATCTAAATTAATTTGAATGCCCTTTGTTTAAAAATAATAAAAAAATAGGACTTTGAATCGATTTTTTATCTGTTCGAAAAATAACCACTAACGCTAGAAGTTATTAATCACTCTCAAATATCCTATTTTCTGTTTATTGCTTATCCTTATAAAACAGAATTCATTGCTCAAACTTACTTTGCCTTAAATATCAGTTATTAGATGTATATTATTAAATATTTCTAAAGGACCAATAAAATCCGTCAATTGATACCAATGAAGAATAAATACAACAATTGTTGTAACCAAACTATGTCATGACAGTATATTTAACTATTTTTAATTGGAGAATAATAAACTATTAAGTTGCGGTTCATTTTGTTTACGGAAACATCAATTTCCAACAAGCCTATCTGTTCTACCCTCTCCAAACATAATATGCTACATGTTCGAGTCCTTCCCCGCCCACTTAAACACACTGTAATAAACAGATAATGGAGCTATATAAATAGATCTATTATATTTTTCGATGATAACTCCTAGTGAGGCTCCTCAGATACATCGAAGAAATATATGTTAACCAAATATCAATAGAAGCAACCGACTTAAGCTATGCTCTTATTTACGAAACAATGATACTAGTAAATGTTTTGTCGTTGAATAAAAACTAAACATAGAGGACAATTTCAAGATACCTCACCTGAAAGAGGATGACAACTTCTAGTTCCTTCTTGCTTCTATCCCTTTTAATTATCTAGGTCCAAATTCTGGACTACACTCTTGCCAAATCTAAGTGGTTAGCAAAAAATTCAATCACAATCTATCATTAACCATTAATTTTAATTATTGTAGACTCTACTGATATCCAATAGTCATTCAACCATAATTAGGGTTAAAAATAATATTTCAACATCGTTTGCCATTCAACACAGGACCTCAAATATTCATTAAACAACTATTCAATTAATTATATTAGATACTTACTGATAATTTAATATCTTCAACCCCATCGAATATAGTCTATAATGGTCAATTCGCTAATATTCAGTGACCTCAGTTTCTTTAATGCTTAGAATTTTAACTGCACTATAGATAAAAAGCACATAATTTAAACCAATAAATTATTCAAAAAACAAAAAAACATTTAAAAATTGCCTCAATTCTACAACAATTTAATTAAAATTTGTCAAGTTTTATTATTTTTAGTCTAAAAATTCACCCCAATTGATAGATCTTAAACAATACCTTTAATAATTACTTTCTCATTACCTATTCTCACCAAAAATAATCTCGAGTTCGAAAAACTGTGGTACTTACCAATAAAAATCCAAAGTGATCTGTGAGTTCTAAGGAAATTATATAAAAACTATTTCATTCCCATTTCTAGTAAACTATCGGGATCTTATTTTAACTTGTACTATTGCTCTAGAGATTACAGGTTAAGATGACCTTAAAATTAGACTATATTCTTATTCTTTATTTGGATATTTTATAAATCCCTTCCTTTATCTTATAAAGAAGAAACTGTTATGTCGTCTAGATATTTCTCCGGAGACTTGATCAAAAATCATCAATAGTAGAGAGGAGTAAAATTAATTGGCATCTGAAACTTGCGATTCTTAGTAGAAATAAAGCTCCAAAGAAGCAACGACAGAATCTGATATCATAGTAAGGTTTAAACATCAATTATCAATATTAATTAGTGTTAAAAGTTTCAAGCACATTGTGTCTACAAAATATATTAATTAGTTCAATACAAAAAGTTGTAGATTTATTTGTACACATTTGAAACAATATATTCGCAAATTTAAAAGTGACAGCATTATTGTCTTATTTCTTTCATTGATATCGCAATAGTGACATAACGAATTTTCTTCATTTATTTTGCAAATAAGACTAAGGAAAATTATATATATCTAGAGTAAATATTTAAAAATTATTTGTTGCAATAACTTGATCGAGAATGACTAGAGAAATAATTCTGAGATCAGTTAATCACTGGATAAAAATTATAACCATTACTAATAATGTTGCCATTACGAGCATTAGCAAACTACAAAAATATATCCTACAGTATCAATGATTTTGATTTATGGATTATACATAATGAAGTGAAATGGTTAGGTATTAAAATGCCATTTATGCAATTGAATATGTAATATATTTAAACTCCTAAAAAAACATGTATATTTATCATAATGCGTAAACAAAAAAGTATATCTATCATAATGCGTAATAAAAAATATGCCCGTACAAATATATGCACTACGTTAAAAAGAAAACTGACAATAAACCTTCTGAAAAATGAAGTTATGCCATGATGCTCATTGCAGGTAATGTCAAAGAGACAGCGGCACCTCTCAAGTAGAATTTGGATAATTTAGATCTTTCTGCTAATACACCACCTATTAGCAAATATGAACCATTGTTCATCGCTACTATACATCCAATTGCCAATACAGTACTTCTTGCATTTACTGTCTTATCTCTCACTAACTTATATTCATCAGTACCTGCAACGAGTTTTAGTTCCTTTGATTCTAATTGAAATGTCTTTAAATTAATATAGTTCACCAAATTACTTCCCAACGCCAGCCCTTCATGATCTCCGCCTACTTTTGCCTCATCTCCTAAATTGTAAACTGAATTAATGTCGTCTTGAGTTAGACCACCAAATGACACCGCCGAATAGCCGATAAAAGTCAAAGTATGACCAACTAGAGGAATATCAATCGCCTTGTACCGATCCTCTTGTGGGTTTTTAATCAAAAAATGTTCATGTTCCCAAGTTTCTTTAGTAAAATTAAATAACCACATATCTCCAATTACATTAGTATGGTCAGAACCACCATGGATAATTAAAATTTTACCTTTGTTAGATTCACTTTCTAATTTACCATTCCTCTTAGAATATAAGGATAGACAAGAAGGAGATGATTTCTTTTGCATACCTTCACTATAGCCAGTCAAATGACTTGAAATCGACATTTCTTCAGTATTAGATGTCTGTACCTTTAATATTGGTGAATCTTCCTTTTGATCATTATCAAATAAATTAGTTTCAACGTGAAATGAGCTTTTTAGTCTCTCTAATAGTCTTGTTTCAAAGTCTCCAAAATCAACCTCCGAAGATAACTGTACAGGAGGCACAACAAAACCAGGGAATGCTCTTTTACTTGGCCATAAACCACTATCTTGAGGTTTTTCTATCATTGTAGCATATGCAGAGGGAGAAAATTTCAAATATCCTAATTTTCCTTTTGACACGACTGTGATTTCAATCTTCCACATATCATCCATAGTACAATAATAATCATCTGTGGTTTGAGAATATCCTCCAAATATATAAATTGAGCAAATGGAAGTGAGAAGAGAGTTTCCCCTTGAATTGAATGTTCTAGATTCAACATATTTTCTTAATTCATTGACATCCATATTGGCGGTTGATTGAGATTCACTCTTTTCTACTCTCGATACAGTGTTACTAACGGTTGTGCTTAAATTCGATTGATTATTAGCAACAGCTTGTGCATGTCCGAACCTAGCTTTAACAGTCGGATAGTTAAACCCACCATATGGTCTACCTAGAATTTCAATCTTTGTAAATTTACAAGTAACAATATCTAAGATATAGCCAGATCCATTTACAAATGCTGTCTTAGATAAATGAATTTTACCATTTTTACCAAAAGTAGCAACTGTTTTAATTTCGAATCCACCATATATGAATATATGTCTCTCAGTAATTTTGCTACCTTGTGCACTGATCAAAGGAGGTGGAACCTGGCCGGAAACTTCTGGCTTGCTTAAATGTTTTGATGACATTGACAAAACATATAAATATGGATTAGATATCATCGATGGACAGTTAATAATCTCAGGAATTAGTGGAGGAGGTAAATTTTTAACACCGCTAACTTCAAAATCTTTCAAACTTGGAGCATCTTCATCATACAGGTAACACGCCATTAGGCCACCTAACATATAAACGTTATCTCCAGTTGTTACAGCACAATGATATACTAACATGGGAAGTTTTTGTTCACCAAATAAAGATGGCATTACAGACATACCGCCATATGGATCTGCTGCATCAGACAAATATTGGGTCCCTTTAATAAATAATGGAGTTGTTTTAGATTCATATATAGATTTCTCACCGTTAGTAGATAAAGAACAAGCTGCATTTTTCCTAACCGCAGGCATCCACACATTGTATCTTGACAATGATATATTATCAACTTGTCGTACTGTTTCTAATCGTTCGATGTATTTATAGTACGAAGAGGTACATTTTGCACCTATAGCTTCTAATCTTTCAATGGCAGAGCTATCACGGTTATAGTTCTTGTTGGTTGAAATATGGTTTTCATCATTTTTGTTTTCTGAGATTCTAGATGTAGCATTCGAATCTGAACCTTTATTTAATTTTTTAGCAATCTCGGTGTCATTTTCAAATTTTTCTATCTCCTCTAGATCATGAACATCCAATATAATATCTGAATCATCGAAAAATTTATCAATAATTTTTCTTAATTTGAATATATCTTTCATACTTGATGTTGTGTCAGATATATTAGTAATACTATTCTTCCTTAGAGAGCCATCTTCTGTATTATTATTTTCAACATTATTATATGGTGTAGCAGATTTATAAGAATAATATTTTTTCAATAGATATTCATTTCTTAGATCGAAATTTTTCCTTGCAATATAATCTGTATTATTCACTGGAAGTTCAAAATAATTAGTAAAATAAGGTAGATTTTTCAATACCTCTTCTCCTTCATCTAGGGAAGGTGCTTGATCTATATTATTATCGACCTGTTCTTCCGGTGCCATTTGTTTTTTATGCATCGCCGCCAAATTAAGATATTATCTGTTCTTTTTTCCCTTTTTTTTGATCACGATCTCTTTTCCACTCTTTAATATTAAAAGAAATAAAGGTTTATAGCCACACTTCAAAAATTCGCTCACTATTTTATTATATATTTATAGTTATTTCGAATGAATCCCAAATTGTGCTAGAGTATTGAAACTATGAAGACAACTGGCTTATTCTTAACCCGGAATATTTTCTAGAACTGATATATGTACCTAGTTCTAAGCAATGGTATATATATATAAAGAGCTGAGATACTAACAGATTTAATTATTCTTGGCACTTAACTTTTAACAGAATCTCAAATCCAAATGCAATTATTTACTTGAAATTGATGAAATTACGTTAAGAAGAAATTTACACTTTAAGAATTAACTTATTTGAAAAGTTACCTATACTTATTATAAAGGTCTAAGAGACTAATGCAATGACAAAATTAGTGATGATAATAATAAGTAAAAAAAGAAGGATACCCTGAGGCAAAACACACAGAATTTCTAATTTTTTTCTTTACACTGATGGTAATAATATCAATAGTATCTTTGAATATACACATAATAAATGCACCGACCTTACTATACTGTCCTCCAAGTAGTTAACGAAATTTGCTTCTGTTAGAAATACTGTATATCAATCAATAGAATAAAGACGTTTACTAAACGCATCTCTGTATGCCTGTTTGATATCTGGCTACGCAATTTAATAATAATTCGGAAAATTCTGTGAAGAGTTCCACTAATTTTCAATTTAAATATAGTTCGCTTGTTATGCTTGCCATACAAAAAAGAAATACCTATACCGAGAAAAGAAACAAATGGTCAATAATTTTAAGAACGTACACTTAACAAACAAGGTGGTTTGTTGACGTGCTACATTAAATATGTAATAATAGAAAAAGAAAGCAATAAGACAAAAGCAAAGACAATGACAATAATACGTATAATCCCGAGTAATCTCAATAGAAAGAACGATGGCAAAAGAAACATGAACCTCTACAAAGAGACTTCTTAATTTCTGTTTGTGCCATTTCCACGGTATTGTTCTATTTTTTGCTACGATGTACTTCGTTGTTAGTTGAAATCCCTTCATCTCCGACTTAATTAGGTACCAATTATAATAGATATAGTTAATAGAATCAAACATTGAACCAAAAACTAAATAAAAATGAGGTCAAGTCAAATATATGCTACGTATTGTTACAGTATCTTAACCATATTCCAGACTACGGGAATCATTCCTTGTTCACTGTTCCTGCTTAAGCTAACTACTTGATGGTTAAACCATTCCTACTGTCTGTCTATCTATATGTATATATGTAGTAATAATGAGCCGTCAACTGCCTTTCTATAAATATCTAACCAGAACTAATTAGGAATATACAAAAAAACACAAAATAAAGAAACTAAAGAAACTAAAGAGACAAGATACATACTATGATGTTATGATGTGATATATCCATTTAGCTTAGCTGTATCTGCTTTCGCTTTTTATTCATTCAAACTGGCTCTCTAACTGACCTGCAGATTATGATAAAAACTAGGAAATTAATTGAGGGCACACTAATTCATGCAGCAACAACCAGGGATTTCATTCTTCCTTCCTTGCATGAGTATATAAATAAATATAGTCCCATGATCAAGCATCTACCCGTGTAAGAAAATACATCACCATGCATATGAGGAAAATAATAGCCGAAGTAAGATAACTAAATTTCTTTTTTTTACTGCTCTTGCCTTGTCTTCGCAATTTCTTTTTCCCAGGTTTCCCAAGCCGAAGTTCTAAGAGAAAGAGGCACGTCCGAATTTTAATTTCTCAGTGAACCAGGCGAGCGTGTTACGAGGACGTAATTAAATTCCATAAAAAAGAAACGTTAACACAAAACATATAAAACACAATAAATATAATTCTTCTACGAAAGAATCTTGGGAAACAGGAAGTTACAAGGAAGGTTCAATAGTTTTTGTGAAAAACCTTGAATTATTTCTTTTTTTGCTAATTTCTGCATACTTGTCTCTATTTTTGTGTAACAAAAAATAAATACATTATATTATTTTGTATCGTAGTAAGTGTGTTGTACTCTCTCTTCCTTTCTCGCATACATATATTATTTAATATATGTTATAATTGCTTTTTGTGGATGGTACGGATGTTTCTTCAGCTGAGGCAGAATTTTTGGTTTTCTTGTAACAAATTACATCAAGCTTAACTATGCTCATTTTTCACATATACAAGTTATTTTGCATTATAGACCTTTCTTGGGATATGATTGATTACTCTTGGAGGAAGGGAAACATGAATTGAATTTTAATATGTTTGTTGGACTTATTTTTTTATTCAAGCTAATAATAACTATGATGACGATCGTGAGATCCCTACATAAAAGTTTCACGAATAGGTGGTAAAAAATGTTTCCATTGCTATTTCTATTTGGATATGGGAAAAGGCGGGCATTGTTTGGTTTATGAAAATTAATTTGATTTTTTGTAAAAACCTATGAAGATATCTCTAAATAGAAATTAATTAATCAACAATTCATCGTTTATAATAATTCTTCACAATTCCAGTAATCGGATTTTTAGTTTTTTTTATGTTTTTTTTCTTTTCAAGGTCCTTCTGTGTTCGAATTTAATTAGAAAATATATTGACACTTCCGAACTCTCATGGGAAATGTTGTTGGGTATTATGTTTTTTTAGCTTTTTTTCTTTTCCTTTAGGCAAGTGTCAACAGGAGATTGGGATAAGGGTTATTTTTCACAAGTAAAACGTTATAACACTAAGAAAAGGTTGGAGATGTTTACGCCGTAATTATCAGCTGCTTCACCGAAAGAGCCTAAGAATTTTTTTACTCCACTCATTTCCCCTTTTGTCATAATATAATTAACATGAATTGAAAAGCGCTCGAAGTTTGAAACCATCTATTGACTCAATTTAAGATTAAAAATTTCCTACCTCTTAGAGGTTTCACAATAATGTAAATGCAGAAGTAAATATATGTGTCTCTACAGAGATTACTGATATTAAATACAAAATAGTAGATTAAATATTAGTTCATAAATAAAAAGGTCCATGATATTAAATGTATATGCGCATAGCTATTTTCTTGGAGAAAATGTTATCTAAAAAAGTGATAAAAGAGTAATAAAAGAAAACAAAAAAAAAATTAGAATTAAATAATATGAAGTAACAAAGTAGTGAAAAAACACAACAGAACAACGTACAAAACGGTATCCAAACGGAAAACTTATTGGTTACTTTATCAAATATAGAAGATGATAATAATAAAAATAAATCTATCCATGATAGAAATCAATGCCACTTAACATTTAACAATTATTTTTTGTTGTTTATCTTGAAAATGCAAATAATGATACTTCTCATTGAGAATTTGTAAATTGATGCTTGTCCGTTAATTCTATTGAAAATGATGTGGATCTTGGTAGTCCAGTTTTATTCTGTTGTGTTGTTTTATCACGATTCTTGGTATCCAAACTGTCCGTAGACTTTCCTATCACTAATGATCTGGTACGTTTAAACTTACCAGTATTTTTCTTATTACGTTTAGTACCGTTGTTAGGTACAGTAGCTTTTGCTGAGTTAAATTTTTGGGCATTAGAAACAATAATTTGAAATTTAGGCTGCTTCTTAGTGTTCTTCTTCACTTTACAAGCTTTATTTGCGGTCTTCGCAGTTAAATTAGATGTTAAAGATGAACTAGATCTTTCACTAATAAAGGAACCCATCTTCGGCAGTTCTGGAATCCTCAATGTATTCATATTATTATTTTTATGATTCTTTGGTGTGGGTGAAATTGGAATTCTAGCCATATCCAAATCAAACAATTGTTCATCTATATTACGATTTTCCAAACCATGATTTAGTAGTGGAATCTTATTAGGATCTAATTTTGTTGAAGACTTGGTGACAGAAGAATTCAATTGGATAGTTGTGGGAGATGATCCATATATGTCGTCATTTGTCCTGTCACCTGATGATTCTTGTAATGATGTCTTGGTCAACATTGGATGCTTAGATTTAGAGAATTTATCATTCGGGGTCTCCATAAATTTATCGATACTATATTTAGATACTGTTTCTGGAGTCTTCTGCAATCTAACAGTATCCTTTCTTGCCCTTTGGAAATCAGCTAACGCACTATTAGATGAAATTAAATTCTTTGCATATGGGGTACCAAATTCATTTAAAATTTTCTTTCCATAAGGCGTGACGGATAGAGAAAACCCTTTGGAAGGAGATGATGAAATTGACATTTGGCGAGAATTAAACATTAGGTTCAAATCTATGTTTCTCAAGGGAGTTTGAGAATTTTTGCCTGCACTTGAGTTACCCAAATTGGTATTAAATAGGTTGCCCTGGCCATTGGTTCCGGAACTTAATGCATTAGAATCTGTAAAGAATCTCAATGGAGTCTTAGCAGGAGTCTTGTTAAATAAATTAAATCCAGCAGGAGATTCGAATAAGAATTCTTTAAATTGTTCTGGAGATGCTAGTAAAAACTCATTTGGAAAATTATTATTAAAATGCAATGCCGAAGATGGTTGTAAATTCATATCATTTAGCGACTCTCCAGCATTGGTATCAGCTGCAACACCACCAGTGGCGCCCAAAACTGATCCATTATTTGGCAACCTCGAATGCATACCTGCTAAAATACTATTTTCAATTATAGAAGAATCACTATCAGATTTTAGAGAACCACCTGATTTCCTGGAACGACCGTTATTGGCATTGAAACCTGAATTCAAAGACATACCGTTGCCATTATTATTAACACTATTACCACCGTGATTATTATTGTTTAATTGGTTTGAAGAATATGGAGTTGGAAATTGGGTAGTCGTTGGTAAGGGACTATTAAATGAATATTTCAAATGTTCAGTAACAGCTTTGTAAAAACTAGCATCTGAATGAGCATCGTTTATGTTATGTTGCTGTAAATTATCAGCATCATTAACGAGAGCTGACCCAAAAGTACCTCCTGAATTTCCGTTATGATCTTTTGAACTCATGATAATAGCCTATATGTCCTCCTATTCAAGTAACTTTAGCCCCCAAAAAAACAAATAAATACAAACTAAAGAATATGTTCAATTTAATGCTCAAATATCCAATATAGAGTACTTTGCCCAATCAACAAAAACTTGTATTTATATATATAATAATATCTCCCTAAGAACCTCTAACCTTATTTCCGCTCTCAAAAATTTGCAAAATAGTAGAACTGGAACGTAAAGCAAGCGAAGAATCGAAATATATTACACCACTTTCTCACTTGTAGTCCTTGCAGTAATGCTTTTTCACTTTTGTTATACTATATACTATAGTTTAGTATGATACAATTTTATTTTAAATCTATTTAGCCTAGTAATCAAAATAAACAAAACTTGAAAACTTGGCCCCTGTGTTTTTATCTTTCAAATCTAACAACCAGCAGTTCTCACCAAAACGTACCTGAGAACTTCTGCCCTTGACCTGATCCTCTTAAAGAACTCAAAATCTAAAACTAAACAAAATTTATACAAATCTAATCCTCTTTCTAAAGAGATAATTTACTTTTATAAACATTAACTGATCTAACTTGTTTTGTTGTTTTGTTTTGATTCGATTCGATTTGTTTTTTGTTTTTTTTTTTGTTTTTGCGAATTTTCAATACTTTGGCGTATTCCGGGTAACAGATCAGGATGGTGTATTTTTTCGAAATCAATAGAGAGATATTAAAATGTCAAAGATGAGATATCAAAATGGCTATTAAGAAGAGGTTGATTTTTGGGATTGTTGACTTGATTTTTGGGATTGGAGGTTGCAGACGTGTCAGGAACTGGGTCAGAGTTGGTTTTGGTTGATGTACAATTGTTAGGTCAATATTTTTTTGTCCCTTGAATTTTCTAAGTATTAAAACGTTTCTGGAAAAAAAAAGTACTAGGCATCTGTCAAAAAAAAAAAGGTATTGAAGTTAATATAGACATACTCTAGAAAAGGTTTTAGAATTTCCATAGTATAGTCTGTCAGGAACAGGGTGTACTGGAAAAAATTATATTTATAAAGAAATATAGTAGAGCGTACAAGAGTTGACGGTGGATTGAAATTTTGGTTTAGATTTGTTTTGTTCATATAGGGATTTCTTGCAGTTATGTCATCAGTGGTGCACGAAAGTGGTACTGACGATGATTCTCCTTCTAAAGTTTTGGCTGAGGATTTGAGAGAGTTCCATATTAGTTCACCTTTGGAAAATGTCAAAGTTAAGAAATATGATTTCGAAACTACTGTCGAGGAGATTGACGATGGCGAGTCTTCAACGACGCAGGAAACTGTAGAGGCCCCTAGAGGAGGCAAGAAAAATTTCAAACAATATCTTCCCAATCATGAGTTTTCTGATTCGAAGTTTATCACGAGAATTGAAGATCCAGGCAACGATTCTTCGGTGGTTGGGGATCATAGCAATGTTATAGATGGATCCTTGATACTGAGAAGCAAAAATGGTAGCAGCGGAAATGGGTACTTGAAGAAATTAGAAGATTGGTCCTTAGATGACGAAGGAACGGTGCAAAGAAAAATTGGTACTAAAAATGAATCAAATAAAGAAAATTATGACCCGCCACAATGGAAACATCATTTGTTATTAAATGGTAACATAGATAATAATAATAGTGGTAATAACAATAAGCTTTCAAATTTAAAGGCAAAAGATCCAGAATCTGATCTTATTGTAACAACTTCCTTCAGTGATATTTCAGGAATTCCTACTAATACATTCAAAAACCATAATAGTAATAAGAGTAATAGAATGGATTCGGGAAAAAAGTCTTTAATGGAAGCACCAATTGGGGTTCGAAATGAAAACAAAATTTTGAAATACGAATTCAATGAAGAAATTATGCAACATGATATATCTGAAGATTTTGCTGATGACCCTGCTGCTTTCGCGAACAACGTTTTTGATAATATGATGAAGAAACAAAGATCAATGCATCAGCTCCCAAATGTCAGTGGCATTAAAGGAACAGAAGAAAGTGACGAAAATCTAGACGAAGGCTATAGCACAGATCCTGTTAGAGCCGCTCACGATGTCTTTAATGGGATCATCAAGAAAAATAAAAGACACAGCTATGAGTTTCAGACAGTAAAGAGCAAAGGTCCTCGTCGTAAAATCAGTAACACAACGACTACAACAAATACGTCTATTAATAGTAACTTCAAGATTAAATCCTTAGATACTGAGCCCAAGAAAAAGTTAGAAGAATTCGAAAGCGATTCATCTTATTTGGGGGATACACCTTCACTAATGTCATCCCCTGTTTTACAGAGGTATAGTGAAACTAATTCAAAGTACGAATTTAAACTAAATCAAGAACTCGCAAATAAGAAAAAAATGACTAACAATGTGCCATTAATTAAACCAGAAGCATTGGGTTTGGTGTTCAATCAAGGAACTGGTGTTTGGGAAAAACCTAACAAAACATTTTCTTCACAAGATATATCAAGTAGTCGAACAGTTGATAATATAACTACGACAAATAACAGCGATATCACAGTAGAAGAACAATCTGAGATTTCAGAAAGAGAAAAACATAAGGCAGAACCATTAGCAAATTATACTGGTATGGATCTTTCAAGTTTAGATGACACACCTATTGACACACCAAAGATAAATCCAAAATTTTTACTTCGAAGAAATGAAAATGATCGAACTAAGAAGTTAGATTCGATTCTCCCAAGCTCTTCTGTGAATAATTATGAAGGAAATAAAGATTCTAAACATCAAAGTCATGGGGATATAACTAGAATTTCACAAGTTTTCGATTCATCATTTTATCAAAATAAACAAAAGTTAATTTCAGTTTTAACCGATGTGATAACATTATATCAAGATAAAAAGGAAACACAATGGGAAAAGATAGATGCCATTGATCTTGCAAATCAAAACTTGGTAAGTCTAGTTGGTATGAATGAATTGTTGCCCAACTTAGAAGAGATCGATTTGAAGAATAATGAGATCAATTCGCTTAGTGGATTACCAAGCGGTATAATAATTCTTAATATGAGCGAGAATAAGCTGAGTAACAATTTTATTTCTTTAGAAAATTATCAAGAATTAGAAGATATTGATCTGAGTAGCAATGCATTGAAATTTAATTTGAATTTTTTATCTCATAATAAGCATTTAAAGAAGGTGAACTTGAGGTACAATGGAGTTGAGTCTTTAAATGGATTGGGAAATTCTCGGTTGATATCCCTTGATCTACGAGACAATTCAATTGAAGGGGAATTAGATTTTAATAAGATCATTAACAGCGAAAATATTAAATGTTGGGAAAGTATTCAAGAATTAAGATTAGATGGCAATGAGATAACAAGGATTTGTAATATCTACCGATTGAGAAACTTGAAAAAGATAACATTACTTAATAATCCGATAGTGGAATTTGATATTGGCAAAGATACACTGCCTCAATTAGAAGAGTTTGAAATTAATAAAAATGACGTTTTGAACGTACGATGCAAGAAAAAAATATTCCCTTTCCCCAGCATACGAAAGTTAAAAATTGGATGGTTGAATCTTAATAATATGATTGTAGAGGAAAAGCAAAATATACCTTTTACACTAGAAGAGATTGAAATTATTGGCAATACCGAAATGGGAAATGAGAAAAATGATAAGAATATTGAAGGAATCAAAGAGGTCATAATGAGTTTACCAGTTGGTACAAGTAAATTAGCAATTGAAAATATCAATCTAAAAGGTAAACTTATTGAACATGCGGAAGAAAAATTACCAATATTGCAAGAAATCAATTTTAATAGATGTGGCATTACAAGCCTTTACGAGTTAATGTTATTTTTACCAAACTTAAGCATAACCAAACTAACATTAATTGACAACCCATTAGTAAGCAACTGTAACCGACAGGAGACACAAGAAATGGAGCAAATAATTAAGAAAGCATGTCCAAATTTGCAAGATCTAACACTAAATTAAATAACAAATATTATTAAATATCACAGTAACTACAACAAATTAATGTCTAGCAGTATGTAACCATAATAAAAAAAGCATGAAAAAAATATAGATCGAGTGAGCACTATTACAATTGCCTAATTGAATTTCATTTTATGTCACCATTTCTTCTTGGTGATGTTTTTTATCATTTTAGTAAACAATACACATCGATTGAATCTTGTTAAAATACTCAATTAATAGCCATCTTCAGCTCCATTGGTAACCAAATCTCCGGTATCTTAAATTTTATAGCACCGTTTGGTATTCGATAGTGGGAAATTGTATGAACCGAATCAAGTTTCACTTCAAACTAACAAAAGCAATTGACTATTGTCATTCCCCTCTTTATCTAAAGATCAAATTAAATTAGAAAGATCTTTACGCAATCTGCTGTGAATAATTTCCATTACGATTTCTATAATAGAGAGACATACATAATAGCACTATATGATAAACCGACAATGACGTAATTCGCTAGATTCAATTTACCCTACCTGTTCCCCTCTATTCAGATACATTACAATTTAGCCTCTTAGTTCCGTGGATATTAAAAACAAACAATGAACATGTCGTATTGTTCCGTACAGCACCACAATGAACTATGCCGTACCACATCGTATCCAGCGGTACTCAATCTTCTTCCCCTATTTTTTATGAATTATGTTTCTAATTTCCCCTCTCTCTTTCATAATTCGGCAGCTAGCGCCACACACACGTACACCTATAAGACCCGTCTGAAGAATTCTCTGCATCTCAGAAAGAAAAAAATTATTTAGAAATGTAAAAACAAAAAATCTGCTGCCTTCCGACGGAACTCTGCGAAAAGCCGTACACTATGCTCATTTCGATATCATTAACAACCGATTTCCAGCCATATCCCAGAATATAGTATATATCTGCAATCATAAGACAAGGTAAGGTAAGCTCTCTTTCGGGCAAGCAGCCCAATAAAGATAAGTGGTACTTTCTCCTCCTACTTCCTCTCCCTGCCTTCTCGAACCAATCGTGAAACCATCTCCTCCGCGCCACCAAACAGAAAATACAAAAAAATACAACACAAAAACACAAAAACACATCATAAAATATATAGGTCCGGCTGCGAAAAACGCCGTACAATTCAATTTGTTTTCTTTTTTTTTTAGTCAATGAATCCGAAATTCGAAATTCGAAAAACACTTTTCTTTTGTTTTTTGCTCTGGCTTTATTTTCTGAATTTGTGATCGAGAGGGGGCCATGATGACCGTCGTGACGATTGAGAGGGAGAACAACAAGAAAAATACAAAACACAAAAATACTAGGAAACTTCAAAGTTACTCTCTAAGACCTCGACGCACACCAATTTTCTGTTCTCCTCCGAACTTCTAAAAACCCAAAAATTAAAAAAAAAATGATGTAAATGAAAACTAGGGGACACAAAGCTGTTATATTTTGTACTAGCGTTCCTCCCCCTTCCATATCACATATACTATCATCATTTCATAAAAACTAGGAAACTTACAAAGAAAGAGAAAGTGTAAGGTCGGATGAATTTTTTCGATTGATCAAGATATCTTTTGAGAGGGTGGGTTGGGTTTCTTGCCATATTATTTTATTATAGCAACAATGTCAGCCAAAAGCAACCAACAGCCTTATTTTACTATGCTTTCTTAAATTCTTTACTATGTATGTACATTGAAAAAGGTCTTACTTCGGTCGGTGATGTTAAGGTTAACGTCGGTGGCTTCACTTCGTTCTCCCTCTTTTTTTCCCTTCCCGTTTCTTTTACCAAATAGAACGTTTACAAGTTAAAAAAATAAAGACATACTGGCCATTTTTTTTAGAAATATTTGGGTTTGGGTCAAAATACCCAAAGCACTACAATAGTTAGCGATGATGACATCAATTTACATATTATTAATATGCTAAGCTAAATACCTTCTCTCCTCTAGTCATACCTGCGTATTTTTGGTTTTCACAAAAGATACATTAATCAAATTTTGTTGGTTTGCTACCGTTTTTAATAATCACAATTAGCAAACGACAAAAATTATAGTGTACTGACTGCAGCATCAGAGGAAGGGAAGGCCAACTAACCATAACATATATTCATTTCCCCTCCCTATCTTATGTTTTTTTATCATTATTTTGCCTTCCTCATCTCTTGAGGTTACCATAATGTAATTTATAATCACCTAATTTTGAATTCATATATATATTTATATATAAGGAGCAAGGTTAGAACATATATAAATATTCTTAACTTTAAACTTTAATCAATTAATCTATTATTTATTGAAACTTTTTGGACTCTGTGATATAGAATATAACTGTACAAACCGAAGTATTCGTATTGCAATATAATCAAGAATGCTGGCACACTCAAGAATCGTATCTAGAAAATTATACAATTTAAACACAATTAGATGTTTCTCACATCTACCACTATCTGTTCCAATCAAATTGCCAAATGGTTTGGAATATGAACAACCAACTGGTTTATTCATCAACAATAAATTTGTTCCTTCTAAACAACACAAAACTTTTGAAGTTATTAACCCTTCAACTGAAGAAGAAATTTGTCATGTATACGAAGGTAGAGAAGATGATGTAGAAACTGCTGTTCAAGCAGCTTCAAATGCTTTTGAAAATGGCTCTTGGGCCACTATCGACCCATTCATTAGAGGTCAATGTCTACACAAGTTGGCTGACTTGATTGAAAAGGATAAAGAAATCGTTGCCTCTATCGAATCTTTGGACAATGGTAAATCTATTCAAAATGCCAGAGGTGATGTTCAATTAGTTATTAACTATTTGAAATCAACTGCAGGTATTGCTGACAAAATCGATGGTCAATTGATTAACTCTGGTTCAAACTATTTCAACTACACAAAGAGAGAACCTTTAGGTGTCTGTGGTCAAATTATCCCTTGGAATTTCCCATTATTGATGTGGGCTTGGAAAATTGCCCCTGCTTTGGTTACAGGTAACACTGTTGTCATGAAAACTGCTGAAGCTACTCCATTGTCGGCTCTATATGTCTCTCAATTCATTCCAAAGGCTGGTATCCCACCTGGTGTATTTAACATTGTTTCTGGTTTCGGTAAGATTGTCGGTGAAGCTATCACTACTCATCCAAATATTAAGAAAGTTGCCTTCACTGGTTCTACCAAGACTGGTATTCACATCTACCGTTCTGCTGCTACCACTTTGAAGAAGGTCACTTTGGAACTAGGTGGTAAATCTCCAAATATTGTTTTCGGCGATGCTAACTTAAAAAATGCTGTGCAAAACATTATGACTGGTATTTACTTCAACTCTGGTGAGGTTTGTTGTGCTGGTTCAAGAGTCTATGTCCAAGATACCGTTTATGATCAATTGATTGAGGAAATTAGAGCTGCTGCTGAAAATGTTAAGGTTGGTGATCCATTTAATGAGAATACTTTCCAAGGTGCTCAAACTTCTCAAATGCAATTAACTAAGATTTTGGAATACGTCGATATTGGTAAGAAGGAAGGTGCCACTTTAGTTACAGGTGGTGAAAGAATTGGTAACAAAGGTTACTTTGTTAGACCAACTATCTTTTCTGATGTTAGGGAAGATATGAGAATTGTCAAAGAAGAAATTTTTGGTCCTGTTGTCACTATCTCTAAGTTCAGTACTATCGATGAAGTTGTCAAGATGGCTAATGATTCCGAATATGGTTTAGCTGCCGGTATCCATACCAGCAATATCAACACTGCCGTTAAGGTTGCTGACAGATTGAAGGCTGGTACTGTCTGGATCAACACCTACAACGATTTCCACCCATGTGTTCCTTTCGGTGGTTTCAATGCTTCTGGTTTAGGTCGTGAAATGTCTATGGAAGCTTTGAACGGCTACTTACAAGTTAAGGGTGTTCGTGCTAAGTTATATGATTAGTCAGGCTATTCAACTAATTCACTCCCATATTTGCACTGAAGATAACATTCTATCCATTATTACAACATCAATCATCATCTACATTATAATCATCCAAAAAAAATCATAATAAAAAAAGTTATGAGGAAATAGACAATATTATATATCATTATACCATACATATTCACTACACTACATATAATATAATATTTTGTGTTTTATTATTATTATTATTATTATTATCATTATATTAAAATATCAGCCGTTTCCAATCTTGTTTTTTCGTTTAATCATTAGGTTTTATTTCCTTTTTCTCAATAAACTTGGTAGTTTTTAAAGATTCTTTTTTATTATCTTGGATATGTGTTGTTCTCTTAATCCCCCATAATTCTGTTACTTTTATAAATACAAATATCACAAATAAGGATAAAAATGCTGTCCATATATTGTTCTTAACTGTTTCTGGCAACAAATAGTATTTTTCAAATATATAATCAAAAATAAAATCAAATATATTTTCTAATTCGTCGTCGTCATTAATCGAAGGTTTCATTGGTTCTTTAATATTAACTAACTTTCTTAACTGTAGTTCTATTTCTCTTTTTTCTAATTCCATCTTTGGAATAAACGTAATATTTCCAACCATTTCAGCTTCTCTAATATCATACCCAATATATATATTATCAATTAACATATCTTTTGAACCGCTTAAAAATTCAAAAACTATACTTCCTATTTTCTTATTAAAATTAGCCGGTTTCTTATCTTGATAAAAATCTGGGTTATTGATCATTTTCGGTTTCCAAACACCTTTATAATTAGGATTAACAATTTTAGGAGAAATAATATCACCCTTATATTTCTGATTTATTATCATCTTTGGTTTCCATTGGCCACAACTATTAGCTTGATAACAAGATGGGTTTTTTATAAATGGAGCGATCCAGTCACCATCTCTACTACTCTCCCACCAAGTTGGCTGTACTCTTTCTGGATCAGGGATATATTCTGGGATACTTTCATCCCAATTTATAGGTTTGTAATCATTTGGGTCAGGGATATATTGCGGTTCATTTTCATTCCAGTCCGATGGTTCAATACTATCAGGATCATCAATAGTTTCCCTGTCATCCCAGTCAGTTGGTTTTTTGTCATCTGGATCAGGAATTAATTCTGTACTTTGAAAACCTGGTTCAAATTTTCCCTTTTCAAGTAAATTGCCTGCATAGTTTACAACACCATCAATTCTTATTTCATAATTTTGTGTTGCACTGTCCAGAATTAAAGTATACAAATGTGTTCTGAATTCTTTGTCAAGTCTTGACCTTGGAGGATAAGTCATCTGGCTTATCTCTGATTTTTTGCTTAAAGGGTTCATTTTTTTTAAACCAAGTCGAACACCATCATAATTTGGAATACAAATATCTGGACCAAACATAAGAATCATTTCGTCATTATAATCTTGTTCTGGATCAAATTGTTCAATTTGATCTCTTGATAAAAATGGATATAACTTAATGAAGGCGCCACCACAACTTATTGGTTTTTGTAATTTTACTTCATATTGTAATACTAGTTTTGATGTTCCGTTTAATGAGAATTCTTGGTCAAGTTGACGAGCTATCATTGCAGGTCCTGTTTCTGTAATGGCTAGACACATATCATTGTTAAAACCTGGATTGACATAGGCTTGTTTTAAATCCCACCTAACTGGAAACCTTTTAGCTTTATTGGAACTGGTAGCATCCGAAGTTATCCATATATGTTTAAGAGCATCATAATCATTATATGCTTGAAAGGTTTCTAAAAATGAATTATCTGATAACTTAATTTCCTCAAAATTTGACGGCAGTTCTGGATGTTTGTACATATACGATAAACCTTTGCTCGAAACAGGATTTAGCCAAAAAGTGCATAGTAAAAGGACCACATTAATGTACACCGAAAGGACTCCCATATCAGCCAATTACCTTTTTAACAATTATTAACCACCCTTGATCTTTAATAGGTCACAAGCTTTAAATCCATTTCATTTATTTTACTTTTGAATATCCCAAAACAAGTTTAGTTCTCTATATTTGATGAGACACACATCTTATTACCATTTTTATATATTTATATATTTTCACGCATGGAGAAATTGTAAAAAAGATAAATAAGAATTATCATCATAAGAACTCGGATAAATTTGTATAGAATGAGGACGTTTATTTTAATACATAAAAGTCCGATGATCGTTTATTTTTGTTCAATTAATACAATGAATATTTACTTAGCTATTCAGTTTGATATGTTGTCAACTATTCTATAATTTGTTATATACAAAAACATTTCCATAATTATCTGATTTAGAAAACATCACCTTGGTCGAACATAGCATCAGCAACCTTGATGAAAGAGGCCAAATTAGCACCTTTAACCAAAGATGGCAAAGTATTTTCGTTAGTTTCTTTGTTATATTTTTTAGCAGCATTAATACAGTCGTTGAAACAGTTGATCATACCTCTCTTTAATTCTTTGTCAACATCTTCTCTAGTCCAAGTGATTCTTTGAGAGTTTTGGGCCATTTCTAAACCAGAGACTAAGACACCACCCAAGTTGGAAGCCTTACCACCGACATACCAAACAGCATCTGGGACGGAGTTGGAAGTAGAACGAGCAGTTTCGAAAACACGAATAGCTTCTGGAGTAGAACCCATGTTGGAACCTTCAGCAACGAATTTAACACCAGCAGCGACTAAAGCCTTAGCTTCATCACCAGAAATTTCGTTTTGAGTGGCACAAGGTAAGGCGATATCAACCTTACCAACGTGAGTCCATGGACGAGCACCTGGAATGTATTTAACTCTGTTTTCTGCGAAAACGGAATATTCTTCAACAATTTGTTCTAAACTCTTGAATTTGATCTTGGCTTCGGCGATGGCGGCAATTTGTTCGGAAGTAATACCAGATTCTGTGACAATAGCACCTTTAGAATCGGATAGGGATAAGACGTTACCTCCCAATTCGATAACTTTCAAAGCTGCGTATTGAGCAACGTTACCACTACCAGAAATAGCGACACGTTTACCAGCAAATGATTCTTTACCCTTTGTAGCGTAATCAATCATGGCTTGGGTATAGTAGACTAAACCGTAACCGGTAGCTTCTGGTCTAATCAAAGAACCACCCCAGTTCAAACCTTTACCGGTCAATACACCTTCCCAAGAATTTTTGTAAGCTCTGTAAGCACCGAATAAGTAACCGATTTCACGACCACCTACACCGATATCACCAGCAGGGACATCAGTATCTTGGCCAATATGTCTACTCAATTCTCTCATAAAAGAAGCACAAATTCTTCTAATTTCATTATCAGATCTACCTTTCAAATCGACAGATAAACCACCTTTGGCACCACCCATATCTAAACCAGTTAACGCATTTTTGAAAATTTGTTCGAAACCCAAAAATTTCAAAATTGATAAATTAACTGTTGGATGGAAACGTAAACCACCTTTGTAAGGACCTTTAGCGGAATTGAATTGTACTCTGAAACCTGGAGCTACTTCTTGTTCACCTTTATCATTTTCCCAAGTGACTCTAAATTGAATGATTCTTTCTGGAACAGACACAATTGGTAAGACTTTTTCATACTTTGGGAATTCTTCGAATAAAGTTGAATCTCTCAATGAAGAGACGATTTCATCGTAAGCTTGTAAAAATTCTGGTTCTAAAGGTTGGGCAGATGAAGACATTTTGGAATATGCGAGATCTATGAATGTAGGTATATATGTATATATCTGTATTTGAAGTACAAATCAGATTACGGAGTTGTTAATATAGTGATAATAAGAATGGAAATGACAAGAAAGGGCAATGAGAGAAACAGAGACACAATTAGTGAACAAGTCAATAGAAATTGAAGTTGAGAGTTGTATAAAAAACCAAGTTTAAAAAGTGTATCCTTTTATATGTAACAAAAAAATCCTTGTAAGTTCCTTTTTTCCTTTTCAGTCTTAAATTTCAAAATTTTCTAATCAGTTAGCCAAATGTGCTTATCAAGGTCCATTGAGTTCAGTCAGTGTATTAGAGTTGAATTAAAGACTAAAAATCAAGAGTCAAACAAAAGGCATTCCATCTCTTATTAACATGGCATGGCATGGCATGGCATAGCATAGCATAGTAAAGCAAAGCAATACCAAAGCTTTTGTTCGTAATCTTCTTGATAGAACATTAGATAGATATAGGCCTTGGAATAATTAATTATCTGATTACCAGAAGATGGGTAAACCATCAAAGTAGAAGGGAAGACCGACGGTGAATTCGATATGAAGATTAGAGTATGGTAGGTAATCTCTCTGTCTCTCTGGCTGTCTCTCTGTCTTTAAAATTGCACCAAGTGAGTTGTATGTATACTATTGGCAGACGATACAAGGAGGACTTCGGTAGAATTTGTTATTTATTTTTTGTGCGTGTGTGTGTCTGTGTGTCTGGGTTTGTGGTGAGATGAGCGGGAAAACACCCAGGAAAAAGAAATAAAGGAAAGAATAAGAGGTCCGATTGGGGGGGTGCAACGGGGGTATGAGGACTAGGAAGAGCAACAGCAGTAGCAGTAGCAGTAGCAGTAGTGATTTCGCTTGTGCTTGTGCTTGTCGTAAATTTCTTTTTTTGATTTTGTGGGCGTAAAAATTGTTTTCTTTTTCTTATTTTTTTTTGGTTTTGTGTTATCAAGTGTCCAGTTTTGACTGGTTTCCGTGGATTGTGATCAGGAGGGTTCTTAATTGGGAGTAAGTGGGCACGAGATATTTTGCCGTTCGTTTCTTGGGAAATTCTTTTGATCGGAGGGGGGAGGGGGGAAGAAGAGACAGCTATGTAAGAAATAGAAGCGAAGCCTTATCTGTTCTGAGTGATAGCGTAGACGTCAAGTCAATCCAATCACGGCGTTTGCCGTTACAGGCATGGAACGGCACAGACACAATTACTCCCTGTGCCTGGTTCTAGTTTTTTTTTCTTTTTGTTTTTGTTTTTAACTCGGACCTGTACAGAACAAAACTATTAGCTTAGTGTAAATGTTTTTCAGACAGTACGTCATGGGACAGAGGGCCTGATAGCACATTACGCTTTAATTTTTTGTTTGTTTGACTCCGTACTGTATGGTATTTCATGCTTTTTTTGTTTTGTTGTGCTTGTTGTGCTTCTTGTGCAAGATAATAATTCATACGTATAGTGTTTCTCCGAGTAGTCCATTGATTGGCAATATTGGCCAATCAGATGAAACGATAAGAGAACTGTTCGTACCGATCATAAATCATATTCTAATGGTACATATGTTCAAGTGCGGCATAATAAGTAACACGATAACCTATTCCTTATGCTACGCCCTTTTTCTTTTTGTTTGTTTACAGGGCGTATCAATCAAAATATAGGATTTTGTTCTTTCCAGTGCAAGAGGTATTCAGCGGCTAGCCACAAAAGAAGATTTAGAAACAAAGAATCTTGGGTTTTGTGCCTTATCGAAAAAATTACTTTATATAAAGAATCAACCGGACTCCGTTTATATTTTATATTTTATATTTTATATTTTCTATGTTTTTTTGGCTTTCTGTTTCTTCTATTGATTCTTCAGAACTCCTTACTATCAGTCTGCAATTAGAACAATCATTGATGTTTATTTTATTCTTCATTTTTCACATGACCCACGCCTATAGAATCACTATTGTTAGATAAGTCATACCTGTGTCTTGGCAGGCATATCAAATAAATCCACGTCAATACAAACGGTCAACGAGATTAGAACGGCATCTTTTACCTTGTGTAATGTTGACTACTTTATCACATATAGTTTATTTTATTAAGGTATACAATACAACTCAATAATATCTACCCATCACTCCCTCTATTTGTGTTATTGGATCTTAGCTTATTTTATCTTGTATCTCTTGCCAGTCATTCACAATTAAGACAATAAGTACAATCATACTCTTTATGTCTGTTTTTTTTTGATTCTATTGTAGTCATGTATATATAGATAGAGATCTTGATTCGTTTGGTATTAAATTTGTATACAATTCTCACAGCTTCCCTAAAAAAAATTATATTTGTCCAATTAATATTGTATATATATACGTGTATATGTACGTACGCTATTGCTAAATAAATAGTCTACAATTCTATCACACTATTTTTCAATGTGTAAGGAGAAACCATGGTCATTTTTGTCACCAATCTCAGGTTTCAATTCTAATGATGGGAAAATATAATCACCTCCATTTTGTCTTCTATATTTAATAGGTTCTAAAGTTTCAATATTATGTAAATGTTCTCTTAATTTTTCTGACCATTCTTCAAAAACTTTAGGTTCCATTGTATTTGCACTATATACTGTAAATGGTGGCAATACGTCAAATCCTGGATAGAATAAAATACCATGATTAATTGGGAATAGTAAATCTTCAATTGGTCCACTAATACCTCTTGCACTGTAATGTGTGTTAGAGCCACCAACTGTTATAAGTAGCATACCGCGCTTACCTTTAAATTTACCATCACCATAACGATCACCCCATTTAGTTTCATTATGCTCACCAACTCCATAAGCTAAACCAAGTGAATAAACTCTTTCAACCCAACCTTTTAAAATTGATGGCATTGAATACCACCATAATGGAAATTGGAATATAACCGTATCAGCCCATTCTAATTTTTCTTGTTCGGCAACAACATCTTCAGTTAATTTGTTGTTGAAAAATGCACCACCAGAGGCAGCTGCAACTTGTAACCTTTCTCCCTTATTGTGATTCAAGAAATCATCCTCATCAATAACAGCCTTCCATTTCATCTTGTATAAATCACTGACTTTAACTTCATGTCCATCATCTTTCAATTGTTTGACAGCTACTTCCAATAAAGAGCCATTTAATGAACGTTCGTCTGGATGAGCAAAAACAATTAAAACTTTCATGGCAAATTTATTTTATTGTACGTCTAAAATTAGTGGTGTATAAATATTACAAAAGGAATTCACAATTATTATTAATATTGTTTGGTCTTTTTATATATCTTATAATTTATCAATCAAACCTAACCTTTCAAACTGTTTTAGCTTCCTAATCACATTTGGTCCCTTTTATAATTATCGTTAGCCCTCAAATCTATAAATTTGGTATAACTTAGATCATTATACATTTGTCATCGTGAACACCTCTCTACTTTAAAATTATGGCAGTCCCTAATATTCGAAATACCATATTAGTTTACAACAGTTTTTCAAACATTCTTTACTATAGCTTATTAATTTTAGCTAAAAAAAAATCGGCATGTCCCAAATAGGCAGTTTCTCTAATTTATTTTTGTCTTGGGTTTTTTCTGAATGTAATTTTGATTATTAATTTCGAAATTTTGAAAATTTCATTACGCACGGAATGATTACAAAAAGAAATCTCATTGGTTTTAATGTTGGGAAGAGGATTAGAAACACAGGAATTTATTATACACTTTAGCATTTCTATTATAGAATTGTGTGTACAATATGATTAATAATTAAAAATCTACAAATTATTTCTATATATGTCTTGGCAATTTTATAAGATACACTTCGTAAATTATCGTATAATTCAATAACGTGAGTGGCTTAGTTCGATTTAAAATATTGAAGGAGAAGAATCATTATTGAATGTAAGATTAAGATTTATCACTTTAGACAGAAGATATTTTTTATCTTGTGTTTAAATTATTTTTGTTAGTTAATTTTTCTAATTTTTTAAAATTGTCAAGTACAAAGTCTTCCCATTTTGTTCTTGATATGGAGTTGAAATTTGATTTAAGATTAATATCCTTTGGGAATTGTCGCAATTTTTTGCAAGTGAGTTTAATGTATAATTCGGAAAATGGTATGCTATCTGAGAATAGCTAATTAGTTTGTATTAAATCCTTGGCGTAGTTCATATGATTTTAATAACTGAATTTTGAAAATTGATCTTTTCAATCAAGATCCTTGTTCTTATTTGCAAAGTAAAAGCCTAACCAGTCGCAATATTGTTATATTCATTTTGAATTTTAACGTGCTTCATTAGTAATTTTATGCAAAATAGCCATAAATTTATCTATATGGGTCGGAATGTAAAAAATTAAAAGCAATACAAAAGAATCAATATACGTCTTAAATGAAGGCTCCGGATTTCTTCTTGGTAATATAATATTCTTTCATATCAAATCCTTATTGCTAGTAAAACTCCATTTCAATGATAAATTTATAATTACTTAATGAAAAATATTTTTTAAAGTTACAAGAATATTAAATTTCCAAAAATAATTATTAAAAACCAAATTTGTTAAGATGTTTACTTGTTGTAGAGTTTTGGTTTGATACCATTGCATTTTATATACACCCTACAATTATATTATTATTATTTTTTTGATGTTGCCGCTGATGAATCTATGTTTCCAGAATTCTCTTTTTCCTATTATAGCTAAGGACTAATTGGAGGATATAAATTTCATATTAAAAACCTATTGGCCAGGTTATATTAATTGCAGTTGTTTCTTCGCTTAGCGATAATTAAAATTAATGTTTATTTTACTTCCATTTATTTAACCATAATTATTTTAACTTAACATTTAGTTTAATTATATTATTCATAAGGAAGTGATATTTTACAATTGTCAACCAAAATAAAACTATATAACTATTAAGGCTTATAAACCACTTAATAAAAAACAATAATGTTGCAAATCAATACAATAAGTCGTCGTTTAATGATAACATTTATTTACAATTAATCACTTCAGTGAATTCTAAATTAATTAGACATTTTTTCATTGTTATCTTTGATGTCAGTTATTTATTACACATGACTAGTCTATGTATATCTGATGTGAGCAAAAAAAGGAATGCATTCAGACTATAATGTGTATGGATGTTTTTAAATATATTAACTAGCACAAGCTATCGACGATATTGGTTAACTACACCAAATGAATTCTGACTTAGAAAGATTATCGCCCTTCCTTTTGCTATTGGATTCCTATTAGTATGTTTAGGAGGACAAATCAAACAACCTGATAACCCTATATTGTTGTTCATCATAGTCTAATTAGTTAACGTTTCGGTTTGAGATAACTTGATGAAGGTCATACTGCCTGAAAATGGGAACTAAAAACAACAACAATACAATACCTTTCAAGAAAAGACCTGCTCATGTTTTTGATTAAGTCGCTAAAACTTTCCTAAAGCTTTTTTCCCTCATGTACAATATCTAACAGAAGTCGTTTTAGGAAAACCTTAACGAAATTTTTCCGGATTTCGAAATCAACATCTTTTAAAAATGATATATATTCTATCATTATAATGTTTACCTTTGAAGTAACTAATAAAGAGTGCACCAAAATACTGAAATAAAGAGGATAATAGCTATCAATGAGAAACTCATGATGAGAATCTTCAAGAAATGGTAGGAAATAATGAAATGACTACAAAACGAAAGTCCTTTAATGGTTGTTGGACTTGTCGATCTCGTAAGGTTAAGTGTGATCTTAATCGACCTAAATGTCAACGATGTGACCGATTAGGTATAATATGTGAAGGTTATAGCGTTAAATTGCATTGGTCTAAACCTGTAAAATTTGATAAATTTGGTGATTTTGTTGATTCTAGACCTCGCAACCATACTTCCGATGTCGATTTGAATTCGCTTGGTTCACAAAGAAGAAATATTCCTTTTGTTCGTTATGATGAAACAAATTTGTCCAGACAAAAAATCGAGAAAGATTTATTATTAATTGAAGTTACAACATCTGAAAAACTCAATGAAGATTTACCCTATTTGGTAGAGAGGTTTGGTGTCTTTAAAAAATCTTTTGAAAGACACTCTAAAGAAGCTCCCTCCACCATCGATGAGCGATATACTCAAGTTAAGGATAATACCATAGATAATGTTAACCGCAACAAGGTTCAAGTAACACAGGAAACACAGGAAACACAAGAAACCCAGGAAACACAAGTAACAAAGGAAACACAAGTAACACAGGAAGTACCAGTAATACAGGAAATACAAGAAGCACAAGACAAGGAAATTACCGAATACCCTAGTACAGAATATACGACTAATCATTATGGGTTATTTGATATTGATACTGATTTTTTTAATTCATATAATTTTGATTGGATATCAAGTGAATTAAGAGATGATGCATTACTATCAGCATTTGCTTTACAAGGTGGCCACACTGAAACGGCATCAATAATTAATTTGGCACACGAAAATGTGCAAAATAATAATGCTACTAAGGCGATCTCATCCCAATTTGGAATAGTAGATCAGATGATAAACCACATATCAAATAATTCCACAAGCCCAAATAGTAATGATACAAATATATTAAAATTGAACGATAAACATTTAAATATACCACTAACATTGCTATTCAATAGACAACCTAACCATGAGACAGCTAACGAACTAGCCAAAAAAGATGCTGGTACAAATATAGAGGAGATATCAGGATATGGTATTATCGAAGATAACAAAATTAGTACGAAGAATGGATTAATCGATTCAATTGATAGAAGCCGAGAAGCCCCTAAAACAATACTAGAAATAATCCCTTCATTTATAGACAATAACAATATAGAAGATGTATCTAGTGATACATTTGAAGTTAAAATCCCAAATACAAATTTTGTAATTCATGGCCTTACAAGATTTTTGTTAAACCATTATTTCAATAATGTGGCTGATTTAATGATAGTAGTGACAGTTTCGAAAAATCCATGGAAGACGTTATTCTTTTCACGAGTGTTGAATGCTTTAGGTGACCTAGCTGGTTTAGGACATACATCCAATTCCCGAAATTCATTATTGAACGCAATTTTGGCTGTCTCCTGTTTCAATCTTATAAACAAGTTTTGTAAAGGTTCTAAACCACAGAGATTTTTTCTAAAACTAGGCATAGAATTTAGAACTCAGGCTTGTAATTTCTTAAAAGTCTGCTTGAGTTCAACAGCGAAGAGAGAAAGATATAAGGATGTTTTAATAGCGATAATTTGCATGTGCTCAATCGATGTAGTTTGGGGGACAATGTCTGAATGTCACTATCATTTAGAGATATGTGAAAAATTTATAAAATCTAGAATGGAAAAAAGAGCAAAACTTTCAGAGAAAGCCAAGACGTTACATAGGATTTTTTCCTTCTTAAAATTGATACAGGATAGCACATCACTAGGACAAATATCTGACGAAGAAATTGTGATAGGTAGTAAAACGAAACAAGCTAGTTCTGGATCTGATATGGAAAATATTGACTCAAATATACAGAAACCAAGTAATGATGATTATGATTATGAAAAGTCTAGCTTCAAGAATGGACTGTATAAAGAAGCAGTTAACAGAGAAGATGGGAAGATTAACATTGAATTTATATTACACTCAGAGGTAAACAATATTAATGAAGAAAATAGTAATACAACCAGCTTGGAAGTGAAACCTCCAATGTTCACAAGCATAGTCGCCGATAGTTATTATTATTCAGATGGGAAACCCCTGGAAGCAGAAACTTTAGGGACTGATGCGTTATATGGGATGCCAAATTCATTGATTTTATTATTTTCTGATTGTATTAGAATAGTACGACATAATGAATATTATAAAATTAAAGAACTTCCTATACCAAGAGAATTTAACGACCTTACATTAAGCTTTGAGAAACGTTTAATGCGATGGAAACCAGAGTGGAATTTTTATATCGACAAAGATAAAAAATTATTTATTAATAATACCATCGCGGGTGTATACCACCACACAATGAGCTTCTACTTTAGCTTGATTATATACTATTTTACAATGGCTCGTGACTTAAATATTGAATTTCTTCAAGGATATGTACTCAAAGTTCTAGAACATTTAAAGTCGTTGCGAAAACTTGCTGAGAATAAAAATGTTAAAGTTCTTCCATTAATTTGGCAAGGCTTTATAGCAGGCTGTGCTAGTAATTCTATTGAAATTCAGGAAGAATTTAGAGAGTGGGCTGCAAAACTTGCTGAGTATGGGATGGGCTCATATTGGGGTGCTAGACAGGTTATGTTCGAGGTATGGAAACGTCGTAGAATCGGAAAAACAGGTGATAATTGGAATGTTGTTTACAAAGAATGGAATATGAATTTAATGCTTTTCTAAGGTTTATGACTATACTCTTGTTTTTGGTTATGGTTACTTTTTTGATGAATCTTATAGGTATATTAAATATTTATTTCATGAAAACTTTATATGAACTTTACTATATAATATCTATTATAGGAAGCACGCGGAAAGTTAATTATAAATCAAAATCATCTGTAATACACGTTGACAATGAATCTTTCCTTTTCCTAATACATAACGTATCTGAAATGTTATCGTCAACAATCAGTTTATTAGCCTTTACAAATCTTTTATTTTTAGGTAAACTAAAATATATACGAAGGTATATTAAGAAGTTTTCATTTAAATTTCATTGTAACATTAATTTTTGTCAATATAGATTTACAGCTGATATTAGTATTCTAGAGTATATTCTAAAAAATGTTAATAATCAATTGGATTCGTAATATTTGATTGTGCATTGTTTTTGCAATAAATATTATTTATCGCGTCATAACAATACCCTGTAAACCTTTAGGTATCTTCCCTATATTTTAGGTTACAACACTATAAACCAATCTATTTTAAAGAAGTAGAATCTTTAAAATATACTATTTCAGTCTTTTCTGATTTTAATTCTGACTCTAAATTTTCCTCATCATTAATCTTTTCCTTATTGAATAATACAAACCTGCAATACCATATAAACTGTGATAAGAATATTCCCAATTCTAGACCAGCTATAACACAGTAAAGTATAATTCCAATGACGTCCATGTTTCCCAATACGACACTGACAATCGAGAGCCAAGCACCAAGAGAATCGATAATAAAAACCAAAAATTATTCCAACCCACCTGTCCTTGACGTTTTGCGAGTTCAAAATATGGAGGCAGTAATCCTGCTGCTAAAAGAATAATAGCTATTATACCAAATATAAGAGATGGCCAGGTAATATCTCTAGCGTGTAAAGGTCTTAACCCTAGAATAAATCCAACTTCTATCCCGATATCAAATATAATGACAGAAGTTACTATAAGGAATATTTCTTTTTTTGATAATGAAATTGGGGGATAATAACAGCTTTGAATAAAACCAATAAATGAAAAGAACATAAATAAGTGTGGCTGAATCTGTAATACAATATTCCCCCTAGTAATGCAGAAATATATACTGAAAGGTATACTCGAGAGAACCCATAAAAACATCATTATTGGAGGAAATCCCGTACAATCTTTACGACGCCAATTATAGTAAATTTGGGGAATTAGTTGTACACACCAACAAACCGTCGCCACGGTTGCTAGTACGGTTGCTGCGCTATCTGAACTCATTTAACTGTAGTATTATATCTTAAAGATTTTCAAATCGTTGGAGTCTAAAGATAATTCATTATATATGGATGGTAATTGAATAACCAGTTTAGAGTTTCTTAATTTTTTTATGGGTTGAGGAATATAGATCAATATATATATAATTTATTTTAATAATCGATCTAGTTATTTTTTCATTTTTTAATCATATAGTTTTTTCTTTTAATTGCGACATCTTCGATGACAATAACCTTAATTGTATTTCGTTTTTCTTTCTTCCTTTTTCTTTCTTCCTTTTTTTTTCTTTTTTCTTTTTCAGTATCAAATATCTCCTCGCTTAGAGATACCTAGAATTGAAAAATAAAAAAAAGGTTTAGTCTTCAATAAGAAAAAGAGAAACTATCTATTAATGAGATTGAAATATTTGTGGAAATTTATGTTAGTTGCCAAGTTAGTTCTTGTCGATTAATATTTATTTAGAGACTCTTTTCAAACTTTCTTTATTCTGGAAACAAGAAATATATTAAACAATGGAGGTTATCGGGAATATTAAAGTTTGTTTTTCGATGAAGTCAACGGAATCAGTCAAACCTACAACTATTTTCTTGAGAGCATAAATACAATTGCAATATGCAGTATAATTTGACTACTTTTTGCATAAGCACATGACATCTAAAAAATGTACCAAATTAATAAAGTTATAAATCTAAATGTCTCATCTATATCAATTATGGAATGAATTTATTGAAGTACATCCAGTATATCTGCCTCAGAAATCATCATTTACCAAGAAGAATATTTTTATTACTAGTATTGCATTTTCTTTTGCAATATACAGATTGGAAAGTAATATTATATTTTTTATTAATTATTAATTCATGACATTGAATCTAATATTTCTTGTTTCCTTTTTTTGAAACTGTATCGAATGCATTAAATAAGCATAAAGAGGAAACAAGAAATATTAGATGAAATATCATGGATTTATTCTAAGGTATGAGATTTATTTCCGTATCTATATCGTTCCATTTAATTGTCATTTTGTTTTTGGTTTTTACTGTATAGCCATTACATCTTGAAATCACACTCTATGTGGTATCAATCTCTTAATCAATTTTAATTCTTTGTGGTGGATTATGAGGTCTAGACTAAGGTATTTTTCCAATAATTCAGTACCATATCATATAAGTTTAATGCACAATGATTCAAATTAATCGGTAATTTCGTGTAACTTAATGTAAGAATTTTTGCTACTAATAAAAATCAAGTTTTTCACTTCGGTGTCTAAGTTAGAAATAACATAATTACTTAAGTGAACAGTATCAATGTAGTAGTAGATTTACCATAAAAACTATTTAAATAATTCCATAATTTATAGGTCATGTGTACCGATTTGGGTACCTGTTGCTGATCTAACATTTCCGATTCTAAATAGGCGTAGTGTTATTTAGCTCAGAATTAAACTATATTGACTTTATCAGAGAAGTAAAGTAAATTGTATATCAAAAGGATCATTATGTTCTATCCTTTTGATATAATCAATGTCGAGTTATGTATCACAGTTATTGCAAAGCTGGAATTATAAATATACAATAACAATATTATGAGAATAATAATACTAAAAACATTGTTTTAACAGATTAAGTATTATATCAGGCAACAAAATGTAAGGCATACACAGTATCAAAGTTAATTGAAAGAGGTGAGAAATATTTTTTGAAATCTTAGTATTATTTTATTATCGATATAAAAAGACAGTATTGGACTTAAAAAATAAGAATATAACTCTTAAGGGTACTTTAATTTAGTTACTCTATGGAGAATAATTAATCTATTTTAATAGAAGTAGTAGAAGATAGGAAAAGCTTACAAAGAAATATCTCATATAAATATTATTACAATGAATAAAATTTGTCGAAGGTGTTTACAAAGTGAGATCAGGGAATTGATCATATATATTATTGATAAAAAACAGACTAGAAAGAATATTGGTAGTCTTGTTAAATTTTAGTTTTTTTTAATGGAAATCAAAAAGTTTATCAAAAGCTAGATAGCTATATAAAAGACGATGAAATAGAACAGGGAAATGTTGCATATCAAGTTAAGACAAAGTGACCAATTTTTTCAAATAAATATAGAAACTTCTTTTTTGCACTATGCTTGAACTATTGAATACTTTTTAATTTCTTCAAAAGCCACTGTAAGGAAATGAAAACAATTAACAAATTATTGACTAGAAAATGTTAGATATATATATATATATGGAAAAGAAACATTCTATCTATACAATATCTTACCTGACAGCAAAAATAAATCACATTCAAATGTTTTGAAGAATCGAGGACTTGAAAATCATCTAGTAAAGACCAATTTGGTACCTGAAACGGTTTTACTTAATGCAAGAGAATTTGATACAAAACTCATATTAATATGATTCTATTTCTACTGATTAGACTCTTATAATGTTGTATCTATTTCACATTATCAAGGCTGTCAATCAGTTATCCCTCTATATGGCACAAATTATAGAGCGATACCGAATCATTATTGGTAGCATAATGGCAATGGGTTTTAATCGAGGTACTCAAAATAATCCAAAACAAAAATTCATTTAGAATTTTTCTGGATTCAATAAAAACCAAAATAGAGTAGTCTCTATAATGAATAGGTTCTGAAGTAATTAACTTTCGAAATTGTATTCCTCAGTAAACGGATATTTGTAATTTCTCAGAACCCAATGAACCAATGAAGTTGAAGTAGAAGTTCAAAGAGTATTCTTCCATCCTAGTGATTTACAAGAAATACGTTGATCGGAAAACAATTGTCCCAGTGCAGTCAAGCCAAGGGTTTTCTTAAATCGTTTATTATCAATTTAGAAAAACCAAGGTAACTTTATTTTTTTAATTCAAAAGTCATGTTTCAAAGCTATTAAGTTTAACTTTAATTATTTCTTAAATATGATACATGATGATGAATATTTAAGATATTCGTTCTTCTGCTGATTGAAGGTAATTAATTTATCGAAACAAAAAGGTCATAGAACGGCTGAACACTATTCGGCCGAGTATTACCTATTTCGTACATCGGCTCGGTAGTTTGTTTGTCCAATCTTCTTCCAATTCAATCTTCTTTTCTTTTCTTTGATTCTGCCTCGGAAAAAGAGAAACATTTTCATTTAAGTCACATCCATCTTCAAGGTCCCTGTTTCCAGAAACTGTAAAAAATCGAGAGGAAACTTACTGATTATAGTTTTTGCATTTATTGAGAGATCTCCAAATGCGATAAGAAAACTTTGCACAAGCTAAATTCAGTAGTATACATGTTATTTTTAATAGATGCTATATGAACAAGATATTAACAAAAATAATAACATTAAAAATATAAATAGGCTTGAAATGATAATGATATATAAGGCAACTACTTGTTTATAATATTCTATAATTTTACTCTGTTTTAATATTTTTATTCTTCTTGACTCAAAACTATATATAAGTATCGTTAACAAATTGAGACATGTATACCGATACATTCAAGAATACTTTTGTAGTAGACATTTTAGAATTATTTAATATTGTCACAGTTCCTGTAAATGTCCAAGAAGGAAACTATATTAAACCCTCAGCCTTTGAATTACCAGAGCTAAAGGATGAAGTTGAATTGGAAATTAGTATCTCACATAGTATAAATACATCAACTTCATTAAATACAGTAATAAAATCTGATAAAGATATTGTTGAAAAAAGCAGTGAAATAGATGATCCTTTTTTAGTTCAGTGGAATGGTCCTAATGACCCTGATAATCCATTAAATTGGTCTACAAGTAAAAAAGCACTTATGATATTTCAAATAATGTTATTAACAGCTGTAACTTATATGGGTTCTTCAATTTATACACCAGGTCAAGAAGCAGTTCAAAAGGAATTCCATGTCGGGCATGTGGCAGCAACTTTGAACTTATCAATATATGTTCTAGGGTATGGTATTGGTCCTATAATATTTTCACCATTGTTAGAATTTGCTATATTAGGGCGTCAGAACATTTATATAATTACACTTTTCTGTTTCTGCATATTCCAAATTGGAGCCGCCACAGTGAAGAATTATGGTGGTATGGTTGTTATTCGTTTCATCAGTGGTATATTCTGTTCTCCTGCATTAGCAACTGGGGGTGCAGCAGTCACCGACATTATGAAACCTGAACTTGTGCCTGTAGTTTTAGGTCTTTGGTCAGTAGGTGCAGTTGCTGCTCCTGTTTTAGCACTGTTATTGGGGGCAGCAATCTTAGAAGCAAAGGACTGGAGATGGAAATTTTGGTTACTGCTGTGGATGTGTGCTGCTACTTTGATCATTTTAATATTTTTCTTCCCAGAAACTCATCATAATAACATCTTAGTTCGTCTTGCAAGAACGTTAAGAAAAGAAACTGGTGATAACAGGTACTATGCTACAGCTGAAAAAAAGGAATCAGAGTTGGATATTAAGAGTTTTATATTGTCTTCTCTCTACAAACCAATAAAAATTATAATTAAGGAACCTATAGTTTTATCCCTCGATGTATACATTGCTCTTTGTTATGGTATTTTCTATTTGTTCTTTGAAGCCTTCCCAATTGTATTCGTTGGAATTTATCATTTTACAGGTGTTGAATTGGGTCTGGCATTTATGGGTTTCCAAGTAGGTTGTATTTTTGCATATGCTATTTATTTAACTTTTCTTTCAAAGTATTTAGCTCCAAAATACAAAAATGGTTGTTATTTGTTCCTGAAGATTTCATGATTCTTCCAATGATTGTAGGCTGGTGTCTTCCATTTTCCATATTCTTCTTTGGGTGGGCAGCTGGTATCCATTGGATATTACCAATAGTAGCTGAAGTATTTTTTTGTCATTAATACATTTAACATATTTCAAACAGTTTTTGCCTATTTAGGAATGAGTTATCCTGAGAATGTAGCATCGGTATTTGCTGGTAATGGTTTAATGCGTGCAGGGTTTGCATCCGCATTTCCATTATTTGGCCAAGC